GCAGTTGGGGTATATTGTCGCGTCCTATCGGCCAAAGTCAGCGTCCCACCAAGGCATAAAACGTGCAGAGTGTTGGAAAGGCAGTACCACCTTCCACGTAAAAGGACCGAATGATGTACGTAAAGCTCTTCGCATGCCGAGCCAGATGGGGAGCGCTAGAAAGCTTGTCTAGCCTTTGAAATGCAGACGTAGAGAATCGTACCACTACGCGATTGAACTTATGGGCGGCTCCAACGTCTGCAAACCTCCTGCATACCTCCCTAAACCGGTCGATGTCACTGCGAACATCAAGGGACGGGGGTTCTGGCGGGCCTGGCTTCTTGAAACTCTCAATGGACAGAGATGCGCGATGGTCCACGCTGATACACCTGTCAGGATCCCGAGAAAGGTGGTCGAGAATCTCCTTGAGAAGCTCGTTGGAGAGTCTCAGAATGCCACGTGGTTCGTCGTTCATCTGCGTGCCCCTAGATTCTGTCAGCGGTTCACGGGCCGCTTGAGCGTCTTTATCAGATTGGTCGTCATGGGAAAGACGAAAACGCTCAAAGAAAGACGAAAGGAAAGAGAAAAGTGACTGAAGCAGATACGCCAGCTTGACGAACGGAGGAGGGGATTTTGGCTGGCGGGTTGTGGTAACTAGTCACGCCAGAAGATTTGGATCAAAGCAGGTGGTAGTATTTACGGGGACAAGTCAACATCAGCAGCGGCGGGTGAAAGGGAGGTCAGAATCAGATACATAGCATTTTGAAATCTGGAATAGTAGGCACCAAAGGATACGAAGAGAGAAATATTCCTGAGGCTGCAGAGGAAGGGGAAGGGAAGGGAAAGAAAGGAGGAAAGGAAGGTAGAAAAGAAGAGGAACAACAGGCGACACGGGGACCGTTGTCAAAGTCCTCAGATGTGCCAGCAAGAGGGAACTGAAGGGGGAGGGGGCGCGAGGTCAGGGGAACAAAAGATGGCGATGGCCATACGAGCAAACGGATCGCAAAGACAACTGGGCTACGTACGCACATGATAGAAATCCATCAATTCAGGCGTTTTCATCCCCGTCGCCATTGTCGAGTAGCATCAACAAACGTGTGCATATCCAGACAGGGCTTCTCTGACCTCTATTTATTTTCTTATTCCTCCCTTCGAGACAGCTTATCAGCGAAAGCAAGGGATACAATAGGAAAAGGACCTGTTGGTCCAATGACGATAATTCCTCCTACACCAAGAAATCAGCTGACCGAAAAGACACCAGCAGATCGTTCAGCCCGCTGCGGGAGCAATGCGCGTTGAGCGAATGGAGACTGAGAAGAACAAGAGACAGGCACAGTCGGTGCTCTGGCGCGGCTGTGGCGGACGAATCGTTGGTGAGAGATGGATCTTGTCGTTGACTGTTTGACAGTCTGCACCGGTCAATCCCTGGTGGGTAGCGGAAAGCGCCCCAAGACATGCACAGGTAAGACCCCCTGGCTCGTCAGCAGCGAAGGCTTGTAAATATCGAGACGAATCAGCGGTTCGGTCCAACCGACAAGGAAATTCGTTGGTTGGCGCAAGGGTCGTAAACACGGGCGCGATGGCATCCGGGTCTGGAACGCGGAGGTTAACTAATGACTTCATGTGGACTGCAGAGAAGATATGTAACTGCTCCCTACATGAAGTGGGATGGGGTACTCCCTCGCGAGTGGTTGAGAGCGATCGTTCTTGTACAACGTTTGGGTGGGAAACAAAATTGCCGCTTCTACTCCCATCGGCTGATGTTCACGAGAAGATTTAACCGGTTGGTTAATCAACTAGTTAACGGGCATTGGAGCTTAGCAGCTCTGCTAAAGGCGAGGGGGCCAAAAAAAAAAAAAAAAGAAAGGCCGCCCAGTCAATGACTGTCGACAGAGGCCAGCAGAAGAGATCTGAAGGTTTAAGCGCTGCTGGGGTTGCGATTCATCCCGGGACCCGTCTCGAATACGGTTTTTGCAAGCTAAGAACGGGGACAATAACTAATCCCGAGAGTGAACATGGAGCAACCCCTCCTTTGGTCCATTTGTTCCTTTTTTTTTTTCTCTTTTCCCCTCCCCTGTTGTTTCTCGTTCAGCAATGACTCTTGGTCTTCAGGCAATGAATAGAGAAACGGGCCATCGCCACCGCCGGAAGCTTTCCACGCATTCGAAGATGAAGAACCTCGAACAAATAAAAACTACTAATTTTCTTGTTCCTCTCTCTCTCTCTCTCTCTTTTTTTTTTTTTTTAAGGTGATCTATCAGGGGAAATGTATCAACATGGATTCCCAAGGTGGCCAAAAAGCGAAACACAGCTTTCATGCCAAATCACCGGCTGTGCATGCCGCTGATAACCCTTGCTCTCACACATCTTGCAGAGAAAATCATACATACAACCACGCAATTCCTTCACATCCCACCTTGCTGCCAAGGAGAAACTAGCAGGAGTATTTTCGAGACGATTGTCCTCCCATCGCTGCACGTCCTGCATAAACAACCTGTATCGGAAGGGCTCCAACATTCCCGTAACTGCGGGGCTCGGCCAATGTGGCATCCAAAGCGGCTCGTTGTCATGTCTCAAAAGGGATTCCATCAGGCACCTATTGCATTCTCGATCATTCGTGTGGGGTTTTGAGCTTTGTTTAATCTGCAGAGGCGAGGCGACACGATAGGTGTGGACGCCATGCAAGAAATCCCTACGCCTGAGTGAAAATAGTGCAGCGAAGACGGAGGCTGTAATGGACACCCTTGTCAGTGGTTGGCTTCGAAATACAATAGAAGTGATTCCACTCCCAACCCAAAAAAAAAAAAAAAAAAAAAAAAGGAAAGAAAAGAGCTAGATAGAGATTCATTAAATGTGAAAAATCAATTGATGCGTTGGCATATGTTTCAGAGACTTGGGCTGCCTTTTGCTACATTCATACGACGTCTTCGGATCTCAGTGCTGCTGATCTTTGATTCAAAATTCTCTGCAGACGTCTCGCCCGTTCCTGCCTCTGCTTCACTCAGGTCCAGAACATCGACTTCGAAAACTTCTAGCGTGGCCCAGCCCTTTTTCTCGCGCTCGTCATTGACGGATTTCCCACCAGATCGAGTTTCTTTGGAGACAACCAAAGCCGTAATATCCTCATCTGTGATGGTCGGACCGAATGGGTCGGCGATCTGCACGAATCTGAACTCTAAACTGGAACCGACTAGGACGATAACGCGTTGACCATTTGGACCGGGGTCCGAAATGCGCTCAAATTTGGTCTGACTGCGGTCTGACGGAGAGGAAAAGTCTACAACTGACTGTAGAAATTCCCACACACCCCGCCATCGCTCTTCCCAGGACTCTAAGAACTCGGCGTATTTCTTGTTCACTAGCATCTCGTCCCCCGTAATTCCGATTGTGACGATTCTCCGTTTTTGTGGAGATTGGGCGACATATGGATCCAGAGGGAGGACCGTAGCTGTGAGGAGCAGCTTGTGCCCGGTATGCAGATGGTCGAATGTGCCCCCGACGGCGACGGAATAATGTGGAGTCGAGTGCGTCGTGGTTCTGTCAGCGTGCAGAGCCAGTGACTGTGCGCCACTCGTGCCAGGCAACTTCCGTATCTTCAATTGATTGCCCAAGTTGGGCGCTATTGCCTCCCTCAAATCACGTAAGAACTCGTTTCCCTGAGGCGAATCGACAGAGTAAATGTGTTCCCAGGAGCGTCCAGCGGCCGCCAGGGACGCAAGGTTGACGACAGGCCCAATCTGAGGCGGGCCGGAAGTCTGCGATTCGATTGGCTTCCCGTGGGTACAGTCCACGAAGAAGATCCTGGCGTCAACACCGCCGGGGCCATCGAGGTCAACGGACCGCTTGACGCCAACGACTCCCACGAGTCTATAAATACTGGCCAGCAGTCGCTGAAGGCGATCAAACGATTTGGTTCTCATCTCGGCATCCGGAAGAGAGAGGCCAGAGACCGCAACAGCTATATCCAGTATGGCAGAGCGTCTTGATCCCTTCACAGAGCTGGATAATGCTAACAGGGCCGTGGATATAGCTTGTTCGTATGCGAGTTTCAAGGCAGCAAACGAAGGAAATGTCGCACCAGGCAAAAGAAGGAGAGCTTCATGGCGAAGGTTATTGCCGTCTCCGGCCATCCCAGTCGCAAGCAAGCGGGGCACGCTGTAAGGAAGAGCAAGATAATTTGCTGACAGGACAGACGCCTTAACTGTAAATTCCGACAGAGCGTGTCCTAGATGAGATTGCTTCTGTTTGTTGGGCCTTTCACTCAGTACTCGGGGGGTATCAAAATAATGAAGGGACGGCAGCACGCCAATATACTATGGGCCAAGCAGCCGGAAGCGAGCGTCATCGCGGGTTAAGCCGAGGGAATTCAACCTTTCAAGCTGCAAGCTTCGCGACGACAGTTTTAGCGGGTTTCGCGAGTGACTTTTGCGCGCTCAGCTCTAAGCTAGCTTACTAAGCCGCCAAGGCACAGCCTCATCAGAATTGAGAGAGAGCGAGTACAACGAGAAGAGGATGATATTTGATAAGTAACCTCTGCTGCCCTTGTACCTGCAATTGGAGATTGCTTGGGTTAAAGGGAAGGACTGAAAGAGGGGTTCACAGAGAGCTGGAAGCTCGGGGATAGCAGTAGCCATGTTGTAACCCATCATTAGTTACTTGGTATCATTCAATAGTTCCAGTCGTTGGGATGACACGTCCTCGACGCTGGCTGCTGTCACTCGCATTTCATCCTCGCAGCGGCTATTATATATATATATATATATTGAAAGTATCGCATCTGGCTCGTAAATCGCTTTCGTCAAACTACTGTTTACCTACTTAAAGCTGTTCAGAACGAGATCTTTTGTCGTCAGTTATATTGCTCGTGAGCTGGTAGCTGGAGTTTGGTCGAGGGCCAACCAAGGAGTTGGGTTCCGGAGCCGCAGCGCTTCGAACTCTTGACATCCACCGCTCTCCCGCCACGAGCTACAGCACAATCATGCAAATTTGACCCGTCCCGATAGTCTACAGGTTGCGCCGTCTTTCAGCTTCGACGACCGACCAGTTTCGCGAGGTCAAGGACCCCGTTGGTCCTCTAGCGACCCATGGCAGACTCTCATGGCTTCGGAGGGGCTGGTCGAGGCCCAACATTTCCCCGACAGCCAGAGGAGCTGCATATCCCATCCGCGAACAGCTCTCTCCCCTCGAATGGCCCACGACCTGCGCAGCATCAATTCCCTGCACCGCCAGAATATGCTGCCAATCATCCTCCGACGACGGTGGGCATCCAAGCTTCCGCCTCCCAACCACAACCGCAATCCCATCCCCAGTATTCCGCGAGCACCGGCCAAACCAACCCCGGGAATGTGTTGCCAGGCGCTCTCCAGCCTGGAAATGCAAGCCGCTCGGGCCCTATATCGAGCAATACCGCTCCTACTTTGCCTACTATCTCGCAACAACCTCCAGCCTCCTCCCCTTCCAGGCCAGCCCTAGCGACCCAGCCGCACTCCTACTCCGCTTCCAGCCCTGCTGCTTTCGATCAGCAAAAGTATAAGCCCTTTGGAGGTTCTTCAGATGGCTCGAAATACATCTCCCCAACGTTAGCTACGTATTCGCAGGGTAATCAGTATTCACCGTTGGGTTTGGCAGACATTCGATCACGTATGGACCATGGGATGATGGAGGACATGAGCGGAGCGGGCCAGCCAAATAATGCAGATCCTCCGATTTCCACGAATTGCAACTATATGGCCCCTTGGAGTGTCTATGCGTTAGACTGGTGTAAATGGTCGGTCCCGCCGGGCACTCCAACCGCCGGAAAGGTGGCTATTGGGAGTTATCTTGAGGACAACCATAATTACGTATGGCTCCTTCGTCTATCTTCCGTTTCAATTGTATTTCGCTCTCCTTGCTAACGAGATAGGATAGATCCAAATTTTGGGCGCCCAGTACACGCCACCCGATAGGGACTACCCGGAACCAGATGGCCTACCAGGGCTAGAATTCGTCAAGATCGCCGAAGCAACACATTCTTATCCGGTCACTCGAATACTATGGGAGCCTCCATCATCACAAAAGCAATCTACCGACCTGTTGGCGACCTCCGGGGACCATCTCCGGCTGTGGTCGCTGCCGTCGGAGTCGTCTCAATTTCGCCATCATGGAAGCAGTTCTATTAACCGGTCAACAAATGCCCGACCTCCTGTTCAGAAACTATCGCCCCTTGCTCTGCTTTCCAACTCGAAATCTCCCGAGCATACAGCCCCCATAACATCTCTTGACTGGAATGCAGTCTCCCCAAGCCTCATCATCACATCCAGCATCGATACAACTTGCACAATATGGGATATCCCTACCTTAACCGCCAAAACACAACTCATTGCTCATGACAGGGAGGTTTATGATGTCCGGTTTTGTGCCAATAGCGTCGATGTGTTTGTCAGTTGTGGCGCGGATGGTAGTGTTCGAATGTTTGACTTAAGAAGCCTGGAACACAGCACCATCATCTACGAACCGTCAGAAAAGAATGACAAATGTACGTGTGAGAAATCCATCTTGAACATGCTTTGTGCTAACTAAGCATAGTGGCTAACCCTGGCAATTTGTCTCCATCATCCTATCCAAGTGTTTGGCCCCCGCCATTATTACGAATTGCCGGTATGATTTATTCAGCTTCATATATATATATATATATATATATATATTGCCAGTGTTGGTCTTATGCTGACTAAACTTCACATGTAGCTTCTCCTCATGATGCACATCTTTTGGCAACGTTTTCTCAAGACTCTAGCGTCATCCGAATACTTGACGTCCGGCAGCCAGGCCAGGCTCTTCTCGAGCTCAAGGGCCATTCCGCGCCAATCAATTGCGTGGAGTGGTGTCCTGCCCGCCGAGGGACTCTTGCTTCGGGTGCCGATGACTCCCTTGTTCTCATATGGGATTTGATAAATCAGAACAATGCAGCTGCAATAAGCTCACAGACGCCAGTTGGCCAGCCACATCATAACAGCTCAAGTGGCGCCTCAACGATGGAGCGCGGACCGGCTGCAGCATGGCAGTGTGATTACGAGGTGTCCAACGTCAGCTGGGCGCCCCATGCCCCTAGTGGCAATGTCTCAGGCTGGTTGGGTGTGTCTGGCGGGAAAGGATTATGGGGTGTATCTATATGATTAGAATCCCATTTCTATGCCCCTCCCACACAAACTGCGGCCCATACCATACTATACCATCTGGTCCAGGCCTGTTCCGGTCCCTTTATTTTTTATTTTTATTTTTGCGTCTTTGTATAGCATTGGGCACAGTCATCCAGCAGGTTTTGTCCAGCTTGTGCATTGCTGATGCAGCTTTGTGGAGTGTGATTTCACCTTTTTTTTTCTGAATTTTTTTCTTTTGCAGAAGGCGTATGAGCCAGTTTTGGAAGTATATTGGTTTATTTTGCATATCCCAGCTGATCTGGGCTTGTTGTTCACTTTTGTTTCTTTCTTCTTTTGCTCATCATTCTTGGTGCTGGCACTTGAAAACCATATTTGCATGCCTATGATTATTATGAGCGTTTACGATACATCCTGGGTACAATATGAGAACTCATTTTATCCCTTTGGAGCAGTTCCTTCTTTAATGTTAGGTAAATAACTGGCTCCCAGGTTCCACATACTATTGTTCTCCATAACAGGATATGGAATCCCTGATACGATAGAGCTAATATAAAGAGCATAGGTGACAATAGTTAATGGTTATTTCATATCAGCATCCCGAAAAGATAATCGATGGTATGGGTCAACTATTATTTTGAATATAGAACCGAGAAAACGTAGTTTGCACTGGTTGTTGTTAGTTGACTCGTCCTTGTTCCACCCTAGATTTTGGGCATCTTGAAAAGTGGTACATGGGCAAGCAAAATAGGGATACTTTTTAGGCTCCCTAGTTGTCGAGGACCGTTTCTTTTTTCAATAGTGAACCTAGACTGATGATGCCTGGCGCGTATGTGGTATCTTGTCGGTTTGACACATGATAGGGGCATTCTGTGATATGAAACGTATGGTCAATGGTCTACATATATAAGTATACTCATGACCCATACTTGATGCAAAACCGGTCCGTTCGGATCAGCTTTAACGGCTGGTACTCGCAGTGGCCAATCGCTTTTCGATAATCCAAGACAGGGCACCCTATACACAATGAGAATGCATATTGGCAGAGGGTTGACAGAGATCTTTTTACAGGAGCAATGCCATGTATACACCTGTGGTGCAGGGTTTTAGAGTACATTGCGTAACTTCACTAGCAGTGGTATGGGATATGCCAGCATTGGGCTTTGAGATCTTTGTGATAACTTCCTTGCTGTTATCCATTCGATACACTTTGTTGTACAGGTCATTCAGGGCCCTTTTTTTTTTTTTTTTTTTTTTTTTTTTTTGATTGATGCCAATATGCATAGTCACATTCACTGAATTTGTTGCTATAGATTCAAGCTCATGTGCGTTAAAATATATAACTATTGTGTTTGGCAATTTGTTCATTTTCTCCAAGAAGAAAATGTTCGCAAGTGTAGTCAAATGCTCCAAATGCTCATTACTGGAAGCTATGTGATTATTGTCAACCGGCCTGCATATCCGGTAAAGCCAATGCTTCTGAACAAACCAGTTGCCATTATCGCAAGAGGTTAGAGATGTGAAGAGTGAAAACTCGCCCTAAAGGGAATAAACCTTTGTAAAAAAGCGCTGCCGCATGCTTGTTAGTTGACCGCTATTTGTTTGACAATGACACTGGAGCAGGAAGCAAAGAGAATCATTCCCAGTATCTCCGAAAAGATGGAAAGACACCTGGGTTTGTTGATGGATGATTCGTCGTTGGTTGTTTGCCCTCTCCTTTAGGGTAACCATCCTCTGCTGTACTCTGTAGCAATGTGTACTCTGCATAGACATCTTCTTGGCCTCTATGGAGTACAACCAGCACACGCTGGCTGCCATGCATTGGCTGGTAGAATCAATTGATGTACAGGATTAAACTGCATGTCTTGGTGCAAGATGCCTGACCTGAAAGGGGTCCATCTTCATTCCGGTGCTGTCGGCTCAAAAAGGGGTTCGGAGGTGTCCGAACCACCACAGAACGAGGTCAGAAAAAGCAACACTCTCACCACCCGTCAATGCATTAATAGAGCATCTCGCCCGTCCAGCCCGAGCGCGAGGCGGCGAGAAAGTGCTGCAAGCTGGTCGAATCAGCGCGGCGACGGACGGGCGGTGACCGTTTTGCTAGTATGGTTAAGTGCATATATTTACGGTAATTAACATTGCAATAACTGCTAAGTCTGCTGGTGCATTTCCGTACAGACCTAGTATTTACAGTTCCATACAGCAGGCATGAGCAGACTTCGTCCGCACCCAAAACATCCAACGTCGCCAGAGAGAAGATCTCGCATGGATGGCGACGAATCCTCCTGCTGCTGCCGTTACTCTCTGCTGGGCATCAGAAAGCCTGTACTAGCTCATCTACTGACTAGCCGACATCGAAGAACCATCCATCCCGACTACTATGAGGCGAACGCCCGAGTTTTCATCAGCTTAACCTCAATGTGTGATCCAAATCCATCATGGACTTGCGCACAATCATGAACTCCGACTCCGCGGGGGTCCCGAGCAAACCGCCCCAAGCACAACCTCCACCCTCTCCCTTGCAGCCGCGCACGAGAGAACCCAGCCCTCGCCGAGCGAGTTATCCTAATGAAACATCTCCTCCGGTCCATCCCTCCCATCCAACCGAACCGCGTGTAAGGCCACCACCGCCTCCACCACTGCAGCCTCCTCTTCATTCACCAGGACGATCTTCTTCCTACGGCTCTGCTCAATCACCATACCAGCATTCTTCCGCCAGCTCAATCCTAAGTGGCATTCCTCCGCCTCCGAACGCCCCATCCTACTCCCAAGGCTCCCAGTCCTTCCTCCCCGTTGCGCGCGACTCCTTTGCGGCCACATCCGCCCCCCTACCTCACCCCACAAGCTCCCTCTGCTCGCCATTTACTCCGCAGCCATTGAGCTCGGGAACACAGCAGACTTACTTCTCCCAGGCCCGCTCTCACTCGATTCATTCCGTCACGACGCCGTCGTCGGTTCGCAGCTTCTCGTTTCCTGCGCCACGCGAGGAAGCCGGAACAGCTCAGCATGCTGAGTTGCCTCAATCTTTGCCATATTCCCCCAACCAAGCAGGCTCGCAGCCGGCGACCCCTCTGGGGCCTCCTTCGGCATCGCTGAAGAGACCGTCCCCTCATCCGACGCGTCCAACTTCTTCAGGGCTTGATGCGGACCATGCACCGTTAACCAGCCCATGGGACAGACCCGATCAGCAAAGGGAGCAAAAGGAATCAGTATCGCCTATTCTTCAATCACAAATCTCACGGCAGCGATCATCTCTGGCGGACCAACTGCATAAACAACACTTGCTCGAGCGAGACGTCGATCGCCAGAGGACCAGCGTGAGCCCTAAAACGGTACTCGGAAAATCTGGCCATACTGCTGGGGACCTTGGGCGTGTTCAAGATCGCTCTTTGCAAGTTCATTCGAACAATGAACCTGACAGGTTATCATGGCAAACAACCAGTACGACAACAAACAATCCGGCACCACCACATGAAAGTGACCCGACATCCCAGTCATTGTATCCACCCACCACCCCTAAAACATCTCATCCTTCAAACTCTAGTCATCCTTCAACCGTATCTCCGACGTCGAAGCAGCAATTTAGGAGAGAGACAGATTTATCGTTTCAGCACCAGGATATACCGATGAAGGTAACCGATCAACCGGCTCCTCCCTCAGTTGCCTCTTCGTTTGTACCACGAAAGAAGCGCAAGCGATATCATGAACCTCCAATCTACGCTCAAAAAGCTCCTCGGACTACAGGAACCCCTCCTGCGATTCCAACGAGATATAAGGCCGGCTCTTCTTTTCCGTTCAAACCTCCGTTTCCTAAGCGCGAGAACCCGGATGATCGGCCTGTGTCACGAAACAGGTCTATGCCTCCTCGACAAGCTCCAACGCCACAAAGTACTCGATCCGATGTCAATGGAAACGCCGCACGATCTAGCACGGCTGGTGACTCTACATCGTCCCTCGGACCGTGGGAGCCCTCGATCACCGGTGTCATTCCGCACGAAGAGGTTACGAAGTTAATATGTGACTTTTTATTCCAACAGGTTGTCATGCGAAAGGACATCGGTGCTGGCCCTGCTGGAGGATCAGCCACAGGATCCGGAGCCATTTTAGAGGTAGAAGCCAAACTTGGACAGCTGGTTGACAAAAATAGAGGCGAGAGAGTACGCCTTCCGGTGCTCACTGAATGCATTATCAGCAGAGATGATCCAAGCATGCGAATCGCCTTCGAAAGCTCCATGACACTGGTACGCATTCCGTCCGTTATTTGCCGCTGTTGACATTTCCGAGTAGGTGTTAATGATTGAGATCTAGGCTCAACATCGCTCTTTGAACAACTTCCTCAATGAATCCGTCAAATCCTCCATGGGACCTGGTTCATCCCGCATCCCAATTACATATGCACACAAAAAGGAACGTGATACTTTCTATGAAATATCCTCTTCCGCACTCCCTCCAATCGTCCAGCATCACCTCAATCCCCGCCACAAGCCCAAAGTCCGTGTTACCACAGATCAACGGACAGGAGCGATACTGGCTCGGATTATCAAATGCCGCATTGCAGACCTGGATGTTTACAGCCCGAGAACGAACCTCGATTGGCGGATTAGCGTGAACTTGGAAATGAACTATGAGGGAGACATCAATGAACTCATACCAGCGAGCGACGCGGGTAACTTTGGTGGGAGGGCTAAGTCTAGGAACAAGGATCGCATGAGTTATCGGCATTTAGCATATCAAATTGACCTCACACAGGTTGCCACTGCGGAAGTGAGTACTCTCCAATTTTATAGTCTCGGGCTCGGTTCTGTGGAGTAATTTATTCACGTTACCCCCGCTGCAGGCAAACAATCCTCCAAACCCACAAGCTGATTTTGAGCACGAACTCGAAATCGAAATTTCCTCTGCAGAAATTCGACGACAAGGCGATCTTGCTCTTGCGGGCGACCTAGCTAATCAATACGAGGAACTGGTCAAAGGGTTTGTGGATAATGTCAGGGTGCTTGCAAGAGCGGTACCCGGAAGATAATTGTAATAACCTATCGGTTCGGCTTCTTCCTTTTTTCCTCTCTTCTTTCGACGATATATTTTTTCTAATGGTGAAGGGCAAACAAAAAAATTGGGTTATTGTACTTCTCGTTTCATATTATTTCTTTGTTACGTCTTCGGTTCTGACTGTGGATTCTGGTCGGGACTGGAGTGTTTTCTTTCTTTCTCTCCTTCTATATGATTCTTCCTTGTGTATTTCTAGCACCTTTCTCTTTCCCGGGCCTCTTGGTCTAGGGGTAATTTTATCCTCTTTAATAATTATGGGTATAATTATGCGCTTGTTGCATATCCTTCGGAGCAATAATTCTTTGAGGGAGCAAATATGTTCTTTCAAGCCTTACTTTCAGCATTCCAATTCCAATTTTCTCATAGGATCATTAGATATGACTTGTCGCACTATCGATAAGGAAAAGAAAGACAAATGTTAGATAAATACCAATGTCAAAATATCAATCAGCGAGCCAAAAACAAGAGTGCAAGTGGAAATAGGAGATCACACCAAAACGGAGGTTAACAACATACCAGAAATTCCAACCAACTGCAGATAAGGGGGTATTCACGATGTATCAAGTGAGAGCGCAAACCATTCTAGAAAGGCCACAACACGGCACAAGAGAAAACATCTTGACATAAAACATAAGTTTAAAACAACATGGATCACATCAAATAGCATTGTAGCTCAGACGAAAGTGATGAACTCTGCACATCACCATTAAAATAGACATGCAATGTAGTAGTAAGATAGGTCCAAAATTCGGGTCATACCATATATAATTCGTAACATCTTCATATTCCCATTGCAGAGCCAGGAGCAGCACTGGTCATATACGTGGTATTCGACGTTATACCAGCCGTAGGCGTACTCCGATCATCGCCGCCATTCATCGCACCTCGTTCTCTAAGGCGTCGCCCTTCCATTAACCCCCTCAACCCACGTTTCTGTAGACCAACTACGCAACTGATTCCTCCCGTCCAGACGTCTCTATCCGGCCTGCTGTGGGCATGATGTCTGCTAGACCCATCACCGCTGCTAGATTGGCGGCCCATATCGGAGTCAGTATAGCTGAAACTAGTATTTGTCGACGCGGAGGTAACGGTACTAGCGCTACTGATCGATTCCGCGCGATGACGCATTCCCAGGTCGGTGTTGATTCGAAGATTTGACGGTCGTTGCTGGGAAGCAGAGTTGCTGGACTCGCGACGACCAGACGCAGATTTTCTGTCCGCATGTCCGCCGTCATTATCTGAGCTAGAATGCATTGCAGACATTTGTGAATTTGAAGAAGGTCCAGGCTGGTCAGAGCGCAATTTGACACCGTTCAGCACCTCCAATGTCCCACCAGGACCACTTGTGAAGCCGGTCCCACGTCCACCTCCGGCGGCCATGGCGGCGGCGTTGAATACTGCGGCCGCATTTCTACCATCAAGAACCTGGTGGAGACGTTCAACGGTGGCTTCAAGCAATCCATCAACCTGGTACGGTCGAGCTAGCTGTAGAAGCGAGCAGAGAATTTGAGGGGTACATAACGGAGAATCAATAGACGGCAGGGATGAAGTGTAGAGAAAATGGACGAGGAGTTGGACGGTTAGGTGGGTGTGTGGAAGGTAGAGGGTGCGAGGTCGTGAAGTTGGCGTGAGGGAGTGAGCGGAGGGTATCTCAAGGTTAGGAAGCGCGGCAGCAGAGTCTTTCCTGCCGGTGTTGGCAATGGTGCCAGGCTGGTTAACCAAGGTTGTTGCTGTGGAATACTGACTGGTATTGCTGATGGAGGGAGTTATTGTGATATTCGAATTGCGTTTATTGCTGGAGTGATTATTGCCAAAAGAAGAGCCCGGCTGGCGAACGGTAGCCACATCAGAAAGACTGTCTGAAGCAACAGCTGTGGATTCACGAAGCAGGCGGACAAAATAGGGGCCCCATCGTCGAGCAATGATATGAGAATTGACGGGTATTCGTTCGCCGCCAATTGTAAGCAGCTCCATATCAGACAATTCCACAAAGGACTGGGCCATGAGACCCAACTGCTGTGCCGCTGAGGAATACTGTCGGCCACCGCCAGCTTGTTGAGAGAATTTTGGTTGAATAGACGCTGGTATTGCGGGAGCGCTCACTGACTGATATCCTGACGTCGGTGATGTCCTCCGCGGATTCTCGTAGAGTCCAAAAGCCTCCAATTCCACCATGCAGACGTGGGCAAAATTGAGCCGCCGATGGTTGTAATCCTCAACCAGGCTTCTCTTTCTATGTCCCAAAATCACAAACGTGCTCCTTCTGTTCCACAAAACACCGCGATTCCAGCTTCCGTTGCTGAATATAGTTCCACCCACGTCTATACGTCCCCATGTCAACGTTTTTAGGTTCAGCGCCCAGAGCGCATACTCTTGTTTCGATGAGGTTAAATACGTGCCGCTAACAACGAAGTGACCATTGATAATGCCGCCATTCGGGAATCTAAGGCCAGGTGGTGAAACAGAAGTATCCATCGTCTTCTCTATTAAATTGCCGTCCGGGAGGCGCACTTGAAGCTCAAGTTTGACATTAAGAAAGTGGTAATTGGAATAAATCAGGAGAGGAGTTCCCTGGTTTTCTGATTCTGTGTCTGTCGGGTCCGATTCCTTGTGACTTTCTCCGATTTGCGATGCTGGAGTATTGATAAGTGGCGCGACGACGCTTCGGTAGGCTCCACAACTCCGGTCCAGGGGTGTTGTCACCGTCCACTTCAAGCTGCGCAGGTTGAAGACGCTTATTTGTTCAATATAATGATTTGAGCTGTCTTGGCCTCCAACCACAACCATCTCTGCCCCCCCAAAGCCATCAATATCTACTCCGATCGTTCCCTGATGTGGATTTGCGGACGATGGATTATTTTGGATGGCGGATAGGGGCGCCTGAGCAGACGTGAAGATAGCCGACGATGGAAGTATAGCCGCACAATGAGCGTACCTCCCTTGGGGTGTGTTATCGGTGTGAATGCGAGTCCAGGTTCGCGTCGGTACGTCCAAGATATGTACATCGGACATCACCACAATTTCCGGCTGCGATTCCTGGTTACCGGATGGGGATAAACTTGATGACTGGCTCGTCTGCGTGGTTCTAGGAGACATTCCGCCGTAGCAAACGAGCTTTGTATCACCTAGTGCACATACACTATGAAAATATCTTGGTGACGGCACATGCCCGGTGGTCTGCAGCTTACTCCAATGGCGCCTTATCAGATCCAGTTCGTAGAGATCTGAGGTCAAATCTGGTCGAGTCCTAGATAGCATGCGCCCTCCAAAAACGTATAATTTGTCGCCGAGAATAGTGGTAGTGGCGCCTACTAACGCGTGAGGCTCTCTCCCGGTAGTTTTATAAACATTGCATACCAACCCCGACAGGTTCGCAGAGCCAACGTTGGTCGTGGGCCCGGCAACTGCAGGCCGTGGGTGCAGAGTCGAGTGCTGGGCGTTGTATTCATCGCGGCTGGTGTCAAGGCCCATATTTGATGACATTTTCGCGGGCTCACTATGGGGGATGAGGGGTGTTATCGGCGAAGGATTTGAGTTTTGATGCTGAGTGTTATAGTATTCTTTGGATCGTCCATGCGGGGTATTTTCGTCTAAAGATGGGCGTGAAGTTTTCAAATCTAACGAGGGTCTTTCGGTGGGAGGTGCATTAACATTAAATACAAATTTGGGTCGTTTATTTCCAGTTAAAGTTGACCTTCGAAATCTCGACTTGAGTCCGAACTCCGTGATAGAGGATGCAGCGGGTAAGCTCGAGCGGCGACTCGCGTTCGATTTAGGTGCGGGTTGCTGAGATGAAGTATCGAAGGCCTGAGAGATATTAAGGTCGGGCAATGCCGCAGAGTTCAAAAAGCCTTGCCCCTCTGAAAACGAAGTAGATGGCCGCGATTGTGATGAAGGCCCAAGGTCCTTAGGTTTGGCGTCGCCGTGTCGAAAATATCTCTTTACCGACGAAAACGGGTTCGATATTTCGAAGTTTGGGGGCGCAGAAGTCGGAAACGAGTCACCTGAAGGGATAATGGCCTTCGAAGCTCGCCGTTCAGCACCTAAACGCGTCATGGTCGGTTAACCGCCACATTCCAGAAACAAGAAGAGTTTGTTGACACAATTCGGTTTTTTCTCTGAAAGGGGAAAGCCAATGTCAAAAGTGAGGGGAGTATGGTCAATGCAATAAACAAAACACCAAAGCAGCAAAAAAAAAGTCGGACGAAACCAAGATACGTACTCTTGACAAGCGTCAGTCAGCGCAACGCAAAGCGCATTTCCCCTTGGAGTGTGGTTCCCTGTTGACAGGCAATATAAAATGGCGCCCCCACCAAGCAGACCCTAGGAATATCTGAAACGGAATATCGACAAGATAATGGACAAGGCTGGCGCAGTAATTGGAGGCTGAAAGAGAAAAAAAAATGTAGAGAATAATACAATTTTGAATACTTTAATTTTCTTGTACCCTCTCGGCTTTTCCTTCGGCTCAAGAAAACGTTGAGGGTGTGTGATGTACGGAGAAAAAAAGGGCGAAATATCAGGGTTGCATTGCAGGCCGTTGACGATTATGTGTGGTCCCTGGGGAGGGTTGGAGGCTGGTCAAATCGGTACCTCTCCTTTCGCCTGGTTCCCCCCAGCTGACACCTTTAATAGGGTAACGAGCTTGGCGGGGCTAGAGGGAGCAGGCGATCCAATTTCACTCAGAGGCGGGATTCGAGGATTGCCTGCAGGGAACTCTCATGAAGGCTTGAAATGAATACAGAGGCTTCGTGCATGAAAAATACTCGTCCAAGCTAGCCAGTCGGTAAAATGACAACGCAAGCGCGTTAAATCGTCGACTGCCTCGCCAGACTGCTCAGGAAGACAGGTCCTTGCCAGCCGGTCGACGTGAAAGGGGGGAAGACGGACGAAGGTCGTTCGTTGCGCAAGGGAATCCGCCATCCATGGAACGGCGACGAGCGTTTCTGAGTAATCGGGACTAAGCCTTGTATGGTTTAGCGCGGGCGGCTGTCAGTGGCCCCGAGAAACATGGCCGGTGGAACAAAGTTAGGCCGAGACACTTGCACTGCTGAGGTAAGGCGGTCCAGGCCGCTGCGGTCGGCTTGGCGCTCTCTTTGTCAGCTTGCGTTACAACGGGGTTGATCTGTGTCCTGGCAATGAATCTTAGTTACGAAGATCCCAACCCCTGAGGATTGTATTGGCAAGATCCAGCTTTCAGGACTGAACTGACAGGGAAACAGGTACTAATCTGACAGCGACTAAGCAGTGCTGATCCTGAAAGGGTGAGAATGCGCCAACAATAATCTCCCAATTGTTAATTTGTCTTACTGCAAACCTGGGTGGTTCTCAATCAAATGCCATTTTGTATATTCGCACATACCTTAATGATTTAGATCAGTAAAAGCTGTACTCCGTACGGAGTACTCCATCATCTAAGTCTTGCACGGTGCTCTTGGTATCCATCATGACTCAAGCAGATGGAGAGATCACCCCAGCCAGTTCACTGTCTGGTATCCAACTTCAACTATTCATGTTAGGTGGGATCAACTCTATCCTAATCTCGTACCCAAGTTTCTATCTAATAGTTAGTGCAAACAGGGACTTTTCGAGCGACAGAAGCCATCGCGTGGACCAGCATTTTCCCATATGTATATTTCATGATCCAATCTTTTGATGAGGTTGATCATGCAGATATACCGTTGTATTCTGGTATGCTCATATCCATATTCACATTTTGTGAATTCCTTAGTGGGATGGTATGGGCCAAAATCAGCGACCGGATTGGAAGAAAGCCAACTTTATTGATTGGGGCTCTCTGTGGCATCATTACAGCCATATCATTCGGGTTATCCAAGTCTATGGTTGCGATTACACTGTCAAGAGCATTGGGAGGGCTTACAAACCCAAATGTTGGCGTAGTGCAAACTTGTGTTGGCGAATTGGTTGAGCGGAAAGAACAGCAAGGTATGCGCTACAGCCCATAAAGCTTCAGGACATGGAATGGAACTCCGAGAAAATGAGTTGTGCTACTGGAGCTAACTCGGTTTCAGCAAAAGCATTCTCTGTTGTTCCTTTTCTTCGCAGCCTTGGGTAAGGCATGATATTCTCCATAGTGAGGCCTAATACCTGACCTTGAATGCACCTAGAACTCTCCTCGGCCCGCCGTTAGGCGGACTCCTGGCAGACCCGGTCAAATTATACCCGAATGTGTTTCAAGAAAAGTCGATTTGGAAGAGCTTTCCATACTTACTTCCAAACTTGCTTGTTGGTGTGCTTTCGTTCTCTGGCATGGTCTTGGGGCTTCTGCTTTTACAAGAAACCCATCCACAGCTTGTGAACAAACCAGATATTGGAATTCGCACATATCTTGCATTTAAGTACCTTTTTACAGGAAATTTCAGAAAACACAATTGCGCTCGATATTCGCGTTTGGACCACGCTGAAGAGGATGGAATAGAATTAAGAATGGAAACTGAAGCAGAGCCTGAACAGGAGGCAATACAGGCACCGTGTGCCATAACAACTTCATACAAAACCAAGCCCACCGAAAAGCCAGTTTCAAAGGCTTTCACACTTCAGGTTATACTGCAAGTTATCTCTGTTTTTATATTGGCGTTTCACAAAGTATCTTCAGACATTATAACGCCCATATTTCTCGCAATTCCCGCAAAACCAACCAAACCAGCCGATAACCTTGTGGAGAGGAATATTTTCCAGTTTACCGATGTATTCGGCTTCAGCTCTCAGAAAATTGGATTCATCCTTCTTACCCAAGCTGGAGTGGCTATCATCGCACAGTCAACCTTAATTCCTTGGATTGTCGGTCGATTTGGAGCATTAAAATGCTACCGAATGATTCTCTGCATCTTTCCGGTCGCATATCTATTCACACCATTCCTCGTTAAGCTGAAGTCGCCTTTTTCTATAATCGCATTATTGTTTGATCTATGGGTGAAGGTATTACTTTCATCGACAGGATACATATGTTCTGCTATCTTGTAAGTTACAGTCTGTCGCCTTACATAAAGCTATGTCTGACTCCGTTGCATGATTACGAACACTGCACCATCGAAAAGTTTTCTAGCGAGGATCAATGGTGTGGCTGCCTCATTCGGCTGCCTTGCACGATCAATTGGTCCATTGATATCCGGGCGACTGTTTAAATGGGGTATTCAGGAAGGATATATTGGAATTGCATTTTGGACTCTAAGTACTGTCGCCTTTATCGGCGCGCTAGAGTCATTTTTCCTCTTAGACCATGCGTGATAATCGATGATCCAGCAGTCCTTATGCACCCCTACTTCATAAACTCGAGAATCCTTCGAGTGTTTCGTTTTACTTTGCCTTTGCTGATGTTTGAAGATACCCGAATTTAACTGAAAGGTTCTAAAACCTTGCTATCATCTTTATTGTCTAGCTATATTGTAGTCTCACTCTCTGATGCTATTCCTCGATTCTGAGAATGCCGAATGATTCTCTCGCACTACGAATTTAATCAGGGCTCTTCGAAGTCCTCATTGAAGTTATCGAAGCCGAGATACTCTTTTGTCTCCAGATTCCGTACGGCTTTCTCTCCGTTTGAACCCATGAGCTGACCAAGCGCCGCATGGTCTTCGGGACTCAGCTCCACCAAGCAGTCAAAGTTTTCTGAGATTCTTGACAAATTATTACTTTTCGGTATCACAGATACACCCAACATGATCAAATGAGCCAGTATAATTTGCGCTGGAGTCCGAGAATACCTTTCCGCCATTGCCTTAACCTGCGTCGAATGATTAAATGGAGGGTTCATTGCCGGAAGAGATCGCCCAGGTAAGGTTTGGTCACTTACAGTGCAGTCTTCAAGTGGACCAGGGGTTTTTCTTCCAATTAAGTATGGGACTGGTGTGCAGCCCAGAGGTCCATATGCAGTAACATGGATTTCGTGCTCGTGACAAAATCGCAGGAGTTGCTTCTGCGGGAAATACGGGTTGAGTTCAACCTGGTTCACAACTGGGAAGATACGGCAGACGCTCAAGAGACGCTTTAACTTAGGGGTTGAGAAATTCGATACCCCTTAGACAGCCGGTAGTTAACAAACGATAAATGCTGCCCCGTAACTTACTAGGGGAATCCCAAGTATCGCAGGCACTAACCTATTAGTTTTGCTTTCCCTTGGTCTACTAAATTCTCCATGGCTTTCCAGGTGGTGTCAAACGCTCTCGAGAGCTCGATGTCAACAACAGGCTGCTACTATCAGCTGAAGAACGAGATCTCTCGAAGGTTTCGTACTTTTCCGTCCGGCTTTCTCACAGTGGAGTAATTTTCCCCTTTGGTATACGCATATGGAACTGGGCACCGATATTAATCAAGCTTGCAGCAAAGTTCATCCAAAAAGACTTATAACATACAGTGCATCAGATATAGATCGACTTGATCCCAACACGATCAGTATTAATACCATTATTGAGGCTATGTCGCCTTACCATAGCCGAGCCCCAAATTCTTCAGGCTCATATTCATCCCAACCTCGACATCTTCGGGCGCATGGAAGCAATTATGACTTGATTCCCAAATGTCATTAGTAACGGGAACAGATCGGGTAGTTGGGCAATGAACAAGTTCTTACAGCTTCGTCACCACAAACACATCCTCCCTCGGAACACCGCTCGCACGGATCGCAGCGCCTATGCCTCTTTCTACCGAACCCCAACCATACGCCAGCGCCGCGTCAATGTGTCTGTATCCAATCTTCAACGCATGGAGAACAGAATCTTTGACGGATCCTTCTGGGTACAGGCTGGGATCAACTTGGAAGGTTCCTAGGCCGCGGGCGGGAATACGAATGGAAGTATTCTTGAGCGCGAAGGAGGTAGCGATAGGCATTGTGTATAGTGTCTGGGACTCGACTTTCAGAGAGTAAGTTACAACTCGAGGAAATATGTACCGTGTATTAAATCAGTTATAATAAATATATAGGGATCTGTGTGTGGTACGGAGTAGATTTGCAAAATTTGGCGGAGCAGTGAGGGGTAGCTAGCCATCATGATCTCTAGTACATTTAGGGATGCACCATAGACATGCATATGTATACACATACCTGTATGAAACGTTGTCACGTCCTAATCACTTTGAATGGCCTTTGAAGTTAGGTAGATTGTGACTGTCTCGGAGGATTTAGCGTAAGTCGCAACTGCAAGGGAGCAACATGGTGGACATTCAGGAAGAGGATATTACGAGTATTTGTAAATAGCAGCACCGGCAGATGCATATTTAGCTATAAATTATGTGTAAATTTTATTCTATCATTGCCATACAAACTGTCAACTGTAACTACTATAGTCTTTGTCTTCAACTTCGCCAAACTTGGATTCTTCACTTCAGTTTTCACATGATAGTCTGTTATTGAAAACTCCACGATTAACATTTCAGAGCATCTTTTCTACCTAGCGTAGCATGGTGGTAACCGTGGTAATACGAGTGATAGTAAGTACATACAAGGCAATATTATATTTTGACACCAATGTCTTGTGGGCTTGCAAGTTATTTGCGGCGGAAGAAGGTTGGAAGCTGACTAGCTCTCGTATATATGTAACTGCATAGTTAACTTGGAGGTCTGGAGATATAAGGGTAGTCTGCATGCTACGATGCATTCAGTCAGCTCCGACCAAAATACCACTCAGGACTCCAATCCCCTTCGGTGCGTAACCATAGCTATCTCTCCACCTTTTGGGCATAAAAGTGTCCTGTTGGGGGCTAAAGTCATTAAGTTTATGTTTGATGTATTTAGCCAATCCCTTGGAATGAAGAACTGCGGTCTGGGTTTTGCCATAGTGACATCGAAGTCAAGTGTACATATCCAATTCTCATAGTCAAGGAAAACTAATTGTCCCTCACTGGCCGAGGGTTTTGTACGGGGGCAAATGCAACCAAGAAATCGTTGAACGGTACCCGACATGATTAGGTTCCTGCGTTTCTGTGTACTAGATTCTAGATCAGACGCGAGGATAACATCAACCCTCAAACATGGAGTTGTATCACTGCCAATTTCGCAAATCAGGTAACGCCCGTCAATAGTCTTAGTAATTTTCTGGACATTGTCCTGGACTCCCGCAGAGGGGTTTGAACTGAAAGATGGGACCTGTACGGCTGTGTCCTTTGAAATATTTCCAAACCGGGACTGTTGCATGTCGATTGTCGGGCTTTGTACGTCATCAACGCGTCTTAAATCCTGCCAGTGATGAACATGATATTCCTTTGGGTCAATCCAGATGAGTTTGCCCATATCAGATGGATGGTTGAACCACCTTCGTCCCGACGGATGCTGCCATCTGATCCTACTAACTTCGCTCTTCTTCTTGATGTTCCAGATACAATCCATCGTTCCAGTACTAACGAGCAACATACTTTCGTCGGGACTGAAAAGGGCTTGCCGAACAAGTTCCCGGATTCGGAAATCGAAAACATTGAATACAATCCATTTTCCATCTTTTTTGCCGAGTGCTTTTAGGATGACCTTTCCGGCATCATCCGCGGAGACAAGGAACCTGCGGGACGGAGACCACTCAAGGACAATGACATCACTCATGACTGAATGACTCCAGAGCTTTTTTATTTTCTCACCTTCCTTCATTTCATGAAGCCAGATTGTGCCGTCATCTCTTCCGCAGACATAATAGTCAGCTAAACAGTCGTAGGCCACAGAAGTGGTTATGGGAGTGTCCTGTGTCCCTCGCGAGAATGTGGGCTCAGAGACGTCGGAACCACCAAAGAGACTTGAACCCTCTTCTTGATCTCCTTCCTCTAATCGAACAAGTGCATCTGGTTCCCAGACGTTGCAAATAGACCCCCGTACATCGTAGATACGCTGGTTATCAGGGCTGAGAGTGAGGTCCCGAACGAACGGCCCGCAATAAAGCCTGTATATTAAATTAAAATTTGATACGGTCCAAACACTCAATGTTCCAGTGTTGCTGCTGGTCAAAAGCAGTGTCCCGTCGTCGCTCGTGGCCATCTCGCGGGCTTCGGTGTTTTCATATTCAGTTTGAGAGCCTTCTTCTGCTAGATACCAATGAACAATAGTGTTGTCCTGGTAGAGAATGAACAATGATATCCCGTTTGGTTGCCAGCATACTATTTCGGGAGCGCAAAATACGTCGCCCTGTGGTTTGGTTCGCAATCGTTCCCAGTCTTTGTCCCGGATACACCGTTTAGGTTCCTGGGAAGAATCTTCAATAAGGTCCCAAATGAGCACGGGTCGTCCGCGATATGCAACAGCTATCTTGGATAGATCGGGACTGATTGCCATGAGGCGCGGACAACTATGTCTGCGATCGCTCCTATCCTCCACATCGTATTCTGCTAGAACGCCGGACGTGCAAAGGTCATACTTGGCAACTGTGCAGTCATCATAGCCCACGAGTAATTCGGAATCATTATCCCCAAAACTGATACACATGACTCGTGCCTGGCGATCTCTTTTAAGTAAACGAATCTGTTCTCCTGTCGAAATATCCCATACTTTGAAGGTATATCGTCCGGTTGTAACCAGTAAAGTACGCGATCTATTGACCTCCATGAGAGTCACCCATTCGCCGTGCTCTAGGAGTCGAAGTTTTTCGAACGTCTCCGCGTACCAAACAATGATCGCCCCTTTGCTCGAGACGAGCGTAAGGAAAAAGACACCTGCACAGCGAACCTTCGAAGCGGTCTCATCTTGGCCAACGGAAAGATGAGCTAGATTATCACCCCAGCCACGAAAAGGCACACCTTTAACAGCTACAGCCGATGTTTTCGGTTCATTATAGACCTCAGCTATGATGGAATCCTTCGGGCATAGAGGAGGAATAAGTTGGTGAATGATCGAAGGTTTTTGAACCAAGTTTGAGCCAAACTTTCCCACCAGTCGGATGAGATCAAGGGTCCAAAGCTCTAAGGGTAAAACTGTCCCATCCTTTTCACTGGGGATTGGGATAGATGTCGCAGAAACATGCCCAGTTTTTCTTAGTTTACGCATATAAGCTTTCAGGTACCGAGCAGTACGGGTAAGGGTTTGTAATTCGTTGAAAAATGCTACTGCATGAACCCAAGTTAAGACATATTTGTTGAAGAAGCGGGTTAGAAGGCCTTTGAGTTGCGGGGATTGAGTGGTCGAGTGGCTCAGATGGAAAGCCCAATTATCTTTGGCATATCCCAAGAAGGGATGTGCCTTCAAGATTACGTTCAACATATCAGGTGTTCGGGAGGGCTTGTCACCCTTCGCAGCTTCAAGGGTAGGCTGCAGCTTATCATCGCAAAGGTAGTCGAGGCAGATTATAGCAAGACTTTCATGACCAACATGGAAATCTATTGCTGGGGGCAGTCCATTTGAGCTGCTAAAGAGGAATTTCCGCGCAGTAGCGTGAATCAGAGACACTTGATCCTTATCAATACGAATAAAATGACAACATAATTCGATAGTCGACTCATTGAAACTGACTTGTTTCTTATTAAACCTTCGTCGAAGCGCGGTTTCAAACTCGGTAACTCGAAGTGGGCGAAAGCTGCAGGATGCCCATGTTAATATTGCCATAGCCACTTCTTGCAACATCGGTATATCATAATTATGAATTTGTTGCAGCATCTTTCCGTACATGGATTCCATGTCGCTCGGAACGTCGTCCAAAGCCGTTCTAATATCATGTTCCAGGTGGCCGGTACGCCGTAATGTCTCCAATGCCAATTTTGCCCAGAGAAATGAGCCCTCAGCTTTTGCCAATATTTGTTCAATAACCCTCGGTTGGATTTCTGGATTGCGTGGAAAAGTTATTGGGGCAGCAGCTTTTAGGTAGATGTTAATATCCTCGTTTACGTCTGAGATGGAAGTAGACTCCAGGCAAACATCGCCTTTTCGAGACAAAGCGAGGTTCGTCAGATCGCTCAAGGGCCGACTGAAGAGTAAAAGTTTGATTTGACTTCTTGGCCGCATCTGCATGAGAAGGGCGACGAAGTCCTTCGATGTTTCTGCCTCATCTATAGCGTCTATCACCCAATAGAGAGTGTGAGTGAAATTCATTTTGAAGATAATGCCCTCAAAAATTGTATCCCAAATAGCCTGAAACTTCTGGTTTTCAATAGTCAAAGAAGTCTCACGGTACAGTCGAAGTAGCCTGGCGGCAAACTCTCGATTGGATCGAGCCAGCTGAAACGCGATTGAGCGCAAGCAGTATGCGACGCGTCTTTTTGTTGGCTGGGACCCAATGAAGAAATAGGATTGACAATTTTCCTTAAAGTACCGTTCGTGGAGCAAACCGATGGTCATGGCGGACAAGGTTGACTTGCCAGCTCCTGGCATCCCCGTAAGCCAGAGAATGTTGGTGGATGTACCTGGGCTATTGTCAAGCCATCGATTAAAACTATCACGATTGTGAAACCACTGGCAGGATCCCGGCGTCCCTTGTTTTAAATATTGGGAAAGGTCGTCTTCCGGGGCTTGCTTGATTCCCAATGCTTCCATAAGCACCCCCTCGGGGTGGATTTCTGCCGAAATTTATTAGCACTCTAGGCTGATATACATATGACCTGAATCTATTTGTAATACCTGATCCTTCAGTTAATCGCCTCAGATAGCCGGTGACTGTGATAAAATTTGAGTCAGATTGATCCCGAAATTTACAGACTGTATGGTGGTCTGCAGGGAGTGGAGTCCAAATCTCATTTGGCAGGTTGAGGACAGCCGAATCACGATCTACAATCTGGGTAAGTTAACGGAGATGTCAAGAATTGGTGGAATGGGAGCCACTCACTATCCGCTTTTTCCCCGGCCCAGTTTTGGTGGTGCTAGATTCAACCACAGAGACAATCCGTAAACGGTCACAAACAGCAAGGAATTGGACATGTAGATCTTGCATCGACGGCAACATGATGTCAAGCTCAGAGACATATATTTTTCGAGGTATTCCTGTCATTGCCAGGATGCTGTTCAGGGCGTTCGCATATAGAATGCCTTTATGCGGGGTGGAGAGGAACATAATTCCATGTACTTTCGAGATGATTTGAGAAAAATTCTTGTTCTGCTGGCCAACAACATATGCCTGAATGAATATTAGTTGAATTCTAGAAAGCGGGCGAAAATTAGAAAGGTGCGTTGTACCTTCTTGACAATCAAACCACCCATGGAATGGGAAACAAAAACGATAGGTTGCTATACATACAACCTATGGTTAGTAAGATACCTCTTGAAGTCCCATTTTTTGTATGCAAAACTTGGCCCACCGTTCCTATAAGTTTATTGCCATCCGGGCCGCCAAATCCATAGCTCTGCATTGCTGATAAGAGATTTATGGAAAAGTCGAGGATGCTCTGAGAGGTACTGTTGTCGGTAAGATTGGCCTTGTATCCAAAGGTAAATATTCTACAATACGAAAAACCTGGATGATGTGGCAGCCATTCCGGCCAGAAGATTTCGGGGTTGTGATCCCATGACCATGATCTTCTGGATGAGCCACCAAGGCCATGAACGAAAATTATGTCTGTTGTAGAATATGGAGGGTTGTAGACGACAGAGAGTCCCTCAAGATCAGAGGTAGATGGATTGCTACTAAGCGATGTGGTCTTCGAGACCGTAGATAGTGCAGCGGTTGACGCATTCGAGACACTCTCGCTTCTATCACACAGCTCGACACGTTGAGCTGCCCTAATAGATTCTGCGGTGTAATCTGTAGCTTCGTCTTTTTGTTCAGGACCTCGACTCCGAAATCTGCGGAGCTGGCGTGTTGTGAGATAACTAGATTAGCAACGGCGCTCCTGCAATTTTGAAAAGTCCAAACCCAGCTTACCATTTTGCATGAAATGCGACCAAGGAAGTGAGCTTTGTGCAGTTAATGACCAAGACCAGATCCAAGTCCGGTGGTTTTGACGTTGTTAGGTATAGTTATTTGGACGGGGCTGACAGAAGGTGAGGCCAAAATTCCGGCGGCTAATTTAGGTCACAATCTCGAGTCCAGCCAAGCCCGGCCCGTTCCCCGCTTCAACCCTAGAGCAGTGGGTCCAGCGCCTAACCCAAAGAGCTCACGGGCATGGAGAATAAAATCCAGGGCACACATGAGCCGACAGTGAGATGAGCTCGGAACTCCTATGTGTGTAAGAAGAGTTCATTCAGCACAGTTGTCGGCCGTGGGATCCGAGCCTCGACGGTTAGAGGTCGTCCTGCGCTCAAAGTGCGATGTGGTCTGACTGGGAGTGTTGGTGTCAATTTCCTTGATGCGGCCATTTTCCACCTAACATGGAACCCCGGCTCAGAATTGACGGAACACGCAACCAACGTACCGACCAATGGGGGAGACGTTAGTGAGATGGGAGGGAACGACAGCGGCGGATTTCTCCGATCAAAACACGAAACTTCTTTCACACTGTGCGAAACATACGGAAAACTGAGGTGCTGAGAGCACCAGTCTCCTTATTTCCGCCACATTATCCAATGTCTAGGTATTCCTGCAGTTGCAAAATACGTTGAAGACCAGAGTCGTTCTCAAAATACAGTCATGGCTGCCGCTGCCTCTCCAGTCTTGCAGGATATCATTTTCAAGGATGACTTTGGCGAACATACCCTTGATGTAGATAGGCATGGGGGAGACCAGGCTCCAGCTGCTCCAGTCCCAAAGCCCGAGGTTCGGGGCAATTTTGACCTGGACGATGCTGTTGTGGATGGTGGGCCAGATCATTCGAAGCCAGAAAAGAAATGAGGCAGCTAATACCTCCAATAGCTCTACCCATACCTGGAACCAAAGTTATCTCGGCATATAATTATGGGATGTCTCTCTGGGGTCAGACTGCAAAGATATATACGGTTCTGCCAACCGGAGAGCGGAAGGAATATTTTCTGAAGGTATTAGGTCTCAGTTCTTTGTTTCTCAGCCTGTGAATCATGCTCACCTGCAAAAACGCAGGCCGTGTCACTTGGAGATGACGGTCGTGTCATGATTGAGGGTGAATACGAGTCTCTGAAAGCAATTCACGCAGTATCGCCGGACTTCGGACCAGAACCCTACGCATGGGGAAAGTTCCGAAAAGACGAAGAAGGTACTTATTTCCTCCTTGCGGAGTACCGAGAAGTGGGTGAACAGCCCCCAAATCCCCTCAGATTTACTGCTCGTCTCGCAGAACTGCATCAAACATCCGTGTCGCCAACAGGAAAATTCGGCTTTCATATAACCACATGTCATGCGAAACTTCCCCAAATAACCGATTGCTGGGAGGAATCATGGGAGGTCCTGTATAGAAAACAGTTGGGCCATATGGTCAAATTAGACGAACAAAAACATGGGGAATGGCCGGAGTTCCAGGCTGTAGCTCGGCTCGTGCTTGAAAAGGTTATACCAAGGCTTCTCCGGCCACTGCAGAGCGAAGGTCGCAGCATAAAGCCATGCTTGGTCCATGGAGATATGTGGGATGAAAACGCTGCGACTAATATGGATACCGGTGAGCCCTTTGTGTTTGATGCAGGGTCATTTTATGCTCATAATGAATATGAAATTGGAAATTGGAGAGCGCCAAGACATCGCCTAAGCGACAAAGTCTATGTCAAAAACTATCGGCGGTTCTATCCCGTCTCCGAGCCTGGTAGGTTTTCAAAGTTTCTTTGGGTTTGCGGATGGTGTAGCCAAAGCTAATCTCTAGGCAGAGGATGACTGGGATGATAGAAACCTTTTATACTCCCTAAGATACGATCTAGGCGCCGCAATCCTCATACCCGGATGCAATCTTCGCCAGATGTAAGCTACATTCTTCTCGCAAACCTAATTATACGCGGGATTGACACCCCATAGCGTCAAGGACGGAATGGCAACTCTCTGCAAAAAGTTTTGTCCTAAGGAATTGATCGCCGCAACCGAGCAGATGCCATTGCCTTCTAGCCTAGACTTCCCGATAGACGATGACTGGGCTGAGCTTGAAGAATACAATGAAAAAGCCGGGAATAGTTATCAGGTTGATTTACTAATAAGTCCTGTGGAGGCTGGGTTAATCGACAGATTCAAAGACGAGGAATGCGAAAAGGAGAGCTCAGAGAAAACAACCATCGAAACTATGGAGCACAATCTCGAATCCTCCAACCGTTCAAATCAGCCAAGATCCCATGGACGTGACGAAGAGAATGTAAAGGTGATGTTAGGGGGGACGATGGACCAGAAGGTAGATGAGAGGAGCGGAGAATCGGTGCTACTGAACACCGACCAAATAACAACATCGAAAGACAATGAGGAAAAGAAGAAGCAGAAGAAGAAGAAGAAAAAGAAGCAGAAGCAGAAGAAAAGAAAACAGGGGCCAACAGACAAAAGAGCAGCAGGAGAATAAAAGTTGAAAATGAAATGAAAAGAAACTGCAAGAGAGAGGAGAGTGTCTGCCAAACACTCTGGACAGAATTCTAATAGCTACACCATATTCTTTCAGCTGCACAGACTAGACTTTGAAGTAGATTTCTTGTTGACAGCGCTGGCAAGCTGATAGAAGTGAAAAGGGTACTGAACTGGGTGAACAAGCTTGTGTCACTACAGAGTACTCTGGAACGTGCAGATTATTTTCAAACCAACACACTTGGGCACCTCAACCTTAATATGTCATCAACGATGTACGGGATACCTTTTGTTAGGTAACTATTCCAGGAAGGATGTGTGGGAGGACCAACTGTATTAACCACTCTGTACCCCGTACTGTTAACTAGTTAACAGTTGCTTAGAGTTTATAGAACTTGGTGTATTGCTGATTATCCCGTGATTGGTCTCTTGTGCCAGTTAGTTACTCATCAAAATTCCCATGAGGCGGTGGGTGATGGCAGAATACGGAGGCAGCCTAGTCCCATGCAATAGAACGCATGTTTATAAGTATGGTCCGTACTCTGTACACACTTGGCGGTTCAATTCTATCAAGGCAATTCCTGGTTTAATTTTGCAATTAAAGACTAGTTATGGGGTGGTTGGTTACTCAAAGGTGGTTAGATCAACTTGATTCATTGGTCATTACAGATACCGCATAAAAACTCCCCGATTCTCAACTCCTGAAACCCAAAGCACAATTTAGTTCTTAATAGTGGCATATCGGAGGTACCTGGTGCGCGGTCAGCATCCGAACAGGGCCATCACTGCTGCGGGAAAACTTACGGCTTCACAATTCTGACGTCGCCGAACTTCTTGATCGCATCCTCGGTGGACACGAAGGGTGGGATGATCACATCGTCGCCTGGGGTCCAATTGATAGCGGTGTTGACGCCGTTCTTGTCCGTCGTCTGGAGAGCATCGACCACCCTGAGAACTTCTGCGGTGTTGCGGCCGGTGCTGGCTGGGTAGCTCATTATCAGACGGATCTTCTTCTTGGGGTCGATGATGAAGACGGAGCGAATGGTCATGGCCATGCCTATCCTGATCGTTAAGTCCAGGTTTCTCGAAAAGCAAACCACACCAAGGACTTGGCCTAAGCATACCTTTCTCGTCAACGTTGGTGGTGTCCTGATAGTCGATCATGTCATAGAGATACGAGATGTGACGGTCGGCATCTGCAATGATGGGGAACTGCAAGTGGGAGCCGGTGACCTCGTCGATGTCTTTGATCCAGTCGTGGTGGGACTTCAAGCCGTTGGCACTCTACAAGATCCGGGTCAGCGGGTGCATTTCCTCGCCTGAACATGGGGCGATGTTTGTGTTCCTCACCAATCCGATAAGCTTAACGCCCCGCTTCGTGAATTCGGGTTCGAGTTTGGCGAAAGCACCGAGCTCAGTGGTGCAGGTTGGAGTGAAGTCATCCTGGAACGGGCCGAGCCGGCTGTTAGCGACTGATGGCAGGTCTTTTGCGGCATGGGGGTATCTTTCACATACAGGGTGCGAGAAGAGGATAACCCAATTGTCGCCGATAAACTCATGGAAGTCGATCTCGCCCTTGGTGGTGACGGCCTTGAAGTTGGGGGCCTCAGAGCCGAGACGAAGACTGGTGGACGCGTCAGAAGAAGGAACAGAGGCATTCTGGCACGGGGACTGGACTCACGGAGCGGCGCGCTGGCTCTGGTCTGCCATCTTTGGTTGTAAATGAAAAATGCGATATACAAGAGGACTTAACAGCCAAACAAAAGAAATTGAGTTTCTACGACGGATGACTCGAGGGAGAGCTGTAGGAGGAGGCGAGGAAGAGGACGAAGAGGGGAGGGAAAAAATAAAAAATAAAAAAAAAAGGGTCTCAGACGAGTGATAGCAATTGCACCTCCAGCGAGTTATATTGACTCCACCATGCCCGCCATCCGTCTTGATAAGAAGACCTAAACCTGGCTGGTAGTAGCAGCAGCAGCAAAGCCCCCCGCGGCAGAATCTCCCGCTCAATCACGCAATGCCTCACCGCCTGTCGGATCTCGCGCTGTGATTGGCCAGTGCGAAGTGGGCTGTTTCGTCCGCAAAGTTCGAAAGTCGAAAATCGCCATGAGCTCATCGGCGGCCAATCAGGTGGCAGGGAGTCGCACCCAGCCGCTAGGCTATTTGCGGATGAAACCACAACACGTCGTCGACATCGCGAACGCGGGAACGGCGGACAACGGCGTGACTGGGATCATCCCTTGCGATCTGAGACTGGGCATCGGCGACCACTCCCATTCCCGTGGCTTGGGCGCGTACCTCGGTCTGTTTGCTCGCAGAGTTGCTGCAGGTGATTGAGGCTTCTCAAGCGTGGACCCTTACTTCGCTGGATATCAATGCTCACCACGGAGTATTCAGGGATAACTATATACTATATATAGATTATCTAACTATGATATTTCTCCTTTATCACTAGTCAACACACAATCAAAATCTAGACTCCAAGCAGCTTCTCCTCATGAACATCGATCGGGACCCACTGTCACCGCATCAGTGACATCACATGGTTGGACTCTTTCGTGAATCCTGAGCCTTCGGCGTTCTCGTATAAAGTGTCGTCTGATCAGCTGGCCCGCGGCCGAGAAATGCATGCGGAGCATTGAGAACGTTTCATTATTATGACCCTGCTGCTCTGGGAGACCACACTGGAATCGAAGGCACTTTTCTCCTCGTTCCCGTTCCCCTTGCTGACAATTCGGCATATAAAGATGCCAATTGGGACACTTCATCGAGCTGCATGTTGTTTTCAAACGGAATCCCCAGAGGTTGGCATTAATAATGGATAGAAAGACCACAAAAAAAAAAAAAAAAAAAAAGGCCACATCAAACGCCAGCGCCAAATCAAAATGCTGTTTGGAGTACTCTATTGTCATGCAAAACCGGGTAACTCCCGATCGCAGATCCATGCCGGGAAAGAACAACAGATACCACATTGATCCTTTTGCATAAAAAGACGGGGTCCATCTTCGGGATCTATTCATGGCCCGCCATGATTTCCTAGAAGAAGTCAGTTAAGTTCGCCCGATAAGTTAAGGTGGGCCTGAGCCACTTGACGTACACTTGCAAATTTGCTCCTAGCCCTGATTTTAGGCCCGAAGAATGCCAAAACCCATGGAACAATGGTTAATAAAGATCCCTATCCCGCGGTTAGCAATCAAATTTTGATACGTGTCACCTGGAAGGGAAGCTAGCGACACACAATTCCACCAAGCAAACTGGATGCTTCAGGATATCCTAGGTTATTGTACATGGCGCGGGTAACTAGCGGGAAGGCTCCACCGAGGAGATTCCGGCCTGCGCAAATAAAACGGTTAGGTTGACCTGCACAAACTCGGTGTAGGTGTTTAATGATAACGTACAGCATGACTGAGCTGCCAAAGCTGAGCTCGCATATCGGTGATACGTATCGGCCAGGTAATTGAAGACGGCGAGATATATTGAGAATATCCCAATCGTGGCACATCCCACTGCAAGAGCGGGCCAGATCCAATGCGTCGAAGGACCAGAAGTCCATCCGAACCAGAACATACCCGCTGGCATGAGGATGGATCCGACACAGACAAAATATAATCGGCCTTCCGGAGTTGTTGGCATCATCCCAAGTTTTTTCGCGATCTTCTCCTGCCCGGTACTGATGAAAAATGCGATAATCGCGCCGACGGACATTGCTAAGCATGTAAGTCAATTACGCTCTCCTTGAAGATCCTCAATTTGTAATAGAACACAAAGGATGGTGAACTTACATGTGAATACCGCGCTAGATTGTGCGATATCGAATCCATGATTGTTCTGGAAGACGAGCGGTATCGAACCAAACTGTAGGTACAGCACGGCCCAACTGAACGAAACCCAGAGGGAGAAGAAGAAGACGACTGGCTCGGTAACCAGGAGGTCTTCCATAAATCCGTTAGCAAAAGCTGCAAGAGTAAATGACAGGCTGTGTCAGGACAGAAAAAATTAACTTACGGAATGGCCGATATAATGATATGCTGAGCATATTCAAGAGCGACTCCCTTTCCTCATCGCTTTTCACCTTCCAGCGTATGCGCTGACATCGCTTCTTTTCGCTGTCTTCAGAAACCGGAATGTCCAGGCCAGGACAACCCGCGTTCTCCAGCTCCTCATACCATTTATTGAGTACCTTTGCTTTACGGCTCAACAACACACTGCCTCGGGTCTCTTTGAAAAATAAAATTATAGCAACCAGGACCACGGCCGCCTCTATGGCCTGCGCGTAGTACACCCAACGCCATGATGTGTGCTTCACAATCACACCAGCTACTAGAGGACCTAACCCGGTTCCAAATAGTGCCGCGGTGGAAAAGAGAGCCATTGGAGTGTTGCGGTCCTTGGTATGATATATGTCACTTATAATTCCGCCGACGATTGTTGAAAAGGTTGCTGTATCAGTTAGACTCTCAGGTCAATGCGTGATGGTTGAGAAGAAGATTTTTCAACATACAGCCCCCGACACCCAAGAAGAACCGAGCAAGAATCATACCAGGAAAAGATCTGGTGACACCACACCCGATTTGGCAAACTATCGCGGCTCATATTAGCATCCATGCAGGCTCCGTCAATGCCATCGCAAGACGAAAGTAACTGACCAACGAACAGTATCCCGCTAGCTATAAACATTGGCCTTCGTCCATTGATCTCCGAGAAAGGGGCCGAAACCATCGGTGCAATTGCGAAACCAAACGTGAAGATGGTAATACCAATATTGTATACCACGCCACTAATCCCCCAAGCTACAGTGAGTTCGGCCTCGGGAGGACTATAACATCCCGCAGCGGCGGCACTTAGCACGGTGACAGTGCATGCCAGCACTGTAATCACATATTTGCGAGTGTTCGGCCATTCGAACGGTGATGTGTAGGGCTTTAAATCCGGAGGCTCTGGTAAAGCCGGCTTATCGGAACGCGAGCCAGGCAAAGCCGAGGGGGCTGGGAGATGAGTGCTGAAATTGAGAAAGAGGTATTCAATTTCCTGGCTTGATACCTGAACCGGGGTTGGTGATTTTGAGTCGCATGCATCACTCCCCCCTGAGGCATCGACAAGTGTTGTATTAGAGCCTTTGCTGATTGGCGATTGCTGCTGAAATTGTGACGGTTCTATACCGGGCTCGGCTCCTGATGCGATCGCATCTTGCCGAGCGCCATTTTTCAAAACTATATGATCTTCCATGTCAACGCCCAATACATCCCCTTTGGTTCTATGCGCGATACACAAGCGGTGAGAACCAGATCTGGCAGCTGGTTAACTCACGAGGATGTGTTTATAGACGACGTGATTTCACAGCGGGTCGCCGGGCCAATTACTAATTAATAACCCTCTAGCTTTGTGGACGAGGTTAAGCTCTTTTTACTCCAAATTTTCCCCAATCGCCTCCCTTTCCCCAATTGTGGAGTCATGGGCGGCGGCCAGTTCTCTGTTACAAATAGTTGGCTAATGTCCAACATTTGCGCCCTGGAAATGCGCAAATCGGTGCCGTAACACTCACACTTTCTCCGTAGAACCCGGGATCTTGAAGCCATGTATGTATTTATGGTTCCTAATTCCCCAACATTGTATGCATGTCAAGAGACAGACGTGCCGGAGGACATAGCTAGCGAGATTCCGTATTCCAGACATGCCGACACAAGCACGTTCTTTGCTACTAGTGCGGAGTCGGCTGCGGATTGTTCCATACATATTTCTTTCAGGCTGGAAATGAATCAAGGTCCAAGGGTTGTCACATTGTGCCGGGTTTCCCGCTCCCATTCGAAAGATATTAACCGCTTCATCACAGGTATCGAATTGGATAATGCGGAACCTCACGTTATGATCGCTTTTGCCATTGGTCGGCACCACGGAGGACCGAGTCATCACCCGACCAATTGGATATTTCCGCAAGCCTGTGAAAACAACCCTTCCGGGGGCTAATTTTTAACACCGGGCCGGAGGGCAGCACGCCTTGGAGGGATCATTTGGGTTCAACTCTGCGTCGCCAAGATCCCCCACGCAAACAAACTCTTGTGGAGAAAAAATCCAAAAAAGCCCCCCCTCTCTTGTGCAACCACGGGATAAATTATTATCGCAGTCCAATATTCAAGATTACCGCTCGACGGGTTCGCTCGACGGGTTCATGTCTGGCAGTTCTGAATCAACAGGGCGACAATCGACACCAAGTTATGTTGTGTATGACGACCACCCTCACCTGACGAGGCTTCTCTCGTCTAGATCAGGGGAAGATGGAACAACGTGCCCACCTGACGGAGCACAACCGTTGAATAAAGAAAAGCTCACCTATTCGCGAGTTTCGCGCTGCCGCTGGTGTTCCCATCCAGAAACAGCCTCATTTGATCAAATATTCCGATGGTGACATCACAAATTTCGTGTTGCTGAGCATGGCTTTTTTCGGGGAGGGAAAAGAAAAAAAAAATTAGAAGAACCACATGGCACCTCCACCTAGTTAGTTAGCGAGTTGATCTGCGTTGCTGCAAGTCGTCAACTCCTCAGACAACTACTTTAGGAAAATGCCACAACTCGGCCGGTATCCTATGAGTTACTTCAAAGGTGGGCTCAGCATGCCTTCTGATGTCTCTTCTCCTTTGCACCTTGCGGCATTCCTCTATAGAGGAGCCAACCTGCCTAGTGCGTCTACATATGCAACGCTTGGACGCTCCATCTTCGGAGTCGATGAAGGTTTATGGAGACATGGATCACAGCCCGCGTTCCCTCACATCATTTGCCTGCAATATCGAGTTTCTTTTTTTTTTCCTTTTTTCCTTTTTCTTTTTTTCGGGTACTTGGAATGAGTGAACAGGCTCATTACAGAACCTATATGTTGATGATGAAGTGAATCGCCAAACCTTGGGGTTTCTTTGGGATGATCAGGTGGCTTACTATAACTATACGGCACGTTTGAAGCTCTGTGGGCAGGAGCTCTCTCTTCCTGCCACACATAAGGAGATGATTCGACCAGCCAAACCGCCTGGTAGGTCTCATGGCCTTACCACCTCGTTGACAACTTCGTACGGAGAACTCCGGACTAGTTACTCTATCCAGAGTACGGAGTAAGGAGTAGCAAACTCCGTAACCTCATACATAATTGGTTACCCATGACGCCTAGGAAGGGCTTCGTTAATCTCCATCTCTGATAACCGATGAATGCGCCGCCAAAATCGACCTGGAACACTCGAATATCATATGTATGGAGTACTCCATAAACATGTTGAAACCAATCCCATGCTCGAGCTCGATCTTACCAATGGCATTGGTGTTTCCGGCTGTCAGTCTCAACAACCAAACAGGCATGTAAGCTGATGTGCCGCAAAGAGGAGAGGTCAAATGTTTACATTGGAATTATTAGGCAGCACCCTGGACATTGAACACACACGGAACAATGTTTTAAAACACCCCATCTCCTCCATCGCCCATGAAAACTACGCCAGCACGGAGCACACAGATAAGGATTCTTGACCTGCACTGACAACTCTCTCTCTATTGCTCTTGCTGTGCATTCATTAAGCCTTACATCCCACCATGCATTCCCTCACCCCGAAAAGACCTAGCAAACAGCATAAACTGATAATGATCCTGAGTTGTAGCTGGATGAAGAAACCTGACAGAAAGGACGAAATGATGAGGTGTCAGAATTATTGTCCCTGATCACCGTGGACGAGCTCACTAGTTAACTAAACACCCTGGTGAGCTGGATTCTGGGGAAACATGCACATTCTGTATAGAGGGCCACCTCGCCAAAGGCGCCATGATAGGCTCTGCCAACTACTATACATATCTTGTATTTTATGATAACGCCAAGTGATTATTCGGATACCCAGGAGTGATTTTTGTGATGTGCCGGCTCCCTTAATTGAGTATTTTGTTGAGAGCGAATATACAACGTTGAAATTTCTCGAGTCCACGAACGTTCCTTCGCCAAGAGCATTTGGGTTTCAATTGGCTTTGGATCCGGCGGACAATGTCGGCATAAGCTATACGTTGATGGAATGTTTGCCGGGAAAGTCGTACTTGGAGCGTGAGATCGACGCAACGGCCGAGCAAAAGTGTTATGTGAGCAGTCAAGTGGCAGATTTCATGATCGAGCTAGGCAAGCATCCATTATCGAAAGCGGGATCCCTCGCTTGGAGGAATGAAAAACCTGAAATCTCAGCCATTGCGAGTAACGATTTTCTTGTCCTGGATAGATACGGCCCATTTGACGATGCTTTGCAATATTTCAAAAGTATCGCAGATCAGTACCTTGATTTGATTGCTGATAGGTAAGTCTACTCCGATTACCCCAAGGAAGCCGGCCTTTCGGATCTCGATAAGCAGTTGGTTGATGAACTGCGTGCAAAACAGAGGCTAGATCTCCCTGAATTAGCTGAAATGGGGAAGCTTGCGAAGAGATTCCTGTTTGGCCTTTGCCATGGATTGGATAAGAAGCTCTTGTTATAGTAAGATAGATACAGGCAGTTGTCGGGGACGGAGAAGTAGATTTCAACCAGTTGATTGCTAGGAAAGTAGAGGAATGCCGGTGTGACCCCTGCTGGTCAAGGATTGAAGCTTTGAAATTCCCATAGGCATAGCCAATAGGCCATCAATCTCGAATGCATTTCTACGTACGGAGTACCCCGTACCCCGGTGTTAATTTCAGCTTAATATCAACATCGTCTCCTCGCGGGATGGTGTCAATGAGACAGGGAGTTTTGCCAATCATAACAGCGGTAGAGACAAAACTAGAGCACATATTTATATAAGTGGAAGGGTTTCCCCAACATTTAAACCTGTATTGAGGTGTACAATGGGAACTTGAACTTTCGGGTTGCTTGGGGCAGCCTGGGAGTAACTAAAGAGCCACCAATGAGGAGGCCGGTTGGGGAATGATTCTTGGCATTTCGCTGCTACTCACAAACGTTCATTAAACAAACCTCGCTCGATTCAAAGTCAATGAATCACTGAAACACTGCATCGTGATTCCGACTGCTTGAATTCCCCTGGAACAACGACACCATGGCAGAAGACACCGCCAACTCCCCGCCGGACTCTCACATTGACCACGAGGCAGCCATCAACTACTGGTCATCAGTCACCCCGGACCTCAATGGTATCCTCGGCGGCTACCCCCAGCTCTCTCAGATCGACCTGCGCGGGTCGAAAAGTTTTCTTGCAAAGGTCCGTCGATCAATTCCCTCCATGGAATCCAAGCCACTCCAATTAGCTGTCGATTGCGGTGCTGGTATCGGTCGCATCACCGACGGTTTTCTGAGTAAACAATGTGATATGGTGGACGTTGTCGAGCCGGTGGAAAAATTTGCAAAGGTTATTCGCGATGGGAAATTAAAGCAAGAAGGGAAGATTGGCGATATATATGTGGTAGGATTGCAGGATTGGGTCCCGACGAAGAAATACGATTTGATTTGGAACCAGTGGTGCCTGCTGCATCTGACGGATGCACAGTTGGTAGAGTACCTTGACCGGTGCCGCGATGCGCTCTCGGACGCGGGCTTGATTGTGGTGAAAGAGAATATCAATTCGAATCCATATGAAGATTTTTATGATGATACGGATAGCTCTGTTACACGGGCGGAGCAAAACTTTAGGAAATTGTTTGCTCGGGCGGGATATGAAGTCGTGCGATCTGAGGAGCAGCTGGGCTTCCCTAAGCGGCTGGGACTATATCCGGTGATGATGTACGCGCTCCGCCCTAAGAATGAATAGCGATTGGAAGAGTCATCACCCAATTCGTCGAACCCATGGCATCACAGAAACGCCTGATGAAACCGTTCGTAAAGGGGAGGGGGAAACAAAATACGACAATCCAATTGCCGATGTAAATCTGCGACATGATGAAATGACCTGTCCTAAGCTTGCAGAATGACCCGGAATAAAGCTGTAAAGGCACGGAAATCCCTGCTAACGCCCTTCAAACGCCCTTGCGGATAGAGTACACAAGACGAGTGCAAAGAAAAAGGACATATGTCCCCGCCGATTAGGATGGCTCAGCGGCTCCAGGAGCTTCCAGCCATTTCCCTTTTCCTCGTTTTCATTGACGTTGTCCTCACACTAGTCTTCATATCTTAATATCCTGCTCTTCAGCCAAACTCATGATGAACCGCCACTCCTCGGGCCTCACCGGAGATACGCTTAGGCGGGATTGCTTCAACATCTGGAGATTCTCTAGCGCATCACCGGGCTTTGCTAAGGACTTTAGCTCGGCCAGCGTGACGAGGTTTTTGAACTTGCTCCTAAACTCGACATGCACGACTTCCCATTTTGGGTTATCCCGGCTAGACTTTGCGTCGTAATAAGGATGAGCCGGGTCAAAAGCAGATTCTAACCACCAAAGTCAGCGTCCATTGATGCTTTCATATGGAAAAAATTGAATATTATACCGTCCACAGAATGCTCTCTAACAATTTCCATTGTGCCAGCAATGCCTGGTACTTTGCAATTTGAGTGGTAGAAAAAGGCCAGATCGCCTTTTTTCATGGCGCGCATATGGTTTCGTGCTGAAAAGCGGTTAAGTTACCTTCCATATCAGATCATCCAATGTTACAAATCACAGTACACTCACCTGCTGCATTGCGAACACCTGCGAGAGAAGACGGAGTTAGAGACCCGCAGCTGTAGGTGGACATTATCATTTTAGGAGGAGAGACTCACCATCCCAAGCCTCGGGCTCTTTTGCTTCACGTAGATCATCAATTGAAAACTTAACATCTACACCTTTTTCAAATCGCGACTCAGGCTCGGCCTTCATAAGCCAATAGGACTTGCCGGCGCCTTTGTCATCTACATCGACCTCTCGAGCCTCTTCGTGGTTGACCTTGGGGTTGGCTTCATCTTCCTGCTTTCCATTAGGCTCCGTGTTGGCTGTCTTCGTACGCTTGCGAGCATTGTTATCGGATGTGGTTTGTTCTGAAGCCTCTTTCCCAGCCTTTCTCTTAGGCAGTCGGTCCACCTTGCCTTTGTTGCCTGTAGCCTTGCTGGTGTCAGTCGTCTTGGCCTCATTTGCAGCTATAAGTGAAGTATCAGTTTTTGTCCAAAGCATCATAGTTAACTAGATGTAACTATTTAGTTATTCTTTTGATAGCAACGTACATCTTGTTGCAGCGGCACGGTCCGCAGAGCGCTGGGCAAGAGACTCCCCAACCTCCTTTATGATGTTCTTAGCAACGCGCCTTGGACGCGTAGATGCGGCTGTTTCATTTACAACTATAGCACTGCGTGAGCGTGTTTTATTCTTTGGTGAAGGCGGAGCCATCCTTTTAGTGTATGGGACTGTCTGGGACGATATCTGTCCGATGCCTGGTTGACGGTGCAAGATTTCAGGCTGCGGTCCCTGGAGCCCAGCAGTGTCCGAGGCCCACGGGGTGGCGAAGGGGTCTTGGGCGGTTAGGAAGGGGGGGAAAGATTCTCTCGTTCGGGCAATGCTTGCCAGAGGGTGTCCTGCGGTGGTGGGTGGTGTGCGCGTTCGGCGCGACGACGCTAAACCACAGGGGGCAGCCGCTTCCGACAGGCCCGGGTCGCCGGGCGGGGTTGCGCCGAGTGGAGGGGCAACGAACGCTCCCGTTCAGCTATAACTATTTTGCCCGTTTTTGGGTGGGTTTGGATTTATCAGCACTGGAGGACAGGGTCAGAACGGAGGACAAGGGATCTCTGCATATATGGTGGGCTTCAGATTGCATGCTCGAAGACTATCCCCAGTCTTCCTGCCGTATATAAAGCAGTCAAGCCTATCCTCATCGTCCGTACCTTCAAGAGCTGCAATCCAATCGATCATCCGGACACAGCATTATTCAAGCTCCTCCGAAATGTCGGATCTGTTTACTGAGCTTACAGCCCCCAACGGGCGCAAATACACCCAGCCATTGGGCTTGTTCATCAACAATGAATTCGTTGCCGCCAAATCGGGACAGAAAATCACGTCAATTAATCCTACGTGAGTCGAGCAAATCCCGCTGGCAAGCCTCGCCGGAGCTGTCCTAATGACTGTCATAGGAATGAGGCCGAAATCGCGTCGGTACATGCCGCCGGTGCCGAGGACGTCGATATCGCAGTCAAGGCCGCCAAAAAAGCGCTGAAAGATCCTTCATGGAAGGAATTGCCTCCCACTGACCGTGGAAAGCTCATGGTAAAGCTTGCGGAATTGGTCGAGCAGCACATCGAGACCCTTGCCACGATTGAAGCTTGGGACAATGGTTAGATTGTTGCCCCCTCCATCCCCCCTCCACCTGGTGATAAAACAAGGCTTACCGGTCTCGATTGTACTAGGCAAACCATATTCAGTCGCCGTCAGCGAGGATTGCGTCGAAGTCGCCGAGACATTACGATTCTACGGTGGCTTTGCAGATAAGGTCTACGGTAGCACAATCAGCACATCCCCCGCCAAGTTCGCTTACACCCTACGCCAACCGATCGGTGTTGTCGGCCAGATCATCCCGTGGAACTATCCATTGGCAATGGCTGCATGGAAGCTTGGGCCCGCCTTGGCCTGCGGTAACACTGTGGTGCTCAAGCCTGCAGAACAGACGCCGCTAAGTATTCTTTACTTCGCGAACCTGATCAAGGAAGCTGGCTTCCCTCCGGGCGTTGTGAACATCCTCAACGGTTTCGGTAAAGACGCCGGTGCAGCCATCGCGTCTCACTTGGACATCGACAAGATTGCGTTCACCGGCTCCACGGCAACTGGAAGACAGATTATGAAGATGGCGGCTGTGAATATGAAGAATATCACTTTGGAAACCGGAGGAAAGTCCCCCCTTCTCGTCTTTGGAGACGCAGATCTGGAACAGGCTGCCAAATGGGCGCATATCGGTATCATGTCGAACATGGGTCAGATTTGCACGGCGACATCCCGGATACTGGTGCAGGACACCGTCTATGACAAATTCGTTGCCCAATTTAAGGAAGTTGTCGCCTCAACCAGCAAGGTCGGCGACCCATTCGCGGATGACACCTTCCAAGGTCCCCAAGTTACAAAGGCACAGTATGACAGAGTCCTCTCGTACATCGAGAGCGGTAAGTCTGAAGGTGCCAAGCTGGAATCTGGCGGTGTTCCACACAAGAATGTCGGCGATGGCAAAGGTTTCTTCATCGAGCCGACCATTTTCACCAACGTGAACGATAACATGAAGATCTACCGCGAAGAAGTCTTTGGCCCTTTCGTTGTCATTGCGAAGTTCTCGACTGAAGAGGAGGCCCTGAGCAAAGCAAATGACACGACATACGGCCTGGGTGCCGCAGTGTTCACTCGCGATATCGAGCGTGCTCACCGCGTTGCCGCTGAGATCGAAGCAGGCATGGTCTGGATCAACAGCAGCAATGATAGCGACTTCCGGGTTCCGTTTGGTGGTGTCAAGCAGAGCGGTATTGGAAGAGAGCTCGGCGAGGCCGGCCTGGAGGCATACTCGCAGACCAAGGCTGTGCATGTCAACATGGGTACAAAGCTGTAAAAGTAGCTTCTGTGCTTTGTTTTCTTTGTTTGTCTGCCCTGCCGGTCATCCTGATTATGTAATTAGTTAAATTTGAAGCCCACCATTTCGGGCAAAGTCGATGAAAGATGTAATTTTCTCCTCCTCCGTCACTTCGGGATGGTCGGTCTTCTAGCGAATATCTAATTTTAATATCAAGATCCAAAGAGGAACTACCCCGTTGAGCAGCGTAGCATTCAGTTGTTGTACTCTGTGTTTAGCTGGCTGGCATGAGTGGAAGGTTTATGGGTCATGGTCGTTTTAACGAGGTGAAAGTTCATACCCGAATCGCCGAGATGTCTGGGCCATTATTTCCGCCCTTCCATCGCCGAAAGATGGTAGTTATACGGAGAAGAGCACCTTATACCCAGGCTGTTGTCGAACTGAGTGCTTAAACAGTCACATATTTCGATCCTACTTTGTCCTCAGGCCTGAAAGCCAGAGACCAGTCCATTCTCCGTTGACCTGTGAGGGAGCATCTACGATCAATCTTCTTTGATCGTAGTCCATTGTCCACCTACACTGTCGTTACTATGGGCTCAACTCACGCATTTACAGAGATCCCATTGATAGATCTCTCCCTGGCAAAGGACCCGCTTACTCGTCCAGTTCTGTTTGAGCAACTGCGCTATGCGCTAATCTCTGTGGGATTCTTGTACATTTCAAACCATGGAGTCCCGGAAAAGGTGATCAATGATCTTGTCAACGTACTTCCAGAGCTTTTTGATCTTCCGGAGTCCGCGAAAGAAGAGATCGCTTTGCGAAATTCCCCCCACTTCCTGGGATATTCCAGCGTTGGTTCGGAAACCACTGGTGGGAAGGCAGACAAGCGCGAACAGGCTGAGTTTGCGACGGAATTGTTGGCCGTGGAATCAAAAGACGCACCACTTTATGAGAGACTAAGGGGTCCAAACCAGGTACGATTTGCTTCACCCTGTTTATGGAGAGTATTTCTTTGTGTTTTCTCACTTTTGAAAGTGGCCTCCCCAGCTGCCGCCACTCCGACCCGCTGTCACATCATACATTCAAGAGCTCACAGCTCTTGGCGAGCGGTTTCTTCGACTTGTCGCAGAGGCCCTCTCCCTCCCACAAGAAACATTCTTCCACTTTCTCTCAGATCAGCATCGCTTGAAGCTTGTGCACTACCCAGGTGCATCGAATTCACCCTCATCGGGAACCATAACACAAGGAGTAGGTCCTCACAAAGATTCATCTGGCTGGTGGACATTTCTCCTGCAAGCTTCGCCGCCCGAAATAAAAGGCCTGCAAGCACTAAATAAGAATGGCGACTGGATCGATGTTCCTGTCATACCGGGGACGTTTGTCGTAAACATCGGCCAGGCCTTCGAGGTTGTGACCAACGGTGTCTGCAAAGCCACGACGCACCGGGTGCTTATGTCTGGGTACAAGGATAGATATAGTGTCCCCTTCTTCCAGGGTGTTAGGCGGAATCTCACCAAAACGGAAGCTGTGGAAACGCTTAAGGAGCATTTCAGCAGGTTTGCTGCCGGCGGGGAATCCGTCGAAGCAAAAGACATTGATTCGACATTTTTAAGGGGCAAATATGATACGTGGGGCGAGTCTCAGCTGCGAACGAAAATTAGAAGCCATCGGGATGTGGGGAAGAAGTTCTATGGGGATGTGTTTGACAAGTACGTCAATGACGATTAGCATATGGGGCTTTTCCAGGTATGCAATTCCCAGGCCAAATGCAATTAGTACAGCAGGGCTGATGTTCTGAGAGCTTCAAGCGCTGAACGTATTGGTTTGGTGTGATTCTAAGGTACTAATGAATGAATAAAATCAGGGATAATGTCATATTACTTCCTCCAGATCCTGCGCATCGGCTCACAAAATCATGCCCAAACTCAGCTCAGTCCTTCAGTCTGATCTCAAGAATTTTATCATCAACTAGCAGCAAGTTATCATTTCCATTCGCTCCTCTTTGCCACATACTCCTTCCACGTCGTCGGCTTCTGCTCAACCAGCTTCAAGCTCTCCTCCAAGGTTGCTCCGGCATAGTACCCTGGGTTTTCCAGCAATTGGTGCGTCTGGAGCATCTCCTTGGCAACTGCTGGCGGGAGAAATTTCATGTAATCATCGGCATCGATGGTCAAGAACTTGGCTTTGTGCCCGGTGACTTGCTCGAACTCCTCCACGATGCGATCCGGAGAGTAGTAATCGACAGCTTCGAGGATCTGCTTGCCGAGGAGGGAGTCGCGGTGCTTTATCGCGGTCAAAACGTATTTGCCTTTTGTTGGAAAAAGGGAACGTCAGCCAACGCTGTTGGTGTATTTGTTAATACGGCGTGACTCACCGGTGTCAGCAACATCGAAGAGAGGGAACTGAGCCTTGTCCGTTATCGGTAGCATGAGGGTATACATCCCGTCTTCTCCCTTGAGAAGTGTACTCAAAAAGTTGGACATGAAGTACCCCGGTAGGACAAACGTGGCGGGAATTTGGAGTTCCCGAATGTATACCTCAATGTTGGCTTTTGTGTCGAAGTGTGGAACGTGTAGGAGTGCGCCGGCACTGGCGTCCATGATATGATAGAGTGAAGAGAAGATGAGATGAGAGACATTCGCTTCTTTTGCAGCGGTTGCTACATTTTTGCCCTGATTATACTCTGTTTCTGCGTCCAATGATTCCCAATAACTTGTCACTAGGAAGACGGTATGGGCTCCGGCCACGGCATCACCGACGGATGCCGGAGAGTCCATGTTTGCCTATGTCCATCTGGTCAGCTGGGTGTGAAGACAGTGGAACTGTGATTGGGAGGAGAGTGCATACGGTTTTCACCTCTACGCCCTTGCTCTCCAACGCCTTGGCTGCGGGCTTGGTGACATCGCGAGTGATGCCCCGGATCCTGAACTCCTTGCTCAACACTGGGTCCTGCAAAATAGCATCCACCACCGAGCCACCTTGGTTCCCCGTCGCCCCAAACACGACAATTAGCTTAGACATTGTCTTTAGCACGAAGCACAAGCGACCGGACGGCACTGACGAACGGAGTAGTTAGATCAGGAGGGTAATCGAGGATGAGAAGCAAGACGAGAAGAGTCGAGGCTGTGAGTGGGAGCAATCGAACGAAGAGGCTAATGTTTCCGCTGTTCACAAGGGCCATTATCGAGGCAGAGAGGGCGAAGAGCTTATATAGGTTGGATGGGGAGGAGGAAGAGCATCAAAAGCACCCAACACACGCAACATTGAATTCCAGATGTCGGTGTCGACGTCATTGGCGCGGGCCGCATGATTTCCAGCCGCTTTTCCGGCCTGCGTAAGTTAGTTAGTTAGTAATCGCTGCTTGTTAGTAATCCGGCGGGAGGAAGATCATGGATCTGGTGAGCTGCTGAGTCTCTGTGCAAGCCGACCGAGTCTCGAGATGCGGTCTGACACTGACCCGGTCCAGGCCGATGAAAGTGTCCAGCAGTCGGCGGCAGAACGTCACCGTACCCGGCCTCAGCCTTACAAAAGCCCCAAGCCCCAAGCCGAGCTTTTGCTACGGAGAGCCTTTGTAACTTCTAACTCGTGCTACGGTTGCATGACCGATCGAAAATCAGAGAGTAACTAGCTAGTTACTCTACTTCTAAATTGCTTTTCGTATTTAATTGACGACCACTCTTTTTTTTTGTTTTTCCCCGTCTCCGGAAATGTCTTTCGTGCCGTCCGTGGCCTGTCGGGGGCATCAATGCTGGTCTCGGCCCCGAGACTTGGCTCTCCACCCCCGACTGCGCATTGATCGCAGCAAAATATAAAAATCTCGGGGCAGTTTGTATCTGCCAGTGATGAAAAGCATATATATACATATACATACATATATCCGGGTCATCATGGATTTCCTTTGCTTTTTCATTCCACTTTCCTCTCGTTCCCATTCCAAAGCCGGGAGTAGGGAGGAGGCCTCTATTTTTCTTGATTCATATAATACCTTCTGTGTTGATTTTAAATTTTTCTACTCAAGACATGTCAGAAAACGATAGCCAAAAGTCGTCTACCGACATAGAGAAAGACGGTGTTGAGGAGTCTACTCCTACGCAGCCTGATGACTCTCAGTACCCAGGACTAGCAACCGTCATCCCTATTATGGCTGCCTTGTATCTCGGTGTATTTCTCGTCGCATTGGTATGCTTTTAGCTTCTTAGCTCACAAAGCCATCGCTTATTCAAATGCTCATTTATTTAATAGGACCGAACAATCATTGCAACGGCCATCCCACGAATAACAGATGATTTCCACTCGCTAAACGATGTTGGCTGGTACGGGAGCAGCTACCTCATCGCAGCGTGTTCGTTTCAGTTACTCTACGGCAAGGTATACACTCTCTACCATCCTAAATGGGTGTATGTGTGCAGCATTGTTCTTTTCGAAGTTGGTTCTACTATTTGCGGCGCTGCGCCAACCTCGACGGCGTTTATTGTCGGACGAGCTATTGCTGGACTAGGATCGGCGGGAATGTTTTCAGGAACAGTTGTCATTATTGTGAACACAGTCCCGCTAAGGAAGCGACCTGCCTATACGGGGTTCATGGGCGGAATCTTCGGGATCTCGTCGGTGGTAGCTCCGTTGTTAGGAGGTGCATTTACTGATAATGTCTCATGGAGGTGGTGCTTTTACATCAACTTGCCCATCGGGGGATTTGCAATGGTGATCATCCTATTGCTCCTTAAGCTTCCACATGTGAAGAAAGCCGATAACAAGGCCTCGATTGGCCGGCATATCATGCGCTTAGACCCGCTCGGCACCATCTGTTTTCTTCCAAGCATGGTGTGTCTCCTCCTAGCTCTGCAATGGGGAGGATCGACTTACCCCTGGAGCAGCGGGAAGGTCATCCCCTTGCTCGTCGTATTCGCTGTTCTCATCTGTGCCTTTGTCGCGATCCAAATTTGGGGCGCGGAGGATGCAACCGTCCCTCCAAGGATCTTCACTCAACGAAGCATTCTGTCCGGCTTTTGGTACACGATCTGCGTGGCTGGTTCCATGCTCGTCCTTGTCTACTACCTCCCCATCTGGTTCCAGGCCATCAAAGGAGCTAGCGCCGTTAAGTCAGGCATTATGAATCTGCCTCTGATCCTCTCTCTCGTACTCGGTAGCATCATGGCCGGCGGTCTCGTCACTGCCACGGGTTATTATAACCCCTTCATGTTTCTTTGTTGTGTCCTTATGTCCATCGGCGCCGGACTCATCACCACTTTTACCCCGACAACAGGCCACCCAAATTGGATCGGATACCAAATCGCGTACGGCCTAGGGTTAGGGCTAGGCATGCAACAAGCAGCCGTCGCATCGCAGACGATTCTATCGAAAAAGGACGTTCCGGTTGGCGTTGCCCTTGTATTTTTCGCCCAATCTCTTGGAGGAGCGGTATTTGTTGCCGTTGCGCAGAATATCTTCACGAATAAACTTACTGAGGGCCTCGCGAAAATTCCCGATATGGACCCGTCGATCATACTCAATATCGGCGCCACAGCTATCCATAAAGTTGTTAAAGATCCCGAAACGCTGACCCGTGTATTGGCCATCTACAACGACGGCTTGACGGATGCATTTCGTGTGGCTTTGGGTTTAGCATGCGCGTCTATCCTTGGTGTGATAGCCGTGGAATGGAAGAGTGTGAAGGGGAAGGAGAAGCAATAAGAATGTAAATGCATACAACAATCAGGTATCAAACGAGATGGGATGTCATTTTCTTGGATTTAATGTCGCGATAGAATATGTGTCATAGGTAATAGGGGCGATAGACGAACTTGATAGAGAACTCCAATTCATCAAGAGTCCTCCTGTCGAATACAACAAGTCAAATCCCGTGTGAGGTCCTACTATTCCCGTTCAATACAGACATCCGGTGAAGAGGTTTGAAATTCAAAAGAAGTCCCGTGTTCCGTCGGGCAGCCTGACTCCCCAGCCTCGACATTCTTATGGATCGCTGAGCGATCGTCCCGGACCAAAACTCTGTCAGCGATCTCTTCCAGAGGTGTTGAAAGTGCTTGGACGACACTAGAATGTCACTTTCGTTGTGCATGGCATGATACGCCCTGATTCATGGCAACAAATATAGCATTTTAATCACTCCATATCAGCTTTATAGCTCTCCTATGATTATCTGTTTGCTTAACACAGCAGAGCAGTATGGAATTCGGGCATTTACATCTATCACGCCAATAACAGCGCAGCCGTGCAATGGGGGAAAAAAAAAAAAAAAAGGGTCCTCATCAGCAAACAGTTTCCAGGCGACGCAGTAACTAGTTAGGGCGCTAGGGTAGTTAACTATACGGGTACGGAGTACTCCGTATTTAGAATGCCTTTTTAATTTCTACTTCGTCGCAATGCACAAATAGCTATGAGTTATCAATAAAGTAATGTGTTAAATAGCTACGGAGTACTCCGTACTCTACCTTCAAAACTCCAAACACCTGCTCCCAAACGCGAGCCCACCTGTGAGTATGTCAATGCCGCATCCCACTCCAACATCCCCCCCAGCTGCCAGACTTCACTCGTGCCAGCTTTGCCAGCAGCGAAAAGTGAAGTGTGACCGCCAACAGCCCTGTTCCGGTTGTGCCAAGGCGGGAACGGACTGTGTCTATCGCGCCCCGGCCCCGCCGAGGAGGCGCAAAAGGAGGTCCCCGGAGGAAATTCTCCGTGCGCGCCTCCGCAGGTACGAAGCGATTCTTAAGAATTTGGGAGTCAATGTCGATGCAAACGAGGGTACCGGCCCGGGCGAAAAGGATGATGGGCCGGTGAGCTCCCACGACGCTGCGCAAGCCCCTAAAGACACCAGCAAGACGAGGCCGGAAGACGTCGCCTGTCTCGGCAGTAAGCTGGGAAGGCTGATTGTTGTGGATGGGAAACCAAGGTTTTTGGAAAAGTAAGACCTGCTTGATTGAGGCGTGGTCCGCTACGTTTGTCCTCGATGTTGGGATAGGACGACACTGACTGCCACTGAACAGTGCGCTTTGGGTAAGCTTGGGCGACGAGGTAACTAACTACATTGTGTAACTGCTCTTAAATGATGCGAAGAGACGGTGGATTTGACTAATGAGATCTATATCCAACAGCTTCATACGTCCCACGATCTCGAAGACTCGTCGACACAAGGCGGAGAAGATGACGCGGACGAAATTGAAGCATTGATGCCAGAGCAGCTGGATCGCTTTTCTCCGGATGAGAGCCGATTACTTTTTGGTTCGGCCATAAACCGCCCGAGTCTCCTATATTTGCATCCAGAGCCAGTTAAAATCTTTACTCTCTGGCAAAAGTTCCTAGAGAACGTCGACCCGCTCACCAAGATCTTCCACACTCCAACCGTTCAGCAACAAGTGCTAAAAGTAAGCGGTAGCCTTGGTAATATGCCAAAGCCGTTCGAGGCGTTGATGTTCGCAATATATCTCTGCGCTGTGGTATCGTTGAGTGATGAAGAATCTCGTGGGCTACTGGGAGAACCGAGAAAGGTTGTCCAACAAAGGTATCGGCTTGGAACAGAGCAGGCTTTGATAAATGCAGAATTTATCAAGAGTTCGGATGCGACTGTTCTACAAGCATTTGCGTTATATCTCGTGAGTTTTACTACGGCTATTTTCGCTCTACCATATCCCACCAGAACGTCATCTATTCCTAACTTCCTGGTCTTTTGGTGAAACAGCTTGCCATGAGACCTCATATGGAGGCACAGACACTTTGGATACTCAGCGGAGTAGCCCTGCGAATTGCGCAGCGTATTGGCCTGCATCATGATGGAGCGTCACTTCAGCTCTCCGTGTTCGAGACCGAAATGCGTCGCCGATTGTGGTGGCAGATTGTCGTGCTTGATGGCTTTTCAGCAGAGCTCTCAGGTGTCGGGATACTTGGCGGTGTCCACAATCCGCCTATTCCTTTACCTCTCAATGTTAATGACATCGACTTGGATCCCAATATGACAGGGGTTCCTGTTGAGCACAATGGTATTACGGAGATGAGCTTCTGTCTGCTTCGATATACTATTGGGCGGTTTCTCCGGGACTCAAGAACGAAGCACACCTTTGATGGCCCATGGCAGCATTTGACTAACCCAATGATATCCATTCCCGAAAAGATTCAGGAGCTCGAAGACTTGGATAAGTTGATCGAGCAGAAGTTTCTTCAATATTGTGACATCTCCATTCCTTTTCACTTTATCGTTTCGATGGTTGGCCGCTGTGGCATCTCCATGATGAAGCACCGGGTTTACATGTTAGGGTGCCCGAGAAAGCCTGGCGGGCGATCCTTCGACCGCGAAGAGAGCGACACACTCTTCGCCAGTTCTATCAAAATTCTCGAGTACGATAATCTGGCCAAATCCATGCCAAACGTGCGACGATATTATTGGCATGTCGAGGCGCATTTCCAATGGCATGCTTTTATATTTCTGCTTTATGAATTGCGGAATCGCACGTCTGGCGAAGAGGTCGACAAAGCATGGTTTCAAATCGAGAAAGTTTACGAAAATAGGTCGCGGTTTTTGACAGACGTGAAGAATAAATTAATTGTGGCTGCTGGGAATCTTGTCCTTAAGGCCTGGGAACAGAAGGTCTCAGGACTGCATGTTCCTGGCGTGGAAATGCGCGTGCCCCAGTTTATAGAGACGCTTAGGGCACGGCGGTCTGGTATTCTATCAACGAAGCAAAAACTACGGGATAACATATGCCATCAGCCAAACACGAACGAATCCCCCTTGGTCAGTGATTCTTCAGCGTTGATAGATGGGAATAATTCTGCGCCACTTTTTCTTTTCGCATCCAGCGTATCAAATTCCGGTATGGGTGTGGAATCTTCGACCGAGATGCAAGATCCTAGCAGCGTGCTCGACGGTTTGTATGCTCCGTCGCAAGATTTCGACTCCCCAAACTGGATGGAATGGGAAGCTCTTTTCCGTCACTCCGGCATTCGGGGAGACAGGGAAGGAGATATATAACCAACGGACATATATACAACACGGGACGTTGAATGTATCCTGCCTAAGGTAACAACCCAGCTGGCACACACATAAAATTTGCCATTGACCAAGAATGACTTGCAGCACCTCTTTGCTTTAACCAACTCCAGGACAAGAGCGAATAAAAATCTAAATTTGTAATATCAACTGCCTTTTCTTTTTTTTTCCCCCTTGGGGTGGAAAGACTTTCCGGACTTACTCATTGACTGATCGCATGACTCTGTGACTAGGAGCTGTATATCCTGCATTTCGGACTGATCAACACAAGATACTTGCGAGCCAGGAAGCTTCTCCTCTCGACTCCCATTTGCACAACGGTCTCATGTCAAACGCAAAAATTGTAACGAGTACTTTGCAGCTTTTATAGTTCCCTAACTAGCTATCTGCAGTGGCTATTGTATAAGTACTTTGACAGCAAAGAATTTGAATACGGCAGCAATGCTGGCCCCGCTCCAAGCAGTCTGAAGACTAGGAACCACCCATATGAACAGTGCTTCCTGGGAGTCGGCCGGCACGTTGACTGATCAGTGTCCAATCGCCGCCCTCCAGCGATGGGTTTCGAGATACGAATCTGGAGTCTCGACTCGCCCTCGTTGGACTTAAAAGATGCTTGATAATCCGATCTCATGACCAAAGTCAACTTATCCCATCAATAATATTTGCTCTGCATAAAAGCGATTAAGACCCTTTTAACCTTTAGACCAAGAAAGGGCTCCTGGATTGGGAGACCGGAAGGGCGCGCCCATCGCTATAATCACGGCATTCACTAATGTAGTTATGGAGTACAGAGTTGCGCAAAGGAGCGGTTGTCGTTAATCACCATCTCGCTCCCACTCAAGCAGCTATTCCCCTTGGACAATGAACCATGAAAAAATCTGATAGTCTACTATAGTAATAATAGAATTTTCTTGTCTTAACTTAGAATTGCCTTGCTACAGTTCCTGAAGAAAGAGGGAAAAAAAAAAAAAAAAAAAAAAAAAAAAAATTGAACTGCCCGGATGGTTATTAGGTCAAAAGCTCTTGAGCCACTTGAGCACGCAGCTGGCTTCCAATCAGCAGAATCACCGACAAGCCAAGTGCCAAGCAAACCGGTTTTCCCCTTCGCAGCTTGCTATTGATGTCAAATAACGTCACTGCAAATCCACAACAGTCTCGCCCTCCTGAGAGGAGTTGGTGATCCCTGCAGACGCCACAGCTAGCAGGATACAGATGTACTCGGTACTCCGTACCTGGCTTGTTAACAGGTTAAAGCAGCACCCTCCCGGCAATCACTTCCGATCGCTCCCCACTCTGCACATGGAACTTTGGAGCTTCTTTTGACCGCAAGTACAGAGTATTTCACACAGAGATCTTCTCAAATTTGCATAGGAAGGAGGCATATATAGGCCTTTTTTTTTCGCACAAATCCCTTCAAGCCCTGATACTGTGAATTGTTTATGAAATATCCGTGGTCCATTTGGCAGGCTGGACAGGGTTGAGCCGAACAACAGATAACTGTATAAGGTAGCTTCAAATGCTTCTCTCCTGAGAACTTGATGAGAAATAATTTGCAGCTCTGTCTAGCCCTATTCGGCCTTGTTTTTGAGTCCCTGTGTGTGAGAGAGAGTGTGTGTGTGTGAGAGAGAGAGAGAGAGAGAGCAAGCATAGCGCAAGGTCCATGCAGTGAATTTGAAGTGGGTCAAAGTTTGGCAGTGGAGTGCTCTGGGCCTTTGTTTGCTGCTTCCATGGCGAGAATACCGTCTTCAATAGTAATTAGTCCTAAGCCCTGCGGTTTGCTTAAAATCAGATCACCAAATAATGATGAAATCAAATCAAGGGGCTTTAGCGACTGAGAGAAGAAAAGCTCAGTGCTCGAATAATGATGGCCTGCCAGTGGTTAGCATACTGGGATCCGCCATGTTAACTTCGCTGCAAATAGCCCTATCGCAGAGAGAGAATGCTTTCAACAAGAGCAGCGCTTGGGCCATCACCTTGGCGGTCAAAGGTGAACCATCACTAGAGAACATAGCGGCCACCTCCCCTCTATGAAGGTAATTTCGGAGGTGAATTCTGAAAGTCTGAAGGCTAAGAGTGAGTCATGTATCCTCAATAACGAATCAAGGTGCAAAGAGGTCGAGGGTGCAGGAAGCGTAAGGGGCCGATAAGGCTTCACCCGGTTAGGCCCACAGCGACCAGACAGATGGCAATACTGGGTAGGGATTAGTATAGGGTCTATCCAGATATCCTTCACGCCGACAACAGCACCCGGCGCCAGGAAGGAATAGATGGGTACGTCGAAGGTGGCCAGTAGATAGAGAAGAACCTTCCAGCGTATACTGCAGAGAGGTTGGCAAGGCTAAAATTGAGGATTGGCGTGTGCTATAGATACCCCGTTGATACCCCGTTGACGGGGAGAAGATCCAAAACGCTTTTCTAACACACGGTTCTAGAAAAAGCCTGCCACCGAAAGGGCCTCAAAGTGGTTAATATACCGGCTCACTCCACAACATATGGACATTTAATCCTCTCACCAAGGCCGGGAGATACGCTAACCTAGGAACCTCTTGTGAGATCACCTGCGCAACATCCCAGTGTTACGCGCCAGGGAGTAAATATTGGAGGTGCGTGTTATGATAACCTTGTGGATTCTTATCATTGACTCATGGGATTCGAGAGGAGCAAATGTTGACTGGGTGCTGCCTGTTGGTATGATAGAATCAATCCTAGGTCCTAGTTTTAAAAAATGATGATGATCATAACGAGGAAGCTGTCTTCTTCCCTTCCAGGCTCCCTGTTCTGTTTTTGATATCTTGCCAGTCGCAGGACCCCAAGAACCTTCGAGAGTGGATTCCGGAGACCAACAATGAATATCAAATTTTTGACAGGAACCAAGGCTTCGGGAGTGGTAGGGGTGTGATGCACTGGTTAAGACGGTGGCGTTAACCGGGCAGAGGACGTCAACAAACAAAGAAAACCGCTTCCTGCTGTCGCAAGATGCCAAGCGGAAGGCCAAAGGTTGCTTCAGGCCGTGACTGCGGGCGTGCTCGGCGATGTTGACTTCAATGGTTGAATTTTGCTTCGATGTTTAAAAGCAGCCAGCCTTCAGCGCCAATCTTGTCCTAGTCAACTCGCCAAGTTAGCGCAGGCTTCCCAAATCCCCTCACGTTCCAAAGTCAGCATTATTCGTTCTCGAAGAGTTAAACCCGAAGGTGCTCAGGGATACGCCGGACATCCCTCCGCGATGCTGCCTGTAATGCTTGCTTTTGCCATCTCCGGTATATTCTCGGCGATCACTTTGCTCGTGATCCCCGCAAACTGTTTGGCTTCGCGCCGTCCATTTCAACAATGACGTGAGAGGCTGCATTTTTGCTACAGAATTTCACCAGTTGCCCCCCCGTTTGGTACAGGCCGTTGTCTCCGATCTGCTTCGAGTGGCTACATGCCGGCTGCTTCGGATGCTTTCTGCAATTCCTGTTCTCTGCTTCTGCTGCATGTATACATACAGTACAGAGTTACATGACGATCGTCCGCGGAAGGTTGACGAATAATGGCAGGACGGCATCGTCTGGAACTCGTCCTCTGCCGTCATCAGGTGCCACATGCAGGCCTGTTGCTTAACGGTGCGATGTATATAAATTGGTGATAGCCCGTGTTGTGGCCTTATTTGTACGCCCTTCAAATCCATACGATATTGAACTTGCAAAATAGCCTTTGCTGAGCTGGGCTCTCCGCAATAAATCCACATACCCAAGGTTACCTATCTCGCTTCAGACTTCGTCAATATCTCATTAGCAAGAAACCACAGTTGATACGATATGGAACGTGGCTCTCTCATACGCGGCTGCCTGCTGCTCATGCGTCTGCTCCAATGGGCGAGCGCCGTGATTATCGTGGGAATCGTCTCATATCTCATCAACGAGGGTCCAAAAGGAGCGCATTTGATCTATGAGGAAGTCATTGTAAGTTTCTGCTCCCGCTTGGTTCAACACTCTCTCGTGCCTGGAAATTATCCTTTGGGACCTGCACATTCCCTAAAACTTTCAAGAAAAGTTAACTGACTTTTCACCAGGCCGTGCTGTCTGTTGCTTTCTTCGTGCCAGGCCTTGTCTCACCATTCGCCCCGGCAGTCGGCTGGCTCGCGTTCCCGATTGATCTCATCTTCTCCTACCTGTACGTGTATCCTGGTTTTCAACACCACGCAGCTATTGTAGAGGGACTCGCTAAAAGTAGCGTCTAGCTGGTTGACCTCCTTTATCTTTGCATCCCAAGATTACAGCGCCGGAGCTGTCTGTTCGGCTAATGCTCCACCCGGACAAGGTTGTGCCATCAAGCATGCGTCTCAATCTTTCATCTTCATCGCCTTGTAAGTGTCCCCTGGATTAATGTAGATTGGTGTAATGCTCTTGGACTGTATGCTCATGTGGCAAATAGCTTCTGTACTATGTGCTCTGCGGCAATGGAGAGTTGGAACCTCTGGACCCATTACAACTCTTCCCGCTCAAACACCGGTGGTCATTCTAAGGAGCTGCATAGAGAATCTGCCGATACCGCTGTCACCGGAAATGGCGGCCAAGCAGTGTAAAAGCAAGTTCTTCATCCAAACGAAAATACGCTCTTATATACCCCATTTCCTGCGCGGTTATTTAAACAAGATTGCTTGGATTTGCTTATCAGGGAAATTAGCCGTGCTGACTCTCCCCTCCAGCGTATTCGACTCAATTTGATACTTACAGACGCAAAGCAAGATTATACCATGTGCTTGATTTGCTTAATTTTTTGATGTTTCACTTTCATGTGTTATTTCCTTTTTGATCCCCAAGTGGTGATGGTAATACAATAATAATAATGACGGTTGAGGATGGTTGAGGAGCTTTTTGCAAGTTACCCTTAGCGATTATTTGCTTAAGTATCTAGTATATCTAGTACGGAGTATTTATGTTACTTATTTTGTCGCCTAATATGAATGCCATATGGCAAGCATTGTCAGTTTACCGCTTCTTCCCTCTCTTTAACTTGCTATCCTCCCAATAATATCTTTCTTGAGCTTCACACCTTGAACCCGTTCTAACGTATCGGTTTCATGATTCTGGGATTGTTTGCGTGTACATGTCTGTCAACGGCCTGCTTGACGGGACTCTTGAGAGCACCATGTGGTCAGGAGTGCTTCCAAGTAAATGTATTTCTTGCCCGCTATCGTAGTTAGCGGTTAGATTTAGAGGAAGAGAACGGCTGATATTCACTGGTACCCAGTATAATTACATCTGAAAAAACTTCCTCCATACACCACGTGCGCATGCTGATACTTGGCTACAGCCAGCTTCACCCTTGGAGAGACAGAGAAGGCTACATCCTATATAAGAATGTGCTCTATCGCGACTAGGAAACCGAAAAATAGAATCCACCTAGGATTACCGCAATCAAGATCATCGTGGTTATCCACGCTCCCGCCTTGTCTGCCGTCTTTATCCCCCGTTGCATTCCTATGGCATTACCCGTAGACACGCCCGCACCCGGGTTTCCCTTGCTCGTTCCACCGTCCTTCTCTGTAACAGGAGGATCCACGCTACCGATTAGATTCGACTGGATAACCTCCAATGCCGCCATCTGCTCGCCGATGCCAACGCTGCCATCGAATCCACCCGTCGACCACTTCAGACCGCATGATTTCCCGTCATTACCGCCGGTGCATGCCTTCGCGGCAGCCATAGCAGACGCGCGAAGCTTGGGCATAATGAGCTCTCTAGTGAACGGGGCAAGTTGCGTCGTTTCCGCCATCCACCGTGAGAGAAAGGCTTTGAATGACCGCTGATCAGTGAGGCAGTTATCATGAGGTTCGCATGAATACTCAACCATGATATCTGCCTGTTCGGGGAAGAAAGGGCGAAGACCGTCAATCATCCCTTGGACGCGCTCGCGCCAGATTTGTTCACCGTCGGTCTGTAAATTAGCATCCTCACTGGGTGGCTTGGAAGAGTCAAAAGAGTCTTACATAGTTGTACATGCTTGCTGCCCCGAGGAGGTACACACCTGCGTTGTATGTCCACTGGATGCGGTTCACCTCGCTGCAATTCAGCTTTTCATCTGACCCATCGAAAAACTGATAATCATCGGTTAGCAACCCGACTCCCTTGGTCCAATCCCACGTTCGGACTGCCCATTCTGCATATGTGTCGTTTCCCGTGTATCGCGCTAATCTGGCAGCGATGTTGAAAAAGCAGCCATTCGAAATGGAGTTTTTGTAGTTAAATCCGCGGTTAAACTGAAATATCTGCCAGTTGAGCCCGCCACCGCAGGTCGCCGTATTCCATCGAGCAGCCTGAGAGTTGAACACGCCTTGAGCCAACGCTAGCCATTGTGGCTCGTGGGCGGGCGGATTGGGAAAATTGCGTTCGGCGGCGGCCAATGCTGCTAGCCCCCAAAAAGCCTGATCGTCGTTCCCTAGTGTGCTTGTTTGGTTGAGAGGCATGAAGTTCTTCGTGGAGCTGGCCTGGTGCAGCAGTGCAGTGGTCGTCATCTCGTTCCAGGTGTCATCTCCAGTGTAGAACCAGTAATCGATCAATGCGCCAAACATTGCACCGGCTTCCCACCAGTAGTATGGGAGCGGCAGGGTGCCTGGGATCCCGCCCGGATGGTGCCCTGTGTAGAAAGAGGTCATTCCGGTTGCGGCGATTTTGGCGGCTAGTTTGATAGATTCTATAGTAGAAGCTGTTGTTAGAACGCACGGGGTTGCTATAAGCCTAGAGAGGAAATACCGTGATCATCGAGGTTTAGGTCTATAGCTGAAACAATTGACAGCATCCCCACGAGAGCCAGCAGCGATTGAGCCATCCATCCTGAGGATGATGAACAGGAAAACAGCCTCATCCTAGGTGAAAATAAAAAAAGTAAAATCTAACTGTAGGGTATAGATTGTAGAAAACTGAGCAGACAAGATATGCACTATATGAGCCTCATCAAGAAGAGAATAGGGATGCTCTTGTGAAGCCCTAATCCACGCACCTGAAGTGAGGTTGAAGGTAGGGCAGGAAGCACGCAGCAGAGTTCAGCAGATGTTGACCAGGCACCCAGCGCCGAGATTTGAGCTGCACGCATAGTTGAAGGAATCAACCATCCCTTGCTTCCAGTGCAAGCTGACTTAAATGGCATGGTAAATGGAATTCGGATGAGTCGGCGATATTCTTTAGGAAAGCAGAGAGAATGGGAGGGTGCAACTTAAATCAGCTATGACAGCATAATGCAGTCATGGAACCCATACAGAGGATTGTACTAGAGCTAACAAGCTCTCAGGCAGGGGTTCGTCCTGAGCGAAACAGTGATAGCTGGCAGAAGGTCCCTGGTTCAGTGTTTAGCATAAAGAGCTTGTTTGTGCTGGTTTATTGAACCCAAGGAATGGATGCATCCATCGAACCAGGATGCCATCTCACAAACTAATAAAAGTTCAACGCCAGGATATCTGCCATTCTCCTAAACCCAGCCATTTCCGCTTGATGAATATGTGCCAATTTATTAGGGTATCCAGGGCACTTGAGATGCTGACTGGCCTCCCTGACCGCACAAGTCCGGAGGAGCTGCCATGAGTGACAGAGCATTCCCCTTATAATTATCTCCCACTAACATTTAAAGAGTAGATCTGGATAGTTACTGAGAAAATAATGACGAGAAGAAGGACATGGAGTACTCCGCACGTTGCCCTGACACAAATCGACGAGATGGCTGCCAAGATCGGATGAACTGGAGATCAGGCTCTCGAAAATAACTTGGTTAGTGAACTAACTTGTTAGTTAGTGCGTAGAACGTGAAAATAGAAAACTTTGAACAGGGGTTCACTAGTTATCAGAGGGGCTTCTGAGAGAAGATTTCTGTGTATTCTTTTGTTCTCCAAAAAGAAAAAACAGGGCATCTAGGCTGGCCATCCAATTTCAGACACCACCTTTCTATAACTAAAAGCAGCAGATGCGCTTTGGTGGGAGTTAATTATGTACACTCTGGAAGCTCTCTGGCCTGTGGACGAAGCTTTCATTATCTAGCCGATCGCAATTTTCGGAGTCCCGCACAAATGACAGGGATCAGACACGGCTCCTGAATCCCATCCTTCGTCATCGGCCAATTTGACCTTTCCGTCCTTGCTCTCGGAAGGCCGTCCGCTGAGCGTGTCAACCAGATTCCTCAGCTTCATCCAGAACTGATTGCGTGGGCATCGATGCTCCCAGTCCGTGTTGGTCGCCTCGAGGCCCTCTTCACCGGACATTGGGCCAAATACAACTTCGCTACCTCGAATTCCGATCACAACGCTTGACATCTCATCGGCATCGATTTCATCACGGCTGCGCCCCGAAAATGACTCGAGGTGTTGGACACAGCGAAGAGCCAGGCGGAGTGCACGGATTCGGTCCATTGGTGATGGTTTCCCTCCTTGTTGGAAGTGGCCCGGAACAGCGGCCCGGGACTCGAAACGGCCCTTGGCCTCTTCCTTAATCATGTCTGCAATGACCTGTGTGGTATATGTGGAAGACGCTTTCTCGTTGCGGAGGATGATTTTGCCGGCATGACTTGCGCCTCGGTCAGTTGCAAAGTTGTGTCGGAGATATTCGATATCGCGGGCGAGCATTTTGATATCAATTCCTTCCTCAGGGATGTACACTGCGTACGCTCCCACTGCTAAACCTGCCATGACTGCGATGTACCCGGATCGCCCACCTTGGGTCTCAATCACAAATACACGGCGGCGCGATGAGGAAGCAGATTGTCGGATCACATCGCAGAAGTTTACCAGCGTGTTCAGGCAAGTATCGCTGCCCAGTGAATACTCAGTGCCAGGAACGTTGTTGGAAATCGTAGCGGGGAGGACCACAATTGGAATTTTTAGTGATGGATAATCTTTCCTTGCCTTTCGAAGCTGACTTGCCGCAGTAAAAGCCTCGAAGCCCCCAATGATGAACAAAGCGTCGAACTTGTACCGTTCAAAGCAATAGGCAGTGGTAGGCATATCCTCGGAAGGGAGACCTCGGTTGGTTCCGATTTCAGACCCACCTTCGTTCACCCAGGAATCTGATTCTAGCCAATTTACCTCGCGGACGGAACCTAGTGGCTTATCGGCGTGGTGGCGGCACAACCCAGGGAATCCGTTGTAGATGGCGACTGGAGTATGGCCTCTAGCAATGCAATAAGCCACTGCCGCACGGGTTGCTGGATTCATTCCCCCAGCAGGTGCACCGACGTGGATAATCGCAATGCGCATTCTCTATAATACGACAAGCGTTAGCGGGGGATTAGCAACAAAAAATAGGATGTGGAGACGCACCTTCTCCTGGGGAAGCAGCATTTTCGGGTGATGGGGAGTAGTCGTGTTAATGTAGGCTCTATGATAGGCTTTGAATTCGGAATCCCGGAGTTGCATGGCCTCCTCAAATCTCTTCTCGGCAACGCATTTTGCAACCTTTTTTGTCGCGGCGACGGCGTCGATCAAAGACCCTCTCTCGATCTTATTTTCGCGAATTGTGATAATTGGTGATGGGGAGTCGGGAGTGGCTTCGAGGACGGCTCTAACGGCTTCGGTGCCCTGAAGAGTGGCGAGCCACCTGTCATAGGCGCAGGCCGGACCACCTCGCTGGGTGTGCCCCAAGACCGTGACGCGGGTGTCGAGCTTGAGTCTGTTGCTAAGAATAGCCTTGACTGCGTCCGAGGTGATTTTATTCAGACTTCTATCCTGAGCACCTTCGGCGACGATGACGATTGTTCGCCGCTTGCCTCGCCGGCGGTTCTATTCGCCAAGTTAGTACATCCTGGCGGGCAAATGGGAGATCCTAACGTGCCTGTGTAATAATCTCGCACATATCGTCCTCCCAGCCATCACGGGGAGGCATTTCAGGGATGAAGAGCCAATCAGCGCCTGTGCTGATAGCAGACATGAGTGCAAGCCAGCCGCAATGTCGGCCCATGACCTCGATGACGAAGCCGCGCTGATGGGAGGCGGCGGTGTCGAAGACTTCGTCGACGGCCTCGCAAATACGATGCAAGGAGGAATAGCACCCAATGGTAGCATCGGTAGTCGACATGTCATTGTCAATTGATCCCACCAAGCCAACTATATTCAGGGTTTTGTACGGGGAAGTCTGGTTGGCGGTAAGTTCTCCTTTCTTGACAAGCTCGTCCAGCAGGCCAGGCCATTCAGATCGGAAGACATCAGCGCCAGTCAAGCTACCGTCTCCACCACAGACGATAAGAGCGTCAATTCCTCTTGTGACCATGTTCTTTGCGGCCTTCAAGCGGCCTTCTCTCTGTAGAAACGACATGCACCGTGCGGAACCAATGAGAGTGCCACCACGAGATAGCCAGCCACGCACGTCCTCCCAATGCATGCGCCGGATCAACTCTCCTCCTTGTACTAAGCCTTCGTAGCCTTCATGGATCGCATACGCCTCGCACCCGCAATGTATGGACATCCGGATCACGGCACGGACGACGCCATTCATTCCTGGGGCATCGCCGCCGCTGGTGAGGATGGCAACACGGCGTCGTTTGGGTACAGGCACCGGCAGATGTCCGGGAGGGTTGTAGGAAGCCATTGCGACTGTTGATAAGGGATGTTTGCGCTGGCGGGTGGAGGAGCTCTGGGAGTTGGGGAGGGATGGGAGCAGTGGGGTGAACAGGGCGAAATTGAGCTAAACCTGGACGAAGCTCCCCACTGATTCACGTGAAGTGGACCGGAAACAAGCCTGGGGCCGAACCTTCGAAGTTGCCTGTTCTGCTCTCGAAGTGACGATGTGGAAAAGCAGCAGAATTTTTCAGCGCGACAGTGGGGGAAAAGAAGAGGCGACAGGATTGGTATGAGCCAGTTGGTTAATTGACATTATATGCCGCAACCGGCCAGCCCGCCCGCTCGGCTCGCTGCCCTGCGCTGCGCTGCCTCGACGGTCGCGATCCGTCTCGCGTTCTTGGCAATCCAGCCCCACCGCTGCGCCCGGTAAGTGGCTAGTGAAGTTATGTAATAGTGATGTCATTGCTACTCTTGGCGGTAACCCAGGACAGCAGAAGCGCTAATCCAGGAACGGCCTAGTCAGCCACCGCCGCCTTTGCTCCCGAAAGCTTCCAATCCAACCTTCAACCACCCGGAAGACGAGAATTAAGGCGCTCACTACGGAGTACTCCGTACAGAGTATTGGAACAGTAAAAGGAGTTTTAAGGAGGTGAAGAGTTCCTGGTGAAACATCACCCATCTGCAGAGTATATACTCTGTACCATATTTGCCAATACCAACAGCTAAGTTTGAACTACCTCACCATTGTTATAGGTCTCCGGAAGTTTTGGCGATGGGCAATGGGGTGTGGCCTTGAGTATGATGCTTTAATTAATGGAATTCACTCGCTTTCTGTGTGTGTTTTTATAACCAGAAGCAACATTCATGGGTAAAAGCTAGTACTAATGTGCTATTAGGGTGTACTTATTAGAGCCTGTTTCTTCTGCACCAGTTGCAGGCCTGGAGCCTGCATTGACGGCATTCAAAAATATACTTGCTCAAACGATCGGAGCATTCCTCGCATACATGAGCGCCACGTACATAATTCCATCTGACATGGCTGCATTCATGATTTTCTCGGAGCTCCTGCATTGTTCTTGCAACCAAGATTTCTCTTGCTGTCTGACCGGAGGTTGCGTGCCTTTCTTGCTCTGGGGTTACTGTTGCTTGAGGCCCTTGAAATGGCTGCAGCTCATGTGTTTCCGGTTCAGCTCCATTGATGTCTAACTGGGATTCATTGATTTCCGGTTGGCGGTCATCAGGATCTTGAGGAGCAGCGTCAAGGGGAATGTTTTGTTCTCGGTCAATGATTTGATATGCACGCGCAAGAAGTCGGCGTTCATTCCATTGTTCACACGCACAGTTTTTCCAGCGCTCTCCACAGTTATAACAAAATTGCGCACCGCAACGACAGCTATCGCCATCCTAGTTAATATCAGAGGCAAGAAAAAAAAGAGGGACTACCCACGTCATATGATTGCAGCCATGATCCAGTTCTACCACTCGCCAGCAGGAATAGCAGCGCTGCCATCCATTATCCTGCGCGGTACTTAGGAGCTGTTGCATTGCGGTATCGTTCGGACAATCTCCTGTATGTGCTCGCCCCCTTGCAGCTCGTACAAGTTGTGGATCCGCATTCGGGACATGTGGCTACTTCACCCTCAATATGAGATGCGTCGATGAAGGCGTTGCACCTAGGAGAGTAGCAGTATGTTCTGTTTGGAGTTTCAAACTCAATCTTCTTTTTCTCGTACCTTTGCACGAGGTCGTTTGTGAGAAATATGCGAGCGATATTGATAACAATAGGCTGTCGGCAGCAGCGCGGAGGGAACAGGGATTCGTCCTTCATTGAGGCTTTGAAGAGATCCTCCAGGCAGGAACGACAATACTCATGGCCACAGGGTACACGTGCCACCCTGACAAATTCGGTTTCTTCTCTGCAAGCGACGCAGCGACGCATTGATGGTGGTCCCTGGCGGGTTCGTCGGGCTGCCCAGGTAGACGATTCGGCTTCATCACTCTCTGAACTGGTTGTTTCTACGCCGCTGATGGGGCAGTGGCCTCCGGGGCCAGTCACATATAAGATCTGGAGTTTGTACAAGGTCTCGTCATCTAGTGCTATTGGCTCCGAGTTTGACTGGCGGTCCTTTGCAGCAGCCACAGGGGATCCGTTTTCCTCGCAGTAACGAGCAAGCTCCCGGTCTCTCATCGCATTCTCTTCGGCCACAAAGTTATCAACCATAATTGGCCCATCAACTTGAACAGCGGTTGCGAAGCTCATAGCCATTCGTCTATCCACAAAGAATTGGGAAGCATTCTTAAATTCCTCAGTCTGTAACTGGAATGCCAACTCTTCGTCTGTGGGCTCGCGAGACTTCCCTTTAGAGGATTCAAAGTAAAGGTCGGCATCTTGAAGTTGCAGTTGAACAATGAGATCTGCCGTAGGCTGGTCAATTTCCGGTTCAGGTACAGAAGCCATTGGGAGATTATTTCAATTAAGCAAGGGGTGATAGGTCAGGAATAATGAGGTAGTTATTGCAAAAGCTGCTTTGACCTGCACGAACCTAGGTGGGCAGTCTTTGTGCTTAAAAAAGCAAGCAAGCACGGTCTCGAGGCGAGTTAGCCCACTAAGCATGGTTAGAAGCTATACTCCGTAGGAACCACGTATACCATTCCATTCAGGCGCTCTTATTCCCTTCCTCGCTCTGCCCTCTCTCAACCCTCCCAGCTTATAGGTCAGAAAAGAGGACGACCTTTGCATCGGATCAAGAGAGATCTGGTCGGGAAGCTGGAAACTAACTAAATAGAAACTAGCGGCTCAATGCACGGTTCCAACTAAAATGTTGCTAAACCACTAAAAATGTCCGACACCCCCGCCCGCTCCCGCTCACTCTGAGCCTAGCCTTTCCGCAAGCTAATTTGCACAACAGGACGGAAGAGGGGATAATCAGGTTGCGGAGTTGAGCAACGCCAACTGTGGCCCTCCAATAGAATCAATTGAACATATCAAACTCCAAGGTCCATGCATGCTGGAAAAGTACACACTGCCGGAGATTCTACAGAACCGCAGCACAGATTACGGAGTACTCCGTACATGCATGGGCAACTGTTTTGGGGATCTGGCAATTAATTTTATGGACTGATTGCAACAAGTTGATATATGCCTGCCACGCTGTAGATACCAATGAGCTTGGTGGCATGAGTAGGAAAAGGGATTTGCGAGTTACGTGATCTTCGGGGGATATCTGCTGCAATCGCCAAAGACAGAAGTGCCAGAACACCGAGCCTTTTGTGCATGGACTGTCAAAGAAAGGCGGCTGTGACCACTTCATAACATTAGCGCCAATTTAGAGTACTCCGTATGATAAACAAAAAAGAAAAAAAAAGAAAAAAGAAAAAAAAAAAAAAGAAAAGGTTGACACTAAAATTTGAAATCCAAAGCTGCAGGTGTTTTGGTTGAGAGATCGAGGAGGCTGAAAGCTTTTGAAGCTAACGCGTTGGGAAGTTGAAGCGCGTCGCCCGCCAAGATGGGGTTTAGCCGCGGTGAAGATCACGTGCAGTGAGTTAAATAACCTTCATCGCATTCGGAGCTTCCTCGGGACGATGACAATGGCAGAAGCAATCTTTCTGTCCAACGGATGGAGATTAGATAACCTTTCGCTTGGGCTTTCAGTGTGCTTTCTTGCCTGCGGATATGTCGAATAGCTTCACCTTGCCGCTCCGGCCGGCGCGACAAAAAGCTAATCGAGAGGATGACCTGGCCGTCAAAATCGCTCAGATTAACGCCCAAAAGGGTTCTTTTCGAGATGTCACTGAGGCGAGTCTTCTAGCTGAGATTGAAGCCGCTCGGGCAGTGGGAGACGGAGAGGCTGAAGCCGTAGATGTGAAAACGGGCGAGGATGAGGAAGAAAACAGAGAAGAAAAGCTATTCAAAAGCCGGCTTGAGATTTCACAATTCGCCATGTTCGTTGTGTTCTGAGCCCACAGAGATCCATATACTAACTCCCTGCCTTGCTTCAGGAATGCCCACATGGAGGCGACTTATGCGCTTGAATTTGTTTCCCTGCTTCTATCCAAGCATGCCCCTCGACAGGCGGAAACGTCCATGTCTCCGCTTCTGAAACAAAAAGTACCGCTGGGCTCCCTCGGAGCGGACCATATAAAACCACCAGAACAATCGGAAACGCAGAAGAGAGATGTCGATGCTGTGTCACGTGGATGGAAGTTGGAGAGCTTTGACGCGGCGGCGAACAAGTTACTCCAGTCGGCGCAGAGGCTGGAGGAGGACATCGCAGCTGAAACAAAGTACTGGTCTGAGGTGTTGAAGATCAAAGAAAAGGGATGGAAGGTGTGTAGGCTGCCCCAAGAGAGACAGACACTAGGAGTTCACTTTGGATTCCTGGAATCTACACAAAATTTTCGGGATCGAGGATTGGCTGCTTTGCGAAAAGGGGAGGCGGGGAGATTGATTTTGGACCGTGGAATTCAATTGAAGCCCCCACGGTTCGTTCGAGTGCGAGTTCAACGGGGAGATCAAACTCTGGGATTGACTATACCAGCGATATCTAAGCAACTCGATGATCAATGCCTAGATGGTCGAATCCGCGAGGCCAGAGATAGCCTGTATGAAGAAGAGCTGTTCTATGAACTGAACCGGGAAGCTCGTGTTCTGCTCCAGTACGGAGTTGAAATCAGACGCGATCTTCTCAAGTTCCCAGCAGACGACAACAAACATATATTTGTTGACCTGGTCGGATTAGACGAAGCGCTTCCAGATATTGGCGGGTTGGATCCCTTGGATAATCTTTTGGCCGAAGGTGTTGCCAAATCCTTCCGCATCCTCCTTTCTTATGCCCATCGGAAAAATCACCATCGGCGAACACGTGTGCCGCCGCCAGTGACTCCAAACAAGAGACCGGCCCCCGAATATAACATAATACGGCCCCTTCTTTGCTACTTCCAGCATAGATCGCATTACCAGTGGTTTACATCGTTTTTTGGAACTCTATCAAAGACGTTACGGTCCGCTGGTTTGAAATGCAGTTACACTCTATACCCCTTGATGAAACGTCCTCAAAGCCGCGCCGGCTCCTCTCAGCAAACCTTGACAGTATCTTCCGTTGAAAGGCTCATAGACACTCTGATCAACCCGTCCGAGTCGATCATCAGTTGCAATCTTATTTCCCAAGGCTCCGTATTCAGAGTACGAATCACGACCAATGTCAACCCAAACGGCCTTGGGTCTGAGTTCGAACTCGTTACGAATCTTGCCCACTTCCCAGCGCAGCAGTCGCCCTTCCGGTTTGGACTGCGTGAGGATGTGCGCGATTTGATTATCCACCTCTTTACTTTGGATCTTGTTTATTTGGTCCCTTCACTAGTCAAAGGTTCCGCGAGTGCTGGTGCTTCACAATATCTGATCTCTCGGTATACCGGATCTCAAGCCTTCGTGGAAGAAGAATCAACCGATGAAAATGAATTTGCTCCATCGCCAGCTGCAAAACAGGATGACGTTTATTTATTACCCTGGCAGCCAACGTTTCCCCAGCAAGGTGAGCTGACTGCTTACTCTCCAGCACGTTGTCGCACAAAGAAGCTGCAGATTCAACTGCAGAGCGATCAGCTTCAACTACGATGTTTCTGGGTAAGACACAGAGGGCCTTCAACTAAGGCAGATGAGCAGCCTGGGGAAAGACTGTTCACATGGCGCGCAGTGGACATGCTGGGAGGAGCGGAAGAGTCCTCGAGGCCTACACTTCAACGGGTGATGGAACTTTTAGGGGAGAAATATGATGACCAAACTGTCCAAAACATCGGTAGTAAATAACTAATATTGAAATTTTGTCCGAGCATGAAAGTAATTTTGACACCTTTAACTGTGTCCATGTAGAGCTGCAAGGACGCCAAAGGAGACAAGGCTGATTTCTCCGCTGATCCAGCAATTAAGCGATCGATGGATTCGACAGTGATATTACCACATATGAAATTCCAAACAGGATTGAGCAGAATCTTCGTGGTAGGTTTGGGCTGTTTGAAAACACAGTGACTAAAAGAGTTGTGTGTATGTACTTTACATGAATTAGCTTGCATGCACTCTGTAGTTGCGGACTGATGTACTCCGTAGACCATGAAATAGCTGCCATCATCAATTGACAACAATATCAAAGCGCTCGATCCGATACTCCGTCCAGGTTCGTAGAATTTCCCTAGTGATTGGTCGGGAAATTCAGCGGGCTCGGCGACGTTGGGCAGGAGTTTGGCCGCACCAGGAACAGGTGGCGTGTCACAAGACCAATGACGAGCAACAGATGGGTGGGTGCTCTCTCCATGCCAACGCCTGTTTTTGCGCGTAAATCCCAATCATCGGTCCTGAATGATTCCAACCTGTATCGTTTTCCGAACCAAGGTCGCAGACTGCAAAGATCGGGAACCAACTCTGGCCTCTGTCAAAATCCGGTGTTCGCGGTTGTAGCTGTCATCACCTCCGTATCGGTCTGTCCAAACATCGCCGAAAATGACGACCCGGTACCGGGTGGAGTGTGAGTAACTCTCTGACCCTGAGTATGTCAAAAGTAACTATCTTACTGAATACTACCAAAAAACAGATGCCCTGAAGGTGAGCCTTGTGGTTATCTGCCCGCTCTTGAACCGTGGCTGACGAGACATAACCACCATTCAAAAGTCTCATCGGCGAGACCAACTTGTAAGTAAAAAACGCCCCGGGAGAAGTGGCGGCTCTTTGAGAGACCTGCAGCCATTGATGCATATAGTATTGGAAACCAGATTGAATGGATTAAGGTACAGTATTCACCGTTTGCTTTACTCCGGGGATCTATGCTAAGCCTATCTCTCAGGGATTACTTGCTGTTCCCTTTGTGCTGCACTCCCAGCCGGCTGCTGCATACAAGGAACACAGCCAAAACCTTGCTCATATTGCTGAGCGAACCCACAATCGATATGTGGAGATTATGCGAGACGTCGAACATCTTGTGAACGAACACAGTGCGTCTATATAGTATCAACCCCCCTGAATGATAGAGTGCTATGCTGCTGACCGAGCGGACAGTTGAACATCAATTATCAGGCCGAAATGGCCGTTCTACACTAGGCATGCTGATTCCTTCCGTGGGGACATTTTTCACCCCTCTGCTTCTCGAGGAGGCATTCAAGTATCAAGATAAGAAACGATTTATCAGCAGTCGACGGTTTGTGCCGCCGTCGTTCAACGATATCCGCCTGACATTGAATACGGCCCAGCTAATGGGCCTTGTCCATCGCAGCCAAGTGCAGCTGATTACATTCGATGGAGACGTCACCCTTTATGAAGATGGCGCTTCGTTGACGCCTGACAATGAAGTTATATCCCGCATTATTCGCCTATTAAGACAAGATAAGCAAGTGGGCATCGTGACTGCAGCTGGATATACCAGCGCAGACAAGTATTATGAACGACTCCATGGCCTGCTGGACATGGTCCACAGCACCACCGAGTTGACACCTGCCCAAAAGAAATGTCTAATAATCCTTGGCGGTGAGAGCAACTTTATGTTCGAATTCGATCCTAGCTCCCCTCATCGGCTGAAATGGGTGCCACGCAGCCAGTGGTTGTTGGATGAGATGAAAGGCTGGACCGAGCGGGACATCAAAGAAGTACTCGATGTAGCCGAGGCTGCGCTGCGTGACTGCGTGTCGAATCTCAACCTACCGGCGTCGATTCTTCGAAAGGAGCGAGCGGTAGGGATATATCCACTCCAGGGCCATAAGATGCACCGGGAGCAGCTCGAAGAGACGGTCCTGGTTGCGCAGCAGCGGGTTGAAACGTCTCCTGTTGGCCGACGGCTGCCATTCTGCGCATTCAACGGCGGCAGTGACGTCTTCGTCGATATAGGAGACAAGTCCTGGGGGGTGCTATGCTGCCAGAGCTTCTTCGGTGGCATTGATAGGTCCAAGACACTGCATATCGGCGATCAATTCCTGTCTGCCGGAGCCAACGATTTCAAGGTATGACGATGGTGCCATCGCAAGCGCATAAGCTACCAAGCTAAATCAAGGTTCTGTTTAGGCTCGGCTCGCGTGCACGACAGCGTGGGTCTCGAATCCAGGCGAGACCGTGCAACTGCTGGATGAGCTTGCGACGCTAGAGGGTGTTAAATGAAGCCCCACATGCATTATTCCTCCAGCCTAGCAGTTTAGCTAAGGATATCTTGTTCTTTCACGTCTGACCATATATCAATATGTAATGAGTTCGCCATCCATCTCATAGCAGCTTGAGAATTGTGCAATTACTATTTATTTTGCCTTTATTAAGTATAGAGGTGTGCCCCAGAAAGTCTTTGCCGCGATAAGTACGGAGTAATTAGTTACCTCTAGTAATCAAGAAATAATCTGGATTGTTCCATAATGCTACATTCGTACTAGGCCCGGAGTAGCGCTGGAGGCAGGCCTTTTGGGAAGGTTTTATCTCTTCTCGAGGTTTCTACAAGCCAAAACGAGATCATGCAGCGCCTGGCATAATGTCACGTGTATTAGTCAGCATAGTTAGCTTCTAGTTATAGTTCAGGAGATCCGACGGTCTCCGTAATATGATCATCATCTTGCCACTCATTACACATAAGGCAATTTGAGGCGTAAGCTAGAGAGCCTCAAGGGAAGTAAGGTGACGTTCCTCAGTAAGAACGCGCCTCTGCCGTCATCCACGTTGACATGTGCAGTGAAAGGCGGTGATAGGATCCGACGAGGAGCTGCCCTCGTCGAAGCACAAGAGGGCCGACTTCGAGATGATCCCATCAAGGCTAACGAAAAACCAAAATCAAGTGCTGGACGTCAGATTGGAAATTTTAACAAGACAAACTTTAACAACAACATAACTAGTTAAGCTTTAACATCTGTACGGAGTACTCCGCACGGAGTACCACGCTAGGCTTAAAACAGTTCTTTGCTGGACAATGTAAGGCTTTCGACCAATAGGCGGAAGCTATAGGAACCCCCAGAACCTGAACTTTTCAATCTTGGCTCACCTCGAGAGATTGGCATCAGAACCGGGAGGAAAGGTCCAAGCTAAACTACACAAAGACTAGTATCTGGATACACGTTCATGTGGACGCCCAAAGAACGGCTTGATGATTGGCAGCTGCCAAAATCCGGCTCCACCATTCGCGGCTACTAAAATCTGTCTCGATGATTGGACGGTTGCTAAGATCCTGAAGGCGCTGCATATCAGTTGTTATTTATTCCCTTCAGGCAGGCTGTTGATAACTTCGGCTCAAGCAACCAAAACCGACAACGACACTAATATTGCAGTAACAAAATATTTAAATACCCCCAACTACCATGGAGGTCCGAATCCAATGGCCCTCGCCGCAAGCCAGCACATCTGCTGAGGCCAATCTATTGCAAAGCCTGCATCCGAGATATAAATTGCCGGACGGCCTAAAGTATGTATTCTCACCACTACTCTCCGTGGCCTCAGTGCTACTCCTTGTTTCGCTCTACTAAGCTGTGCAACTCTAGATGACTTCCAACGTCCAATTCGGAACGGCAACTTCTCAGAATATACTCCTTTCCAGCATGTATTCAACGTCGCAGGAGACTACATGCAGCAATCAGTACCACATCAACCAAGCATCAGGCATTTCCCCAGTGAACTGGACTTCACAGCTCGGTTCTTCTCAGGCGACAGAGAACCTCTACGATGACTTCAGCTTTCCTGTTCATCCTTCGATTGCACCAGCTTATACGGTCAACCCATCTTTCGCCGGAGCCCAAAGCGGTATCTGGGGAGTATACGGTGCTGCAGGGCCTGATGGGTTTGCTAACGGAACTGTAATAGGTGGCGACGTGCCACCTTCCTACAATACTAGCCAAGATATTGAAGGCACCGAAAAGGGACAATGTAAGGCATTGTCCATAGCTAGTGACGACTTGGGTGGCGTGGAGTCTTCAGCTTCCATCAATACCTTATCATCAAAGCGAGTTCCGCACACCGAAGATGTCCAGCAAAGGCAAGTCTAGTGCCTTATGTACTCCTCCATTCGTTTGTTCTAACGAAAGGGTATTAGAGGACACGCAAAATCATGCAATGGCACTTTTAAGTGCGGATGGAACGGTTGTAAATACAAAGGAACGTTCCAGCGAACGGAAGATCTGATTCGGCACGTCAGAAACCTCCATGTACAAGCCAACTCGTATCCGTGTCCGGTGGAAGGATGCCACCGATCCTTCAATCGAAAAGACAATTTGGACATGCATATTCGCCGAAGACACGATAGGAATGTGAAAGGGTTCCGGGTACACCCCCGGTGCCAAAAATAATTGCTTGCTCACGAAGTATATATGCAGGAGCATAGGGCTTGTGGAATTACTACTATGCATTTCTCTGCATGCAATATTGGAAATAGCAACGGAGATCTTAGAAAGGCTATATATATGTTCACACACGCCCGAAATGAAATATCACATCGTCTTGGACTCATATCCCAGCATCCTGTGAGTCAGCAAATGTATCAAGTAACCGACAGATAGCCAAGTGGCCGTTTTGCAAAGCAAATTCCGTTGCGCGTTCGTACTGCACACAACCGGAGCTCATGATATCAGCACCACTCATTAGAAGGAACATCACCATATCTATACGTCCATGTTCTGCCGCGCCTTCAATCGCCGTCCTTCCTCCGACTTCTGCGGGTAAGGCATTAACTTCAGCCCCTGCTTCCAGCAACAACTGCGCCATCTCAATATTACCTCGAATGCTGGCCAATTGGAGGGCAGTAGCGCCATATGTTATGAAGGCGGGAGCATTGACTTTGGCTCCGTGGTGCAGGAGTAATTGGACGACATCAAAGCTGCTCGTTTCTGCGGCTAATTGAAGAGGTGTGCGGCGAAGGTCCTGGGTAGCGGCCTTGTTCACATCCGCTCCAAGCTTGATTAGTTCTCCAACCGCCGGAACACTATTCTGCTCGATAGCCAGATCAAGCCCCGTTCTGGAGGGCTGTGTCTTTGCAAGTGCATTGATTTTCGAATTCGGGGAATTAAGGATTAATGTGACAATGAAAGGATCGATATGGCCCATCCCTTCCACGGCAACACCAAGGGCTGATAACCCGTAGTGAAGTTTAGCCTCCAAGAGCAAATAGCGTTTGAGACCGGGTTTGGCCCTAGCAATCCAATTCACTTGAACCCCAAATTTGAGCAATGCCTCGGTCTTGTCCCTTTGATTTTCTGTGATAGCTAACTGGAGAGCCTCACAACCATAGCCATGGGGGATGATTCGATAGCGAGCCTGATGAGTCTGTAAAAGCAGCAAAAGTATAGAAGTTGGCCTAAAAACTGCTGCTACAAGTGCTGCCTCATCTATGTTGGCCCCGTGGTCAAGCAATTTCTGGACAAGCAAGAGGCTGCCTTTCCAGACGGCCTCGAAAAGCGCGCTAGATCCTGAAAGCGTCGCATGCGGGGCATTGATATCAGCGCCGGCTTCTATCAAGATATTTATAATGGCAACGTCTCCGTTTTCAACTGCCAAGGATAGCGGTGCTCTGTCTGAATATAGTCCTTTTGCATTTAGTTCTGCTCCAGCATAGATGAGTTCACGGATAATCAAACAATCGCCTGTGTCAACAGCTTCGGAGAGGACTGTTCGGTGCTCTGCATCTTCCCCCTTCAATCCCTGCTGCTTAATCTCATTCACGGCCACACCGCTTCTCAATAGGTGGTGGAAAAGCTCTGTATTTCTCTTTTTCATTGCGGCCGCGAGTAAATGTGGGCCATCCCCCAAAATTTCTATAGGGCATGTCCGTAAGAGGATCTCGATAACATCTCTGCTTTCGTGCAAGATCGCTTCGATTAATGATCCTTTTAGATGTTCGATGGCGTTTGGCCGAAACCGAGATTTAGGGCCAATAAGCGCGCGAAACAGACCGACGCAGTTCTCTCGGGCAGCATGTCGGAATTTGGCATCCAACCAAAAATCACTATGAAGTTCAAACTCTCCCTCTAGTGCATGTAACGCTTCGATAAGGCCCACATCTTTGACTAGGATGGCCTTACATAGGACAGCCTTGAAACAATCCTGTTTACGCTCATCTGCTGCAGCGTTCAGGAAGGCTATTACCATTGCAGTGTCCACTTCTCCAATCATTGTCTCCAGCGCTGATGGAGTAACGGGTGCCCCAGCCTCGAAAACCGATTTGATAAGGTCATTGTCCCCAATGTAAGCGGCGTATATGAGCGCTTGCGCACTATTCCATGGTTCGTATTTCATAAATAGCTTTACAATTTCTTCGGGCAAATCATCAAGTTTGCGTGGAGGTCGCACTCCGCGCTCAAGCAAAAGCTGCAACACGTCAATGTTCTCATACGAGCTCGCAATTTCCATAAGTCCATCAGATACGGGGGCTCCGTATTCCATGAGAAGGCTGATTAGTTCGATATCTCCATTAAGATCTGCTGCTAATTCCAGCATAGTATCCCAATTATCCTCCTCGTCGGGCAGATCAACGTTCCACATTGGCCCATCTATCATCGCTCCAGCCTCTAGGAGCTGGCGAACGACAGCAGTGACATTTTCAACGTCCATAAAGGAAGACCTAAGAGCATGTACTAATGGAGGCGTTTTAAACAGAGGATTCACATTGGCGCCTGCATCAAGAAGAAGTGAGACTGCTACAGCATCCCCATTAGCAGCAGCTACTGAGAGCGGGAAATCGCCAGTTTCAGGGTTGACATTAGCCCCAGCCTGTAAAAGAATTTTAACCAATGCAGCGCCATGACCGTCGGCGAAACCAACTCTTAAAGCACAAGAAAGAGCAGGAAACTTGTTGACATCCGCTCTAGCGTCCAATAACACTCTCACGAGCTCCAGAAACCCTCGCGTACATGCAAACTGAAGCGGAGTTTGTAAGTCCAGTAAGCCGATCCGCGGAGTTTCTAAGTCCGGTAAGCCGATCCGTGTGTCGGGGTCTATTGTAGTATGTTGCAGTATTTCCTGCACCGTGACGGCATCTCCAGCCTTGACAGCAAAAGGGAAGAGGCTTTCAGCAAGTGCTTCAACAGCTGGGCTTCTTATAGAGAACATGCACTTCCAAGCAGCTGGGGGGAAGTAGCTTCGGAGTTGGCCATACAGGGCTTCGTATTGTTCATCATCGATGTTAATTAGCTTGTTCGCAGCCAGGTATACAAAGAGCCGGAAGGCCTCCTCCACTGCTGTTTGACTGCGATGCGCAGGGTTCATGGCTTCCATAGCCTGGTTGATCAAGCCTAGGCTACGTTTTTCTTGTACACTTTGGTCCAGTCCTTTCGAACACGCTTGGATTGTCAGCGGGTCAACAGTCTTTGTAAAGACGCTGTTGTAAGTTGCTACCTGGCCATGTCAGTATACACTTCAACCATATGCAGGTCGAAGGGAAAAGGAATCACAAACGACAACCCCCCTCACCATCTGCTCTCAGAATAGAGAATAGCTCAGCACATGGCAGTATAGCGAGCTTTTGGATACATGGCTGCATGATTGAAGAAGGGTCAAAACTCCCAGAAAAACCAAATGAGCCTGACAAAGCCGGGGATTGTATCAAGGCGAGTTCCTGTGGTGCGGCCTCTGTCCGTGGTGTTCGAAGCTTTACTCCATCGGGGGTTTTTGGTGGTGGTCCTAGATCGGAAAGGTATGTCAGATCAGTTAGCTAAAGGCGCCTTCATATTTACCTTCATTGGTTATGCCCATCATTTCCGACAGGCTCATATATCGGGAGCATTGCCTTTTGAACTTCTTTGGACAGATGACTCGTTTGTTCAGGAGCATTTCTGTTTCCTTTCGCTCTCTTTTTCTTTTTAGTGTCTTGTAACCCACGATCCTCCATTCCTCCTTCTTCAACTTCTTACGGAATCCCCATTCTTTGAACTGAGCCTCGTATTGACACTCCCTTTTCAAAGTCAGTTGAGGGTAGGTAGGATCGTTTGTCATAAAGGATCCGTACGTCACTTCCAGCCCCTTCGGAATCATCGTCGTCCGCACCTCTTTGAGGCTCATGTTTTGATGTAGGTATAAGTCCTCCAAAATGTCCTTGTAGTTGTCCCAGCAAATAGGTCCTAAACTCGCCATGGTGAGTCGGTGCAATCCTTGTGGTAGAGGAAATTGTCTTCGAGAAACATGCATCCGCAGTCAATGCAGTCTGTTTCTCCGAGAGAAACCCAAGAAGAAGAGAGAAGTTCCAGATCAGTTTCTTTTGGAGCTGATCCGAATGAGCAATCGCCTTCTGAGCCGCCTTGTTGTCTTTAACGGACATATTAGACAACAGCTGTGACGCAAGAGCTCAAGTCACCCCATTGGTCAGCTAAGAAGACTGGAGCCTTGTGCTACAGTGGCAAAGGACCAAAACCTCCCTGCGCCCAAGCTGCGAGGCGCAAGCCGCTTGCAGGGCTTCTGAGTCCAGGGCCAGTGAGGAAACGTCCTGATTGCGGTCCCCCAATTCCGATCTGCTTCGACGAAAACCATACCGTCACTCACACCGCCATTCTTGGGTATCTCAGCCTTGTCTCACCCCGAGGCAATTTCAATTGACGTGTCATTTTGTCGCTTCTACTGTCGAAGAGAGGTGTATGCAACTGTGAAGAATAACAAACATAGGCAGGGAAGGTTATGCATTTCAAAGGGCGCTAACAAACAGCAATTTTTCTCCAGTAGGGGGTCAATCAGATGTTCATTTGACGAACCAGGGTTGAGTTGATTTGTACCGAATTGATCTTCACTGTTAGAACCATGCTTCAGGAAGGCTCATGAGTTAAAGCCAGGACACTTTTTAAAGAATTCAACAACCTTTTGAGGGAAATATAGGAGAAGGCAGTACTCCGTACAGAGTACAGGACACAAATATTTCTAGTTCCCTTAGCTAAAGTGCAGATAAGGTGGTTCTGGGTTCCCTCCTATTCTCCTTACCTGATCGTTGCCAGGCGGGGCAAGCGAGAGGATATACCAGCGAGTCGCTTGCGCTAAGTAATCCGGATCAGGAACAACTAAGTTAGTTAAGTGGATCTCTTAAAAAATTACCTCTGGATCAGGAATATTTTTTGATCACAAATTGATTCCTCCTCTTCTACGGAGTACGGAGTACAATTATATCAAAAGAAAAATCATTAATACAAATAAAGTGAACTGATTATATTAGGCCCAGTCTGGGTGCCAAATCGGCAAATCCCCCGTACAGGCCCCGGGCGGCCCGGGCGCCACCATAAGATCCCGACGCCCCTGGCCCGGAAATAGACAAGAGTGGCCGTACTCCGTACAGGGACTCTTTTTTTTTTAAGCGCCGGGCGCCCTGGACGCCCTGGGCACCCCCCCGGGCTTATTAAGATTTTTGCCGATGCAAAGTGGCCTGGGTGCATTTACTTATGTTTAGGCTGCGGCCAGACCCAACTATACTCAGATTTTGGGTGCCATGGTGTTCATCCAGTCAGGTCAGATTGTCTTAGAAGTTCTGGATCCACGGATAAGCTTATTGGCTCCTTCTCTTTGGATAGTGATACTGATCCTGAGATATCCATTTTATGACTTTAAAGAATGGGTGAGAAAGACAGGTCAAGGGCTTTTGTGATCACTTGAATGTGATTGTGTTGAATGCGAAAATGACTGCGTTTTGGCTGGTGAAGTTTATCTTTAAACTACAGCCACCGTGAGACTTTACTAAAGCTGGTGAAATTGTTGCCAAATTTCTTGCTTTAACTTCTGAATGAATTTGTTTGAAAAATTGTTTTGTGAATGTTGGATATACCCAACGCTTGGTGTGCATTGTTAACTACGTTAAAAATCAAGATTACCCACCAGATTATACTGAATTAGGCAAATAGTGGAATGTTGAAATGTTCAAATCAATGTTGCTAAAATACATCTATTTTTGAAATGCAAATTCGCTTGTCGTGTTTGCTGGTCAAGAAACGAAGTGAAGTGTTTTGGAGTTTGCTCTCGAACTTGGACGGCTGTCTTGGCGATGACATAAGTAACCAGCTCACGAGCCAAGCTAAGAAGATGACAAAAACTCACAATCACATGTCGTGGTCGATCTGCCGTCGATGAACGTGGGAAAATTGGCAAATCAGACCTCACTGATGTGCTGGCGGGCAATATTCTGAGAACAGGCCCGGTTCCAGAGAGCCTGTGTTGTCACTTCTGACATTGAACATCACCGTTGTCCGCCTCACACAGGAAGGGTTGGCTGGTTAGGTTCACTACTAACTAGGTTTGTTACCCACCAACAAGCTCAGCGTTAACTCTCCACCCACGTTGCGGATTCACGGGTTGGTCTGTCACTTGGGTGGGACCGTGCCATGGTCGAACTGCCTTCCAGAGAAGCGGCGGAAGAGCGAAACAAACCCGGCGTCCAGCAGCGCGCGAACTCCCGGCGAATGACATCCCGCCGTAGCAGCACCTCGCTTTCTCCCTCGTTCGTCGGAGGTGTATGAACCTGACGACCACCATGCCTGCGGCTGTGGCGCCCGACCCTCCAGCGCAGCTCGCCGTCTCGTCACGGAGCTTGAGCGACAGCAGTGACGCAGCTGGTGCCTCCAGAACGTCGTCGTCCTGCCGGGCCTCGTCGCCCTCGCACTGCCCGACCCATGCCTGGAATCCGGACCCACCGCCCTCCTCCCTCCAGCCCGTCTTTTCTTTTTCTCCCTCCCTGCCGCCGCCCTGCCCCTCCCCCGCGATCTCCTCCTGTCCTCCCAACACCCTCTCTCCTCCAAATCTCCTCCAGGGCATTGTGTCCCAGCTCGCCATGGCGTCCTACATCGGGCGTCTGCTCCTCTACCTCTTCCAGGTCGTGCCCAGCCTGCTCTACTGGGCCATCACCTTCACTACAATCACCGTCCCGACAGCGCTGTTCACCCTCTTTTCCATGAGCTTGACCTTTACCATGAACTTTACGACACTGTGAGTCCTTTCCTCTTACCTGAGGCGCTCAGCATGCTGCCAATCCCAACCCCCCCCCACAAAACTGGGCGCTAACGCTCCTCGAATAAAATAAAAAGTCTCATAATAGTATTGCTACTTGTATCTACCGTTAGCTGGTTCATCCGTTATCGATTTCTTAATATCTACTCCCGGTTACCGCCAGAGCCGCAGAGGAAAGAGCCCGAGATAGACCTCTTTCCCGACTCGCAGGATGGCGACTCAAAACCTGGCTTGTCCAATTACCTTGACGAGTTTCTCAGCGCCATAAAAGTGTTTGGCTACCTGGAGCGGCCCGTCTTTCATGAGCTTACACGAACAATGCAAACACGAAAGTTGATTGCCGGTGAAACGCTGCTGTTGGAAGAGGAGAAAGGCTTTTGCTTGGTCGTCGATGGATTGGTCCAGATATTCGTCAAGTCGATCCAAGAGCGGGACGATGATCGGGATGGCTGGCAGCTGGATGAAGCCGTTGAGGATTCGGTCGATGAAGATGATGAGATTCGGCGTCGGGGTCATCAGGGATACCAATTGCTCACTGAGGTGAAAAACGGTGCGTCGATGTCGTCTCTCTTCTCGATTCTATCCCTATTCAGCGAAGATATCAAATTACGTCATAACGAAGATATGGAGTCAAGCTCCTCAAGCTTTAACAATGTCCCCGCACCCGATTCAAACCCAATGAGCCCGGCTCTTCTTTTAGAGAGTCCCACGAGGGTGAGCTTTCCCGATCAGCGAGATATCCCAACGCAGCCAAGCGCAGACACTCTGCCCAAGGTCTCCCCTCTAGCTTTGGAGGGAAGCCCCGGTCCATTCGAGCACGATCCAAAGCCCCGCGGCCATCGACGCAAGAGGCCCTCAAGGCCTAAACGGGCCAAGTCCGTTCATCCCGACATTTTGGCGCGAGCTATGGTGGATACTACCATTGCAATTATTCCTGCGAGTGCTTTCCGACGCTTGACCAGGGTGTACCCGAAGGCTACCGCCCATATCATACAGGTTATTCTCACGAGACTTCAGCGCGTTACCTTTGCTACTGCGCATTCATATCTCGGATTAACCACCGAAGTTTTGAGCATTGAGCAGCAAATGACCAAATATACATCCTTCGACCTACCTAACCACCTTCGTGGAGCAGCGCTGGATAAGCTAAAGTCTAAATTTACAAAAGAAAAGGAAAGATTAGGCCCCGAGGACGGGACAAAAGGCATTGCGCTTCACAACCCGGCTCTCAACCGGAGAAGAAGGTCTAGTAGTTCACTGAGAAAAGATGCTGCATTACATGCTAAGCTTACAGCGGTGCGAGGAAAAGGGTCAGCTTCGAATCCTATTCGATATGGTGATCATGAATCCACCGGTGTTAGCCCTGGAGACTTATTATCTACCATACAACTCTCGCGCTTTGGCCCTCGATACGGAAGCGAGCGGTTGAACGGGAGGAGCGTCTTTTACGATGCAGCTTCTGGCATGAAAACTCCTGCTGGAGGGCCACCAAGTCCACTAGCGACCCCTGGACAACCGCTGTTTAGATTTCCGGCTCAAAATGTTACCTTCCAAAGACAAGATTCTTTGGATCAGGACGCTATTTTCCGTGAATCCATTCTTGATTGCATGATGAAGGCACTGGGGCTCACGGGAAGCACCCAAGACGCCTTGCGCAAAACGCATAATTCCGGGGATGCTTCCCCTCACCTAGTCTCCTACGACTCACGCCGTCAGAAAGCCGTTTTCAATAACGCCTTTGGTTTCATAGACCCATATGACGGCTTCGGCGATGGAGATTCTGAATCGCTCATGTCAATGTCCGTTACATCTGCAGGGGGCACGTCCCCGGTTCATAACCTTAGAACTGAACTACAAGATGAAATCGAGATAGTCTACTTTCCCAAGGGCTCCGTGCTCATAGAACAGGGGGAGCATAATCCAGGCTTATACTATGTCATTGATGGCTTTCTAGACGTCGGTATTCCTGTCAATGAAAAGGGAGAAGATCTTATAGGTTCTTCTCGGAGACCTACAGCCGAGGACATTCTACTACCAATTACAGGTAACGCCTCAAGGGTGTCATCAACGCTTGGTACCGCACATAACCAGAGGAAGAAGGCCTCCCGGCGTTCCTTGTATATGGTTAAGCCTGGCGGTGTTGAAGGATACATTGGTTCTATAACGTCATATCGATCGTTTACGGATGTTACCGCAAAAACGGATGTCTATGTTGGGTTTCTTCCACGAGCGGTGCTGGAGAGAATCGCTGATCGATATCCTTTGGTCATGCTCACGATGGCAAAACGGTTGACGACGGTCCTACCACGACTTATTTTACATATTGACTTCGCTCTCGAATGGGTCCAAGTCAATGCTGGACAAGTTATACACCATCAAGGGGACGAGAGTGACGCAATTTACATCGTCTTGAACGGTCGACTCCGTGCCGTCCTTGATAAAGGAGATGGAAAAGTTAGCGTCCTGGGCGAATACGGCCAGGGCGACAGCGTCGGAGAGTTAGAAGTCATGACTGAATCGACACGGCCCGGTACCTTGCATGCAATCCGTGACACAGAGCTAGCGAAATTCCCTCGGACCTTGTTTAATAGCCTTGCTCAGGAGCATCCTGGCATAACAATCCAAATTTCAAAGTTGATAGCCCAACGGATGCGTCACATAATAGACAACCCACTTGAAAAGGGCAGTGACAAAGGCAGCCCAGACAGCGCCAAGCCGACCACGTCTACTTTGAATTTACGAACCGTGGCCGTTCTGCCTGTTACCGCCGGTATTCCTGTGGTTGAGTTCGGGAACAGACTGTTGAATGCCTTTAATCAGGTCGGCGTGACGAATGGTGTCACTTCCCTCCACCAAGCCGATATTTTAAACCATCTTGGCCGACATGCGTTCAGCAAGATGGGTAAGCTTAAACTCGCGCAGTATCTCGCAGATCTCGAGGAGAGATACGGAATGGTTCTGTATGTTGGAGATACAAGCGTCAATGCACCCTGGACCCAAACATGTATTGCCCAGGCGGATTGCATTCTTCTTGTCGCCCTAGCCGAAGGTTCTCCTGCGATTGGTGAATATGAGCGCTTCCTTCTTGGGATGAAGACGACCGCAAGAAAAGAGCTTGTTCTTTTGCACGCTGAGAGATACTCCCAACCTGGTCTCACCAGACAATGGTTAAAGAATCGGATGTGGATTAACGGAGGTCATCATCATATCCAAATGGCGTTCCGTCTGACAGCGGAACCCGTCCATCCAGAGACTAAACGCCTCGGCGCCGTGCTCAAGCAGAGAGTTCAAGTCATCCAGGCTGAGATTCAAAAGTACACCTCTCGCAGGATTCGCCAGACGCCAGTTTATTCCACATCGACCCCGGTCAAAGGTGATTTCCACCGGCTCGCTCGTCGTCTATGCGGCAAGTCTGTCGGGCTAGTGCTGGGTGGCGGAGGTGCAAGAGGTATTGCCCATATTGGCGTGATAAAGGCACTGGAAGAGGCTGGAATCCCTATCGATATCATTGGAGGCACATCCATTGGATCCTTTATTGGCGCATTATATGCTCGAGACGCGGACGTTGTCCCCGCATACGGCCGCGCGAAGAAGTTTTCAGGACGCATGGCCAGTATGTGGCGTTTCGCTTTGGATCTCACTTACCCCTCGGCTTCATATACCACCGGTCACGAATTTAATCGCGGAATATTTAAGGCGTTTGGGAATAGCCACATTGAAGATTTCTGGCTAGAATTCTATTGTAATACGACTAATATCAGCAAGTCACGACTTGAGTTCCACTCGTCTGGCTACGCGTGGCGGTATGTTCGTGCTTCTATGTCTCTAGCAGGCTTGATACCTCCTCTCTGTGATGAAGGTAACATGCTACTTGACGGTGGATACGTGGACAATCTCACGGTTGCACGCATGAAATCTCTCGGCGCAGATGTCATCTTCGCCGTTGACGTTGGTGCGATCGACGACAACACTCCACAGGGATATGGTGATTCCCTTTCCGGCTTTTGGGCGTTAGTCAACAGGTGGAACCCGTTTTCCTCCCTCCCTAACCCGCCAACACTCTCCGAGATCCAAGCTCGACTCGCATACGTTTCGTCCGTGGATGCTTTAGAACGGGCCAAGTCTACGCCGGGATGCCTTTACATGAGGCCCCCGATCGACGCCTTTGGGACTCTGGATTTTGCAAAATTCGACGAGATTTACCAGGTTGGGTACAAGTTTGGCAAAGAGTTCTTGGACCGGTTGAAGAACGAAGGTGGATTGCCGATTCAGGAGGAGACGGAAGAGAAGAAGAAGCTAAGACGGACGATGGCACCGCGCCGGGCGAGTATTTGATCCACTCTACGAGAAGTGGCATGTCCATTTGTGAACAGCGAAAAGAAATATTTGATGGTGGCTTAAGGGGCTTTTAGGTGTGAATCTCAAGGTGGAAGGGGCGCCTTTTCGGTTAATAAATAGCATCTGGATAGTAGCTGATTGCCGATCCATGTAGATAATAACTAACCTATATGTATTTATATAAAGGCTCGTTTCTAATATACATAGATAAGGTCGCGTTCTTTGTATCGCCGATGCATGTCCCACCGGGACGCAGGAGAAATAGGGTAACCTTGTCCGGAAGTACCACAACATTTACATGCCTGTGGGCGTCGAGGCGAATAGTTCGAAGCTCACCAGAGTTAAATTTAAACACAATGCCTTCATCAAATCTCAAATAAGAAGAAAGCGCAAACTCGTAGGATTCAATTAGGATTATCCTCAATATGAAATCTGATACCGGATTCCTCACATGATGCCCGGAGGGATCCAGTGGCCCCATAGACTCCTTGCTTGATCTTGTAAACTCGCGGCCAAGTAGAGTGGTCCTGGGGAGCCTCCCGATCGCCGAATGTACCTCGAAGTACTATCTCAACAAGATTAGGCGTCCGCTCTTGTCGGTTGGCAACTACCATATGAAGTTGCGACACGAGAATTGGAAGTAAAAGTTCAAAGCAATCTGCAATGCGTAAAGTCTCAAGCGTAAATGGAAGAGTGTCCGTTAGAGGGGTGGCTGGCGGGGTGATAGCATCAATACCCATATCGAGGAGTTGGGTGTACCTGAGATGAACGTTCCTCAGTGCTGTAAACTCGACCAGAGATCCGAAGTACCTATCCTCGGATTCAGTGCACAGGGAATAATGGCGGGAATCGTAATCTAACCAGAGACTTCGGAGGGTTGACTTTGCCCCTTCAAGAGACGTACGAAATGCACATGGGTCAAAGAAGTCTCCAGGAACTCCTCCGTCGGCATGTTCATACTTAAATAACTCAAGGCGTGCACAAGAATAGATTGCATCGAACATGCCTCGTTTGCCATTGCTCGCAGAAAACTCGATCTCTGTGACATTCGAGGTGCGGAGCAAAGGCTTCTCGCTCTGCGGACTATCGACCTCGCCTACAGAATCAGTTTCGCAGAGGTCGTCCTCGACGGGGTAATCTTCCGTGATCATGCCGCCATGAAAGCTGCGGAGAGATGGAAGCTTCAAGAACGGCAAGACGCGGTATAGCCTGAGACCTCCCTCGTCTACATCGTACCACGAGATGGAAATATGGGACAGTGATGAGAAGATAGGTTTCTCTAGGAACGGTTTCTCTCTGCTGATGGCCCGCCCCACTATCCTATCAAAATGTTTTGCGCCATGGCGGACGTTCACTTTTAATTCTTTGAGGTTACAGAGTTGTGTTAGGATCAAGGCGATCCACGGGTCTTCATTGATGCTTCCCAAGAGGTCTTCACTCCACTGATCCTGTTCTCCCTGGTGATGACAGACACCTGATAGTGCTGACCGGGTAAGAGGCAAGAGGGTAGTTGATTCAGCCACGCCTCCATACCCAAAAGGTGAGCCAATGGCTAAGACCCGCACCGCTGATGCCAATCGGGTATCTTGAAGGATGAGCTCAAGAAAAGAGCTCAGTTGAGAGGGGCGCCTGTCGAGCGCACCAAGGTTCATGAGCGACAGAGACCTGTAGAGATAAGGAAGCAGGAGGCAATGAAAGCGGCGGCAGCAAAGAACAAGACTTAAAAGACTCTCATGTTGGCGGATTTGGAGGGCGACGAGGATGAGGATATCGTCTGGGAGAAATGATAGCATTGTCGGCTGAACTGATGGTCAGTTACTGCAGCCAGGAAAGTTGCTGATGTCGTTCCCGATGGGAGGGCGATATCTACAAATCCTCCGACGCCGTTGTGGCAGACAGCTTTGAACACAGAGCTATGAGCCAAGTTCATCCCGCGGCTATTTTCGTTGCCCTATCGAGTGTCCTCTCATGAAGGATGCGGTGATCAGGCACCCACCACATGCAGTGTTTTGGCACTCCGAGTTGGACAGGCCAGAAAAAAAAAAAATAAAAATAAAAAAGGGAAATAATAACACAAAAGACATCATCCGGAGAAAGGATGTCTGGACTTAAAAGTATTAAAAAAAAAAAAGAACTGCGGCTTGCCCGGATCGAACGGGCGACCTTTAGATTGCAGACAGAAGCAGAATCTTCAGTCTAACGCTCTCCCAACTGAGCTAAAGCCGCTGGTTGCTGAGATAACCACTTCATTATGATTAACTTTTCCTTCATCAAGAAGACATAACACTTTAAGGGGTGTCAAATTCCCATTCTTTGCAGCAATCGCGTGACGGAATTAATGATAAGTAACTAGCCAAGCGCATACAGTTTATAAAGTTACAGTGGTATAGGTGATGGCAGGAGTTCCCAAAACAGGAGTCTAACTCCGTGCCAGGCTTACAGTATCAGCAGAGGAGGGAGGAGAGGAGAATAAGCTCATCTGGGCCTCACCAATTGCCATTGCGGCCAAGAGGCCCGTGGGGGCACGCCGGCCTGGATGTCTTAGACTTGCAGGGCATGTTAGACGCCTTGTTCATTTTACTACCTCCTCTCCCTCCACCCCTCCCCTACTTCGCGCCCCGGTCTTCCACGAAGTCATCGCTCGCCTCAAACTTGTCTCCCGCCTCCAATCCGTCTTCACTGCTTGGCGCCGCATGGGCAGCAGTCACATCCCTGCCTTCCATCGCGGGATTATCTCCTCCATCCACCGCGCTACTAATACTTCCTGGACGTGGCACCGGCTCCCACGTCCTTTCAGGAGAACTTGGCGGCTCTGTGGTGCCGGGGCTTTGCCCAGGATGATGAGGGAGGCTTTGGCTGCGTGTTCGAGAGTGAGTGGATAGGAGCGCATCCGCTGGAAGAGCCCCTGTGGCGATACCCTTGGCCTGACCGTCTTGGTTGTTCCACACGCCACAGCTGCCACATCTCCACGCACCCAGTTCTTCCAGCGTCCGAACACCGGGGGCCGCTTGTCCATTAACGAGGCGGCATTGCTGGCATATGAGAACCAGGCGGTTCTTCGGAAGAGTTTCATCCTCGCCCAGCAAAACATCCAGTACCCGATCATACCATCGCGGCGGGCGGGATTCCGTATAGACGGACGCGGAGAATGCGCTAGGGTGGAATTCCGGCTCATCCGCCTGGGCTGGGACTTGGGCTCGGGGGCGCGGTGAAAATCCAGCGGAGGTATGAGGTCGGTCATGTTGTGCCTGTGGAGGGGGAGAGATGGAGCCCGATTCAATTTGCCGGATGTTTGCTGTGGGTGGTGGAGCAAGCCCTGTTCTCCTCTCAGGAAGAGGAAGAGGAGTTCTATCCTTCGGGGTTCGACGTTTTTGCGAACCTCGTCCTTCGTCACTGCCAGCATCGTTGCCGGAGCGCTTTAGTTTGGCCGAGTCTCCACCATATTTTTCCAGGAGTAACTGCGTCGAATTGTACTTTGTCGCCTCCTTGAGCTTTTCAATAGTTTGGTCACGCTGCTTTTGGAGGTCGTCGAGGACATTCTGTGTATGCGAGATGCGATAGTTATAGAATTTTTCTGCGGCGAGTCGGACGACGTAAATACTGAACAGGTCAGCGCAAGGCCGTTGGCAGAAGAAGATCCTCAACAAACTGGAAAAAAAAAAAAAAAAAAAAGAAAAGAAAGAAAGAAAGAAAAAGAAAAAGAACAAGAACAAGAAACGTACACAACTGGCCCACCGCATATGGCTGTATATTCGATAGGACCCCATCGTCCCTGTCCCAGCACGAGGACGAGAATCAGCGAGTAGAGAATGTAGACAAAGCTGGTGTATAGTGTCCAAAGAGCTCTGAAACGGCGGGAGCGGTGCCGCAATTTGTCTAGGTGGATGTTTGTGTCTGCCAATCGCTTTGACAGATGGGATAGAGCTTTCTCGAAGGATGCCGGGGAGTTATCAGAGCCCTATTACGGTCAAGATTTCGCGTCGTCGTTCGAGATCCCCTGGGCGCCGGAATTGGGGGGGTACTCACCCTCCATGGCCAAAAGGACACCATGACTAGTTCAGTTTCCACACAACAACATTGTTTCAGCTGGGAAATTCAGTGAGCATGAAAATGGCCTTTTTTGCGAGTGTTCCACTAAGCTTGTGTGTATGGAAGTAAGTCAAGTATGCTCTCTCTCTCGACCGTAGAGTGTTATTTTGTGTCCAAAACGAGCCAGCAAGTCGGAAGCTTCCGATGATGGATTTGCCCAGCCACCCCACAGAGGCAGCTCTCTCTTACGTAATGTCACGTGGAGACTAGTTATACTAAATTAGTGTTCAGAATGGAGCCGACACCAGCCACCAACTAACCAGATATAGTTAGACCTGACAAATATAGCAAACATTTCAATCCAGCCAATCAGACGCACAAATGTAAAAGTGCGCTGAGCACATTACCTAATCCACTGTATTTCCCGCGGATCCAGATTTAGTGGACAGTATGCGCGCTGCGGACGGGCTCTTCAAACCCAAACGATGTCATCAAAACAGTAAAGCTATCGCGAGAGAAGCATAGAGCACACAGAGACCACCAGTTTGGACCGGAATACACCGACTGCCAGACTGCAATTGAGAAATCACACTCTTTCTAGTTTCGATTCTCTCCATTTCTTTTGTTCCGTTGCTTGTCTGATACTCATATTTGGAGCGCTCGCAGAAGCGAGCAGCAGCAATGCTCTCCGTAAGTACCTCTATCCAGCCTTCTCCCGTGTCGATGTTCCACCCCCACCTAACTTCACTCTCCATAGCGTATCCGAGGTGCCATTGATGCCCGGATTGCAGAAGAACAAGCCCGCCAGAGAGGTGCCCAGGAGACCCTCTCCCGCTCAAACTCCGCTCGTCGCGCGAATCCCTCTCCTGCCAGACGTCCGAGCACAAGGGTCAAACGGGGCAACAGCTTCCTTGCCAAAAATCCAGATCCGTCGGAGTTCGATGCGGAATTTGTCGTCGGTGACGATGATTCATCGACAAGGACCAGCACCCCTCGCCCGGAGTCTGCGAACAACATGGCCGATGGCGGCGGCGAGCTGGACGAGAAAGCCACTCTTAACGAGTCGGGGTCCGCCGCACCTACCTCTCTACTAGGGAAATCCTCGGGTCAGACACCAGCGGATTTACCAACCGATGTCAGAGTGAAGCTACGGAGGCTGGATAAGTTAGAATCCAAATACCAAGGTGAATACTTAACACTCTCACCACCCTGTCTACGCAATCACTCATTAAATCCCTTTCGCCAAAGAGCTCTTAAAGGCCTATCGAATTGCTCACGCGCGCGTCCTGTCTATCGAACCATTCGAGGCTGCCCTGCGAGAGAATACACCACTTACTTCAATAAGCGAGCCCCGTGCGTTAACCGAATATCTCAACCAGCTCACTCTAAAAGGAGACATGGTGGTGGACGAATTAAAGAGAGTAACCGCGGAAAGAGACGACTTTAAAAAGAAACTTGAATCTGCCGAGAAATCCACACGTGAAGTATGGGATGAGGTCGCTAATTTGAAACGTTCTCAGCCCGGTGATGAAAAGAAGACGGCTCCAGAGGGAGAAGATGTGAATGGAAACGACCTTCCCAGTATCCAGACCACTTCGTCCGCTGGAGATGACTCCCTGGATAATTCCCAAAAATCCCCTACAACATCGATAACCTCTCGTGCCGCTTCCATTCGTGGGCTGTTTTCTCCAAGAGCCAAGCCCGTAATGTCTCCGCCTCCTCCACCGGAAGAAAACGAAGAATTCTTCTCCTTCGATAACGAAATCCCGAGATTGGAATCAGAAGTACACGAAAAGGAACAGGAGATCGAGTCTCTTAAGGCTCAGGTTAAGACCTTAACTGGGGATCTGTCTGTGGCTCGGGAGTCTACCGAAGGCATGGCTCATAGTTTGGAAGCTGCAACACGCGATGTCTCGGAGCTACGTGATAAGAACGATCGCCTCGAGTCCCGGTTTAAAGATGAGCGCCATGACTTGCGAGAGCAAATTATATCTCTAGAATCAAAGTTGAGAACGACTGAATCTGAATTGAGGAGATCGTCCACCTCCATGGACGATGTCAACTCCCAGCTGAAGAAAACAAGAGAGGAGCTCCGACAGATCAAGGATACGGCTGAGTCTCAGTCGGCAGAAGGGGATGGTCAGAAATCTGCCGACAAGAAACGGCTTGAGGTTTTGCAGGGTGTTGTGACGAATTTGAAGTCGCAATTAAAAGATGCCGAATCCACCATCAAATCTCTCCAGACCGATCTCTCTGCAAGCAAGGCCGACGCAACGCGAGCACAGAGAATTGTTGATTTCATAGACAGCGGCTTAAAGGAAAATGAGAAGTGGAAAGATGCAAAAGAACTCATTTCGGGCGGTCAGTCAGCTAATTTTGAAGATATTCGGCAAGATTTGATTGCACCGGCCTCCCAGCTTGCTCCCGTCAGCACCTCAACGCCCTCCGCTCCCGGTGGCAAGAAAAAGAATAAAAAGAAGAAGAAAGGTGGAAGATCAGAACCTGAGGGTGGCACGAAAGAAGCTGCTACTAAACAGGTTCATGAACCAACCCCCCCGAATATTTCATCCGCAGATGCGATTCGGGAGCTGGAGGATAAAGTGACCAAGCTCGGTTCCGAGCTGGCGGAGAAGGATGCGGCGATAGATCGACTTCATGGCAAGCTAAAAGGAGAAGACAACCTTCGTGAAGAAATTGAATCTCTTCGAGATGACCTCATGAACATCGGCCAGGATCACGTGGAAGCAAAGGATAAAGTCAAGGAGTTGCTGGCACAAAAGGCTGCGCTTGAGAAGACAATTCAAGATCTCGAGAGCGAAATAGTGACCTTAAAAACTAGCTCTGCTTCAGCTTCATCTGATGCCGAGAAAGTCCACAAAGATCTAATGACCGAGTTCGAGGATTTGAAGGTCAAAGCCGTAACTTTAGAAACCGACCTCTCGGCTGCGCAGCAATTAGCCGCATCTCGGTTTAAAGACCTGGCCGACTTGCGTCAGGCATTGCAGAAGATCCAACCCGAGTTACGAACCCTCCGCCAAGAATCCGCGGATCTAAAGACTACAAAGGAGGAGTTGAAGAACAAGACGGCAGAGCTTGGGCGCGTTGAGAGAAAGCAAGAAGATCTACGCGTCGAGATCAAGGATCTCAAATCGGCCATTGGCGATAAGGATGCCGAAGTCAGGACACTCAATCAGAAGATCGCCCAGGAGACCAATAGCCGGCTGAAGGCTGAGCAAGCGTTGGAGGTTGCGCAGTCGGACCTTCGATACTCAGAAAGCCAAAAACAGGAAGCAGTTGAGAAGCACGAACAGACGTCAAAGGACCTTAACAAGACACAAGAACAACTCCAATCCGCCAAATCCAAAGTGCGAGAATTAGAAGAGCAAGTGTCCAAGCTCAACCGAGAGATCGAGAGTTTACACGATGAGATACAGCTCAAAACGGCGCAACACGCAAGCGCCCAGAGCCTGATGAACAGTATGCGCGATCAAACTTCGGAGATGGCAATGCAAATTAAAGAGGTACGTGAGAGATGTGAGAGTTTAGAGGAAGAGCTTTCAGACGCCCAGCGTCTTTTATCGGAGCGGACAAGGGAAGGCGAAACCATGCGACGACTGCTCTCGGAGGTCGAACTGCGAACAGAACACAAGGTCAGGGACTTTAAGGAGCGACTGGAGACCGCCATCGAAGAACGAGACCGGGCCGAGGATGAAGCTAACATTATTGGCCGCAGACGCGCAAGGGAAATGGAGGAGCTCAAATCAAAAGCACGAGAAGCAGAACGGGCTTTACGAAGAGCGGAGGAGGACAAGGAGGAACTTGAACATGCCCAGAAAGAGTGGAAACGACGACGAGAACAGTTTGAAGCGGAGATGGAGCGATCAAGACAGGAACTCACGGATGTGAAGGAGGCTATGGCCCAATTACGTGACGCACTGGATGAGAGTGAGAAACAGGCGAGGGAACTGGAGAAGGAGAGATCCGAACTGCGCCGGTCGGTCGAAGAAACCAACCAGCGACTCGAGAAGCTAAGGAAGACAAACAAATCCCTATCCGAGGACCTGAAAGCGATCCAAGCCGGAAAGGGACGCGTTGAATCCGGCAATCGTTCGCCTCGATCGTCCATTGATTCAGGCAGACGCCGCGGAGTGATGTCTCCGCCGCCGCGGGCACGAAACGAATCTCTCGCCCGCAGCGAGGCGACGACCGGGCCAGGAGCCGGAAATATCGATCACGTCTACCTCAAGAATGTACTGCTGCAGTTCCTGGAGCAAAAGGATAAAAACTATCAAAAACAGCTGATTCCCGTGCTAGGGATGCTGCTGCATTTTGATGCGTAAGTGACACTTTGAGCAACTGGACCTTGGATGAAGCTAATTTCTCGTATGCAGCAACGATGAGCAGAGATGGATGTCTGCTATATCCTCGAAATGATTTGACCAGAGATTTCTCCTTTGCTTTTCCGTTTCGTTTCGTTTCGTTTCTTTCTTTCCTATTAAGCCATCCTGTACATTATTTCTCATCCCACGTCTGTGCCGTATTGGCATCGATGGTAGAATACTATTCATGACAACAAATTTATGACCCGTGGAAGGTTGATCCACTGGAAGATAGTGTTCTCCAGTCATATTTTCCCGATTGTCCCGGCCATGTTAAAGGGCGCGACCGGTTTTACGGATCTCTTTTTTTCTTTTTTTTTTTTTTTTTTTTTTTTTTTTTTTTTTTTTTTTTTTTTTTTTCAAATCAGCTTCATCATGGTGGAAATAAATATAAAAAAGGAGCTCTGCCCCGATTGCTGAGTATGGTAGCGTTTCCGCCCTGGATCCGAGGGCTTTTGTATTCTGACTACCATACTTTCTTTCCGGGTTGGAACTGAAGGTTCAACTATAAAAGGCTGTAGCTTTCTAACACTTCTTTCTCCGTGTGTTTACTTCCTGGATATCCTTTCTCCATGGCCAACCAGCAGCCCACCATCCGGTTTGCAACCGAAGACGGTAGGGATAAATTTGGGACGCGATTTGGCGTTGAATTAGCTCACTAAGCCAGTCGCGCAGATATCCCGACGATTCTCAGATTTATCGAGGACCTGGCGGCGTACGAAAAAGCGTCGCACGAAGTTGAAGCGACAGTGTCTTCCCTCCGCGAAACGCTCTCGTTCCCGGACTCCCCGCCCAAACGCGGCAATGCGTACACGTTCCTGATCGAGCCGCCCGCGGAGGCCGGCGGACCGGGGCCTAAGCCGGTGGGGATGGCGCTCTTCTTCTACAACTACTCGACGTGGCGGTCTGCGCCGGGGGTGTACCTGGAGGATCTCTATGTGATGCCCGAGTACCGCGGGAAGGGATACGGGTTCAAGCTGCTGCGACGGCTGGCGGAGGAGGTTGTCAGGGTTGGAGGGAAGAGACTAGAGTGGAGCGTGCTGGCGTGGAATGAGCCGAGCATCCAGTTCTACAAGGCGATCGGGGCGACGGCGATGGACGAGTGGCTGAAGATGATCGTGGACGGGGATGCGCTGAGGAAGCTGGCGGGAATTGTTGAGTAGGTCAACCAGGCACCCCGAATAATAATCGAGAGAGCCTGGTTGGAGGATCGCCAGGCTGGTCAACTAGCTGAAGCTTCCCATATGTTGGCATACGGGAGCCCAGCCGAGCTATGAGGTTTGTGAGAATACAAAAAGGCATAGTTAAGGGCTCTTCTGAGGAGGCAGAAGCCTCCTTATATACGTGGGTTCCATCTCAATCGTTGAATGGAGTAGTTACACCAGTCATGATTCCGTCAGCTTACTCCATACAAGTGATACGGAGTAGTCCTTATTATGAGAAGATTGGATCAAAGTGTTCAACAGGGAGCAATCAATAATAATTCTCTCTGTACGGAGTAAGCTCCATCCATCGGTAATCTTCAGCAATCCAGTAAACCGCTGGAGTGGCGGCTCGAGCTTGTGAGTTGCCAACAACTCTCTTGATCGCGGCAGACGATGTTCATCTTAAATTATTAGATTTACCGGCCAATACAGAACTGAACGCTGAATGTATACGGAGTACGGAACAGCTGGCTAATCTCCTGATAGAGCATAATGTACTGCATATACGGGCCTGAACGGATCGCCGCATCGGGCAGGACCGTGCACGGGCCATGGTGACGTCAGCTCAAGCCACAGCTCAGCCAGCCGCCAGCTGGTTGGCCGGCGCGGGTTTGTGAGCTGTTTTTCCCCTTTGCTCGCTTGCGGTGGAATTTATTGACCTCTCACGAACAATGTCAAGTTGATATTATATGTTAGGGAGCTCTTCCACCGAACACGGAGTGCCTTCAGCTTTACCCTTCTTTGGAGGAGCCACCACTGGACAGCCTATCCCTCTTCCAATGGAGCCGGAGCTCGAGGCCAGCCGTCGATCCAAGCTGGATCAGATCTTCCACGTCGAATATGTGATCCTGTACCGCTTCCAGGATGGAGGTACGTCGTCATCATGATTGTCTACACTCACAAAACTGTGTTGACATGTGTTGACCTTTTTCTTTTTTCCCCCCCCTCCCTCCTCCAGACCAAGCAGAGGCGATACACCAGTTTAAGCGGTTGGTAAAGGCCCTTGATTACATCGGGCTGGAGACCGCCGTGAGGCCCGCCGGCGAGGGCACGCTCTTTGTATTTGTCAAGGCGAGGGAGGATAGTCTCAACAAGGCCATCCACAGAGGAAGGTATGTTTGCCTAAGACAGGCCAAAGCCCAATTGCAAACGAAGCCCATATAAACAAATCCCCCCCCCTTCTCTCTCTTTTTCTCCTCTCTTGCCGGTGTGTGTTCTGACCGCGCATGCAGAGTTCGCGATTGGCTCTACGGTGTTCGCCAGATCCAGCCCGGCTCAGACGAAGAAGGCACCAAACAAGAGCCCACCGAGGCCGAGCGGCTACGCATCATCTACCACATGATCACCTGGCCACGCACCGATGGCGGTGTGGGCATAACTCCTAAATACGGCGATTGGAAGCATGTCGAGGCCGTGTTCCCTCTACACGATAAAGATGTCAACAAGGAGTGGATAATGGACTGGAGCCGCAAGACTCTCCTCAGCCGCCACGACCTCGACCAGATCCGCGCCAGGCTCGGAGAGAGGGTTGCCTTCTACTTTACCTTTCTGCAGGCGTACTTCACCTTCCTGATCTTCCCCGCCGCCTTTGGGGTCGCCTGCTGGGCCTTGCTGGGCCAATTCTCCGTGGTTTATGCCGTCGTCAACTCGCTGGCTTGCCTGGTGTTTGTCGAGTTCTGGAAGAGACAGGAGGTGGATCTTAAGCTGCGATGGCAGGTGAAAGGCGTCTCGGCCATCAAGGCGAAGCGACGCCAGTTTAAGCACGACAAGGAGGTTATTGATTCGGTCACCGGTGAAAAGATACTGGTATTTTCGACCAAGACTCGACTTCTGAGGCAGCTCTTGCAGGTCCCGTTTGCTCTTGCGGCCGTGCTGGCATTGGGCACGCTGATCGCGTTTTGCTTTGGCATCGAGATCTTTATCTCCGAGATCTACTCTGGGCCGCTCAAGGCGTACCTGGTAAGATGTTTTCCCCCTGCACGACTGTTTAATGGCTACGTCTTACCTTGTGCGATAAAAAAAAACAGGCGTTTATTCCTACGGTGATCCTTTCGCTGATGGTTCCAACCATCAGTGGAATTCTCACCAAGATCGCCACCGAGCTCACCGACTACGAGAATTACGAGACGCAAGACAGCTACGACGTTGCGTTGACCCAGAAGATCTTCGTTCTCAACTTCATCACCTCGTACTTGCCGGTTTTCCTGACGGCGTTTGTCTACGTTCCGTTCGCCCAGAAGATCGTTCCGTACCTTGATGTGTTCCACGTCGCCGCTCCTCAACTCGTATCCAAAGAGGGTCGAGCAAGAGTGGCGGAGTTCCAGATTGACAGAAGCCGGCTTCGGCGCCAGGTGATATACTTCACCGTCACCGCTCAGATAGTCAACTTTGGGCTCGAGGCCGTGATGCCTCACGTCAAGCGTAGAGTGCTGAATAAGTACAACGAGATGCAAGCAGAGAAGAAAGAGAACCATTCGAAGCAGGAGAGCGGTCCGATCCAGGACGCTCCGGCGGAGGCAGACTTCCTCGCTCGGGTCCGAAAGGAATCAGAGCTCAGCGAGTACGATGTCACGACGGATCTTCGCGAGATGTGTGTGCAGTTTGGGTACCTGAGCCTCTTCTCGCCGGTGTGGCCGCTGGTCCCTCTATCTTTCCTGATCAACAACTGGATCGAGTTGCGGTCGGACTTTGTCAAGATCTGCATCGAGTGCAGACGGCCAGCTCCGGTGCGGTCGGACACCATCGGGCCGTGGCTCGACTCGTTGGGGTTCCTCGCGTGGCTGGGGAGCATAACCAGTGCAGCGCTGGTGTACATGTTCTCGGACGGGGAGACGGGGCCGGACGGCGGCCCGTCGCAGATCAAGGGGTGGGCGTTACTGCTGACGATATTCTTCTCGGAGCATCTGTACCTGCTTGCGCGACTGGGGGTGCAGATTGCGTTCTCCAAGATCGACACGCCGGAGACGCGACACGAGAGGGGCCAGCGGTACAGGGTCCGAAAGGCGTACCTGGACACGATCCTACCGGAGCAGGACGGGGCGGCGGAAGTGGCGGAAGGACGGGAAGACAATGCAGAGTCAGCAGTCGGGGGGGAGGAAGGAGCGCAGAGGATAACGCGGGAGTCCCTGGAGGAAGACGCCAGGCGGTTCAGCCAGCATTCCGCCAGCGCGGCGGACATGTTCTGGGCGCGGCAGCGGGGGTGGAAGGAGTGTGCGCAGGTTGGGGTTAGTCTCATCCAGGCGGGCTACACCGCATCGCTAAAGGAAAAGAAGAGCCAGTGATGTGAAAGCGAGGGAGTTTAAAATGCATCTTTTGGGAGTGTATAGTTTGTGTCCGTAGCCACACATTTCGGTTTAAATCTTGCTTTCCAGCCAATTTACATAAAAATCTCTCACCCTCTATACATATACATATATACACATATATATATATATATGGATTGCTCGGAGTTGGACGGAACGAACAGAGAGAACCTGGTCTGGTATATGTTTACATCGACCATAGGCTACGGAGTAGTTGGGGCTGGTTAAACTAGTTGGTTTTAGCCACACACACACACAGAGTTAAACCTAATCAGGAATTCCGGTTACATTTCGCACCCGATCAAGCGTGGCGTAAGTATAATTATGTAATCGACTCACAGAAGAGGGACATGCCTTCCCGAAGGAGACTAGCGGGGGGGCGCGGGAGGTGGCTGGTCAGGTGATGGCCCCCAGCCCTAGCGATTAGTAATGCGGGAATTCGATTATTAAACGACGCGATCGTCCGCCGCCAGCGAAAAAAGAGAGAGAGAGTCACTTGTGTCAGCCCTTACTCATCGCCAACCTCATCAGTCAGCACTTGACGACTAAGCAGCAGGCAAAGCAAACAGCAGAAAGCAGCCAGTCAGCCAGTCAGGTCAGCCAGCGAGTGGCAGGAAGTAAAAAAAAAGAGGAAGAAGAGGACGAGGAGACGCCAGGACCCGGACCTCGTTCGCTCTCGAACCATGCAGTCGCAACCTCAGCAGCCGCTAGCTCCCGCTCCCCATCCCGGCCAGCAGCACCAGCAGCAGCAGCCGCAACAACAGCAGCAACAATCACAACCACCACAACAACAACAACCACATCAACAACATCAGCCCCAGCAGCCATCTCAACAGCAATTGCATCAGCACCATCAGCAACAACCACAGCAGCCACCGCCGCAACAGGATCCATCCAAGAACAACCCCAATCCAAACACCGCCCACTCCGTCCAGGTGAGAATCCTGTTTTCCTCTATCTCTATATATCTCTCCTCTCTATATCTCTATCTCTCTATATTTCTATCTCTCTATATTTCTCTTCTCTATATTTCTCTCTTTTCCCCCCCTTCTATATCCCCATTGCTACCACAACTACCGCTGTTCCTGTTTGAGACGAAAACAAACTGCTTGACGCTGCAAACTTTTGTTTGAACATCTCCAGCCGCAGTTGGCCCTTTTGCCGCACTCTCTCCCATCACTCACATCCCCGAACCATTCACCTCTTTGTTCTTTTCCCTTTTCTCTTTTCTCTCCTTTTTCTTTTTCTTTTTTCTTTTTCTTTTTTTTTTTTTTTCCCCTATCTCCCTCTCCCTCTTCCCGCATCTACATTGCCATGTCTCTCCCTCTCCGTCTCCTTGCCTGACCCTTCCCATCACCGTGACTTGATTCGAAGGAATCGTGCCCTCTGTGTGGCTATACCGATGGCTAACCACCGCCCTATCGCCCCTTGGCGTGGCTTCGGAACCGTGCAGGACCATGCAGACCAAGGTGAGCCCTCGCTCCAGTCGCCGCTTTTCTTTTTTCCCTCCCCCCTCGAATTTGCTTTCTCCGGTCGCTCTTTTTTCGGTGCCTTCCGTGGATGCTGACTCTCGCCGCTCTCGGTGTTTTGCAGTTCTCCAGGACCAACTCCTCGCTGCTTCTCTCCAGGCAGGCCATGCTGCCGCTCCGCCGCCTCCGCGTCCCCAGCCCGGGATGACTCACGTCCAGCCGATAAGAGATCACTCGAACATTGACCCCGCGATCTCTGGCGCTCCGCCGACCACCGGAATGATCCCCGCTCCCCCGCCGCCGCCGCCTCAACCACAGCAACCTCAGGTTCAGCCACAGGATCAAGTCATGCAGGAGGCGCAGCCCACCGAACCTCGCAAGACGTACGGCAAGCGTGAGCTGTCGACCTCGAAGCGTGCCGCTCAGAATCGCGCCGCTCAGGTATGCGTTTCCCGTGGATCGACGAGCTTGAGAAGGTGAAAATGCAAAACAAAAATAAAAGTAAAGAAAGACTAACAGCTGCTGGGGCTCTATAGCGCGCCTTCCGTCAACGCAAAGAAGGGTATATCCGCAAGCTGGAGGAGCAGGTCAACGAGTACAAGATCATGTCCGAGAATTACAAAGCTCTTCAGGCCGAGAACTACCAGCTGCGTGAATATATCATCGGTCTCCAGTCCCGCTTGATCGATTCCCAGAACGACGTCCCCGAGTTGCCACCCAATATCGACCTCACTCAGCCCCGCCCCGATGCCACCGCCGCCGTTGAGGCCGCTGCGAATGCGGTCGCCGGCGCTTCCGGACAACCCGAGCAGATGAATGCCTTGAACCGCATCGCTGTTGCGGGCCTGGGAATGCGCAAACATCAGCACGAGGAGGCCGCCTTCCTGGGCAATAACAGCTTCCCCGCCAAGCGTGTCCGTGCCGATATGGTGGTGGACGAGCAGGGTGCTGTTCCCACCGACCCTACACAGCCTGCTAAAATTGAGGGCGCCCAACCACCGACCATTGGTTCCTGATGATATCAAAATCCGATATGCACCCGAATAAGCTCACTCCAAACAACAAAATCATCATTCAGTTAAATCGGTGGCCAAAGTTGTGGTTTTTCCCAAATCGCTTTTCTGTCATTTACGTCTTTTACTGCGTGTATTTGCTCGGCGCATCGTGGACTAGGTCGGTGGGCGTCTCTTTGCTCTTTCAACTTCTTTTTTTTGTTTCAAATCTTAGTTAAGATGAGGGTACGAGAGCAACATACCACGGTTCATTACATGGAGGCATACCGTCGATGGCGGTTCGAACGAGCGATATGGCTAATTTGTGGAATCGGGGATGTTCATCTGTTCTCTGGCAATGGCGTTTGACATTTCTCTTTTTTACCCATCGTGTTTCCCATACGCTTCCTGTACCATGTAGCAATCTGCATCGTTATTTTTATCGAGGAAATACGTACGATACGTTAATTTTGCCTGTTTACTCCGTACTGCGTCACAAGATCCCAACACCTGGCAACAGCTTTCACCACCGAGTGGATAATGTAGGACGCTTGGCACATCAGAGGCGGAATCTCCTGCAAGATGAGGACCTAGGGAATATCTTCCTCATCTTGAATAATATTATAATACACATCCGTTCGTTTTGTGTTATCTAATTGACATGAAAATCCCAAAAAAAAAAAAAAAAGAAAAAAAAAAAAGGAAAGAAAAGAAAAGAAAAGAAAACGCAGGGTGGCATAAAGACAACAGCCCGAGCAAATTCCTTGAATGTCCACCAATACCCGAGGGTTAACAACGAAAACACCTGAAGAGATAGTCACATACTCCGCGTATAGCAGTAAATCAATATAAAAAAGGTTCAGGCTGCATTCCCCAGCATGTGCTCCTTGATATACTCGCTTCCCTTCTCCAAGTACTCCTGCCTTGAAATCGAACACGTCGCTAGATCCGGACCCGCCGCCCACTGCGCTGCTCCCTTCCACGCATCAAGCACCGGATCATTCGCCCTGCGCACCCGCAAGTCTGAACCTTCGGGAAGAACGGCACGGAATTCTCGCGCGAATCGCTCGTCGAAACCCTGGAAGAGAGAGTTTCCGCCCGTGATAAACACGTCGCGCAGGAGGCGGGCCTGGTCTTCGCGAGAGGAGAAGCGCTGCAGGACGATGTCCGCTGCCATCTCGACAATGCCGGATTGATCGACGCCGGCGATGGAGGGCTGGAAAACGACTTCTGGAACGCGGATGCGCTCCACGTTGAGGTGTAGCTGGTGGGCCTCACGCTGGCTCTCCGGGTCAAATGGCCATGGGCCGCGGAGGAACATGTGGATGAGGGATTTCGTCCAGTCAGACTGGGCTTCGAGCGTGTGGTTTTCTGTGAACTCGGGGTCGTACTTGAGGAGATCGGACTCGATGGATTTGAGCTGTTGATTGGGATCTTCTTCGTCTTCGTCATCGCTGCCTTCACCTGTGGCGACTGTACGGTACACTCCCCAGTCCTCGTCGTTGGCGCCGAATGTATCATCGTCTCCACCACGGCGGCGTTTCTTAGGCCCGTCCGCGGCGAGATTGGCGAGTGTTTTCATGCGGATTTGGCTGGCGAGAGATTTGCGGTTGCCGAGATCAGCCTTCATGCGTTCGCGTTCTTTGATCCTTTGTATTATCGCCTATATGTCATGTCAGTTGCTGAGCGCGAGGGCTAGGAAAAGTGAGTATACTCACGTCTCTTGCCTGTCTCCGCTCTTCAACCCAAACTTCAAAATTATTTTCACGTTTCTCAGTATCCAACCTTTCTTCCTCCGCTATTCTCGCTTTTTCTCTTTCTTTCTCCTCCTTGGCCCGCTGTCTCGCTTCAACGTTAGATTTCATTAGGCGTTGATGTTTCTTCTCCTTGAGGCCAGCCTCGTCGAGCTCTTCGTCGGGAACATCCAATAAGGCAAACGACATCTCCTCAGAGTTTTCTTCCGTTTCTTCCTGTCCAAGATCTTTATTCCGCGATCGTTTTATGGATTTTTCAAGCTCCCTTATAGTTTTTTCTAGCTGCGCTTCATCCTTCATATCTTCCGCATCAAGGATCCGCCTGATCTCCCTTTTACTCTCTGAAGCCAAGTTCTTCTGTAGATCCTTGTAGTATTCTAATTCTTGTTCCTTCTTCATCAACTTTTCAAGTCGCATTTTTGCCGCCTGTTCTTGCAGCCGCCTTCCGCTCTCCTTTTTACGTTCCGCTATCCGAGCGAGCTCCTCTTCAGACTTCTCTGGAACGATGTGCTCTGTGAAGGGATATTGGATGACATGGTCCCGATCCTCTAAACCGGCCCAGTCAAGGTAGCCGCTCAGTTCTCGATCATAGTCTTGCGACACATAGCAGTGCTGATGCAGGAGTTCTTCCATTTGGGTCTCCGTTATTCGCGCGGGAAAGGTAGGATACTTTAACTTGAGGAGTTTCATAAGATAGTCACAGGATTGGTAGCCACCCCAGTTTAGCCTGGTGCAATTCGATAAAATGGCCTTGGAGTTAAGGACCGGGATGACATGGGTAGAAGAATGGGACGAAGAGATGACAAGGCCATTTGTACCGCGATTGTACTTGTATGCAAATAGAGAATCGATTCCATAGGCGACAGACGGAGCTGAATAGCATTCAAAGGCGATCTCGTTCATCACTACGTTCCATTCCATTAGCATAGCCCCAATTCCTAGAAATGCCAGCGATAGAGTGCAAATCATACTTCGTCGTGAATATCCCAGATTGGCGATCGGCTCCGTAAAGACAAGCGGTCGATCGACGCCGCCGTTTTCTCCATCCACACCAAGCTTCAAGAAAATATAATCCAGCAAGCCCTCCATGACATCCCAATTACCGACGATGCTTGTTCCAGGATCGAACGCATTGCGCACTTGGCCTCTGGTTGTCGCATCGACATAGGCATCATATCCGACGAACTGGCATGTGCGATTGGCTTTGCGGTCTCTATAGCGGGCTATGATAGGGGGGATGATGAAACGAGGGGCCTTGTCGAAGGACCAACCGGCTTTAACAAGATGCGATCCTAGCCAAAAAAAGTCAGCAGAAAGTGAGGATGACTGCGGGTTCGTTTGCACATACCATTGTCGATAACTATTGCGCTGGTGCTTGGGGAAGCTCGACTCCGCTCATAGCCATCTGGTTGAGGGGGCAGGATGCCCTTGAACGGGGGCTCGCGGACGGGGAAGACCTTCGGAGGCGGCTTAGGTTCTCGTTTCTCTGCTATGTTCAGGGTGATTCGGGATGAAGGTATGGTTTGGGTGGAAGAGATCGTCATGGTGAGGATGATGCTGATGTGTGTGCCTTTGATGAGATTAGCACATTCTGGGCAAGGAGGGGATATTTATGAAGCTGGGGGACTGAGAAGCGTTGGCGGAGGTTGAGGCAGCTTCAGGCGATTGTTAACTCTTGTCGCGACTCAAAAAGAAGCTAAAAATTGATAAGATTTGATAAGAACATGCGCCTCCAGCAACCGAGACAAACATCAGATCAAAGTGGCAGAACTACTCCGTACTTGATGCCACAATTACAATCTTACAAGTTTCACGAATAGAGAATGGGTATCATTAGTCATTATTCTAGTTGCTTGTTTATGATTCAGCTTTTGCGCCTTTTTCATGACGGATCCTTCAAGCTCTCAGTAGCTACATAGTTATTACACCTGTTAGTAGCCGATGAGAAGTTACTCTGCAGGCAGGGAGAGTTACTGACCTTCAAGGTGGAAGAGAACATTGGATTGGTAATTCTTGAACATCTGGGCCACCAACTCCACATTCATGTTCTGCACATTGACCTCCTAGTCCACAGATCCAATCCTGATTAGCACAGCTTCAAGCCCATAGGAAGAGTGTGGCGTTGCCAACCTGGAGACTTTTGTTCAACACCATGATGGCTTCATTGAGCTTCTCCTGCATTAAAGGGCGCCTATCAGTAATGGACAGCATTGGCCCAGTAGAAGGAAAACTTACAACATTGGTGACGATGCGTGACAGAAGAAGATTCTGTTGATGCTCGTGAGGGCTCTCCTGGAAGTAATCACATCTTAATTAGAGAACGGAGGAGTTACCGGCCCTAGAAATGAGCTTACCATTATGACTGCACATTGACTGCTCGTGGCCTTTCTCTCTCTCTCTCTCTCTCTCTCTCTCTGTGCAGGCAGTAAAAAGGTGAGAACAACAACTAATAGTCACTTAAACCAAGTGTTTATCACCGCACGATCGCGCCGGGGATTGACTAGCTTCACGTGACCCGGAGCTTTCTATTGCTTGCTAGCAGCTTCATCAAACTGCACTTCTAGCTAGCAACCCAATAGCCATCCCGTTCTAGGATTCTACCATCATAATCATTGCTCTTACTACTTGAATAGGACCCTGTTCTACTCTCTGCGATGCCTCCAAACACTCCCGGTGACGACTCACATCAGAAGCTTCTCGACCAGCTCGACATCACCCGCAGTCCGCGGCCATTCCGCAATCCACATTGGAAACCCTCCGCCCGCCGCAACAAGAACGTTAAGCAGATCCTCTCAGAATCATCGCGGAAGGAAGCCTCAGCCGTTGGAACTCAGGACAACAGTGGGACCTCGACGCCAAAAGGAGCTGGAGCAGCCGCTGACCGGACAGACACTTCCACTCCCGCCACCACTGGTCCTAATGCCACCATAGGTACACCGTCTGGGCCAATCCCCCGTCCGACAAACATCGCACAGGCTGCGCAAAGCTTATCTACCCTTGTCCTTGAGAAGAATTTCAGCCGCTCGATGTACGCCATGGGTCCTGCTGTGACGTATACGAATATCGAATCGGCGCCATCGCTACATGCCGCGCAGCAGAAGCATTACTGTGATATCACCGGCCTTCCAGCGCCGTACAAGGATCCTAAGACGAGACTACGATATCATGATAAGGAGGTGTTTGGAGTGGTCCGATCGTTAGGACAGGGTGTGGCGGAGAGCTACCTTGAGACAAGGGGGGCGCATGTTGTGTTGAAGTAAATTATGAGATTAAAAGACACAACTATTTACTGTTGGAATCGAGAAAGAACGGAAAGAGGAAGGATAAAACAAAGAGGGAGACAGGCAATCCCGGCATGGAATTGCAGAGTGCAGCGAAACAACGATACGGACAAACTTGTTTGGCCCCCAAAGTCAAACCCCGTCCACCCACCCTATCCCTTTCGAGATGGGGTTCAAGACGACGCTCCGGCTTAATCGTGACCGGCTTGGAAGAAGCACTTCCACGAGTTTTTTTTTCTCCGCCTGCGTACATACGCAATGTAGACGGGTACCGAAATTCCATCGAAAGGAAGATCAGTTACGGCGCCTTCTGAGGACACCGTGGCCTTGGCGGTGGTGGAGAGACATTTTGATCTATAATCAGCATGGAATCTGGTTGATAGCAGCGCTCTTGAAGCAGGTGCTATTTCATGGAGGAAATTAAACGCCGTGCTGGCAGGCAATCAAGTCAGCCACGAGACAAGAGGCACTCATTAATCTTGCATGTCTTTGTGGCCATAATCATCAGTGGTGCTCTCATCCAATCTCTTGTAACTCTCTATCCATGATCTCAATTTTTGTCCTTTTCATCCTTGTCCAGGCCTCTGGGTTGCTGGTATGGAGTACAGAGGACAGAGAAGCGATTAGTTTTGTTTTCCTTTTTTTTTTTTTTTTCCCTGGCTGGGAAGAAGGGTTATGGGTGTGTGTTTCATCCTAGCACAGATCAGGCCTAGCGTGCTCTGTGGGGAATCTATCCGGGTTCACTCAACCTAACCTGCGCTCACCACAAAACTCGAGCACTGGCGCGTTCAAAACCTCTCATCTGTGATTATATCGTTTTGTAGCTTGACACGCTCTTTCTGAATGTTTTAGGCTCCTGGAGCTCATATCTTGCCTTTGGTCTCAGTCCGTGTACCTATTTCTATGACTGTCTGACCACCTGCATTTCAAGTTCCTCAGGCAGAACAGCTCCATATCCGAACTGCGATCTGTCCTTTGATGATGAATTTATGAACAGGGGTATGTATCTAGAACCAGGACCACAACAAAGCTCAGCTTCTCCAAGAAAACTTACCTGCCACACCAACCTTGATCTCAGCGAAACCAGTTTAGGCTAATTTCACTCTTAAATTGCTTCGCAGCCGAATGACATTGACCTAAATCACGCATCCACCCCCAGTTACGCCAACCCGCGGACGTCGCATTGGTTTCCGTGTACCCGAGGATATTGCGATTTGTACACGCTTTGGGACTGTGTTGCGGTAGCCATTTTTTTGGCTGGGAATATAGGAGGCACACGGCGCCATGCCCACCATGTGGTTGTCCGATATGCAGAGTGAGTTAAGCATGCAATTTGGTGCTCGGGGGAAGACTGCTAATGCTGGCATTAGAGATCGGTGCGGTCTTCTGCACTGCTGGTATGTGCGATCCGAAATCATGGCACATTACACCGACCGAGGAACTCCCTTTTGCGTGCACATTATGCGATCGAGAATAAACACTGCAATGGTCTGATGTCTGCTACACTAGGGAGTTTATTTTTCTTCTTGGGCATTCTCATGTTCTTTGATAGATCATTGTGCGTGTTGTCCATACACCTGTCTTGCCGATTTGCTAACGCGTGAAACACCAGACTTGCAATGGGAAATGTAAAGGCACCCCTTCTGACCACAGTTTGCCTGTCGCATACACATCCAAGTGCCTAACAAGTTGCCAGATTCTTTTCGTGATCGGCCTTCCTCTCATTCTCGGCCCACAAAAGACGCTCTCTTTCTTCGCCCGGCGCCAGAAGCTCTTGGGGTCCGTAACCTTCGCCCTGGGTATCCTCCTTATTCTCTTCCGCTGGCCACTTATCGGCTTCTGCGTCGAGTTATACGGCCTGTTTATCTTATTCGGCGATTTCCTGGTCACTCTAGGCGCGTTTGTGGGTGGTTTCCCTATTGTCGGGCCGCCGTTGAAGAGGGCCTTGACCTGGGTTGGGACCCTCGGCGGACGGCGAGGCGGCTCAGAACTGCCAGTCTGATTCAAGACAATGGAATCTGACGATCTAAAACTAAAGTTGCACACCTAGATGTTACTATTAGAGCATCTTGCAACGTACATACCTACGAATAACAGGGCCGTCTCAACAAAGAAGGCGTTTTGATTACAATCGTGGATGGCAAGGTTTCTGAGGGGGCTACGCTCTAAACGTGCGGACCACCGACGTTCTCAGGATACCGTCATTTTCAATGTCCCTGTCCTTATTTCAAGGATATTCGAATCCGCCTAACCCTTCGCGAGACGGCGAGAACGCTACGATTGTATTTTAATGCTTTACTTTTTCTTAATTTCAGCCTTGTACATTTCTTTTCTTTTCTTCTTTTATCAGCAACACCTTGACGGAAGCATCGGAATATGTATATCAGATGCAAAATATCCCCGGTTATCATCTGACTACTTAATGAATTCTGGCATTCAGAACGAAATGTGTATATTTCGGTGCGGTATTTGACGAAAATGGGGAATGGCCTGTATAGACGAAAAGGTGGGAGGTCACATTCCTCACCAAATAGGAATAGCGGAAAGAAACCTGGAAAGGATCAAGCAATCTTGCCTATGGGATTGATTTGAACTAAAATAAATATTATAAAAAGGACCGGGAGCCAGTATCCCCGTCAACCAGAGATTCAATTTTCTAATAGATGTATCTGGGCTTAATCGCACATCGTCTGTTTTGCATTCGCGACAATGAAAACAAGCCGTATTTGGGCCTCAATTATGTACTGTTGACTCATGACCAGTGGTTCATGCAAGTCTGTCTAATAACCTAATCCGATGAGGTAGTCGCCGAGAGTTTCCACCGTGTTAGTCGCGGCGCCGGGTTGGACGGTTTCCGGGTAATGTGCGATGAGGAGAGCTTTTTTCGTCTTCACGATCACGACGCCTTCTTTGCCCTGGATTCGGAATATATCTGGTCAGTCCTATGTGCTGGAGCCGGAGTGAACTCGAAGCCAGCGCACCTTCTTGCCATAGAGGCGAGACTCGTCTGATCGTAGAGCAACGTATTTGTCTCCACCGACGAAGAATCCGCCGGACTGCACTTCCTTGATCGCATCGCCAGATACGGGATTAAAGGAGTCGACGATGACTTTCACCTCTGCCGGAGAGACCTGAATCCCATTAGCTCGTCGGCTAGAGCATACAGCACAGTATTGAAGGTAGGGGTGAGTGGTGGATGAAAAGGTACAGGTGACTGTACCGAGAATCCGGCAGACGTTGCCCAAACGCTGGTGCCTTGGTTGTCGAAGATGGCGGCCTTATCGATGTGGCCAGAGCCGACGAGACTAGAGGGAAATTAGATATAACGGACCGATGCCAAACATTCTTAAACCTCTGGAGGCCTAAAAAAAGAAAAAGAAAAGAAAAGAAAAGAAAAGAGAAAAGAGAAAAGAGAAAGAAAAAGAAAAGAAAAAGAAAAAGAAAGGACACACGAAGTGGCAGGACTTCAGCCACGAGGGGTATGGAGTACCTTGTATCAACATAAGCTGTGGACGTCATTTCAGGTCAGAAGCTTGGTTTGACATTGGCTGATCGGTGAGTAAAACATACCTTGCCAGGACATCTTTTGTAAATGAAAAACCGAAGTGGATTTGAATAGAAGAATGAACCGAGATGTTGCGAGAAGAAGCAGGGGTCGAACCCGGGACAGTAGATGTAGTTCAGGGGATAATCAGCGAAAAAAGGGATATGGGGAGGTGAGGGGGATGCAAGAGGAGGGGGGACAAGTAGAACAGAGCCACGCAAAGGAGCAGAAGACGGGGCCCTTTGTGCAGAGGATGCTTCCGATGGTCGCGGGGAGGAACCGACGGCGAGTCTGGCTTGTGAGGTTGGTTTTGCTTGGTGGTAGGTGGACGGAAAGGCTTCTCGATCGTCAACTCGGGCTTGAAGGTGGGATGTTTTGGTTGTTCTGATCTGCTTAGGTAACCAACTAACAAACATGGTGGGCTGAGGCGGGGTTTGATGGCTGACTCAGCAGGTGGGCTGGGGAGAAGGGCTTTTCCCTTAACGGGTTAGCGGGTTGGCGGTTGAGCTGCTCTGCGAACCTTCTCAGCCGCTCCCGAGCGACTTCTTTCTTCCTCTTCTCGCAACTCTGCCCGGCGGTGGTGGTAATGATGATGGTGGTGGACGGTCCATGCTTCTTCCGCTCAAGCTCCCCGGCTGCGCCATCCCGGCATCTTGGCCCCGGCCTGCCACTTCTGCGATCAACAGCTAACGAGTTAACTCACGAGTTAGTTACATAGCTCGCTTTGGCCAGCAAGTGCCAACCTTGAGACTTGCTGCTCAACGTGCTTGCTCGCAGAAAATCCATCCCCTACCGTCGCGCTAAAAAATCCGCTTGACAGGGAACCACGGGCCTAACTCCAAGTCCCGACCAGTCTCCGGGCTGCCTCTCCCGCGGCTAGCAAAATGGAGCCGATGACATTTCGTTGCTTTTTGCAGGGAGACGCCCTTGGCTCGCCCGCTGGGCTAGCGGCGGATCAAACCGTGGTTTGACCACCCCCCGAGAACCACCCTGGAAAGGTTTTAGCCCGCGACCCTCTGTCGACATCAATCCAACCCCGGGATTCTAGGTTCGTGAGATATTATCAACTATTTCTAGAACACTGAGAGGCCGGCCTCAACGTCGTCTGGATTTGAGGCCTAGAGGCCTTCCAGACAGAGCGATTCTTGATGTCGGAAATTAAGGACTAGCGACCAAGGGCCACTGACCAAATTACGTGTTGATCTCGGCGTCTCAGCCTTAATTCAACTTCGAATCATGGATTCAGGATTTTCCTGTTCGCCCGCAAGTCCCCAGTTACCTTTCCGCCAAACACTGCGAGTGTTAATTGACCTTGTTATTTTGGCTCCCTCCGCTGTGACTTCGAAACTCATACTCCGGTCTCTCAATTTCCCTTCAATGAACTGAGAGGGGCGCACGGCAGCGAAAAAGCTTTTTTGTTGTTATTACCCTTACTTTTATTATTGGCGAGATGAATTTCTCAAGCGTGACTCGGGCCAATCACATCTCCCTGTCTCAGTCCTTCATTCAGGAACTGCGAGGAATCTTGGATTCCCTGTTCCTGGGCATTCCACCCTTTATTGGCTTAGACAATTAGCTAAGATACTGCTTCTGCGGTTGGTCGGGCTGTTCTAGAAACCAGCAGCCCATGCAGGGCTGCCAAACATCAAAAGAAATTCGACGATCATAGTCCACGTTGATGAAATGCCCTTTTATCAGTTTCACCAATGTAAGGGTCTCAATCGTCACCCTTGTCTCATTTAATTTAAACAGTGGCCTATCCAGAATTCCGAATCCACCCATGTCCAAAAAAAATACTTCTGCTTTCGTTGGCTCTTTTTTCTTCTTTTCCGAAACGACACGAGTCTTGCTTCGGTCTCCACCAAAGGCTTCTGCATGTTCCCTTTAGCGATAGATGATACCTCTTGCGGGCTCGCTTCTGGGGGGACCTTGTCTTTGCCGATACTCTTCAACAGTCATCCTCATATTCTAGAGTATTAATCCACCTTCTTCGCCTTCTCACATAAATTGTGCATTTACCGCCACGCCTGTTTCAGCGAAACCTGGGGTAGTTGTACCATTTTCTCCGCTCATTTCTCGAGCTGTCCGGGAGCTCGTCCGCTCTTTTTCTCCCTGTTTTTGTCTGACTTTTCGTGTATTTTTTTTTAATTTTTTTTTATTTTTATTTTTTTCAGTCTTCGTCACTCTGTATATATTCTGTACCCTTTTAATCATCTATGTCTTTCTTTTTTACGAATTTAACACTACACGTCACCGCAAAATGGGGAAGAAATTCTTTCCATCACGACCTCGAGCATACACGGCCGATACCGGTGTTGGTTCCACTGGAGATGGAACAGCTGACTCTCTGCAGGCGAACCAGAGCTGGCCAGTTGGCAGTGCAAAGGAATCAAGACGCAAGATCGTTAAGACAGTGCGGTCTCATCGACAGGACATCAACCCGCCAGAAACCTTAGACGAATATAGCTCTTCACTCCCTCACGGGTCTCCCCTCCATTTTGCATCCGTGAACGCATCACGGGATGATCAGAGGATAGGTGTCGCTTCCGCCAATCCGTCGACGGAACCGGTCAATGACACATGGGCGGATATATCCAGCATGAGTCCCCTAACGTTGGACGAAGACGTCCACGGCAAGAATTACAGTTCACTGAAGCGTAAACCAAGCAAATGGATGAAATTCGGTGGGCTATTCAAGTCAAAAAGTCCAGAATCCCCGCCTCGCGTGCCCTTTTACGAGGTTAGGGTAAACGACCGTCAGCTGCAAACGTTGGATAGCTCGGAGTACGTGCCTGATATGCAGCTACTACGAAGGAAGCCAATTATACCCGGAGCTCGACCGTGGCCTGCGCGATCGCAGTCGCTTCCACGTCATGGGGAGTTTCCGTCGATGGTGATGGACGTTGGCCACAGCAATCCGGCAGAGACAGGCGCTTGGGCAGCGGGAGATCAAGAGCAATACCACCAACGGGGGCCTTGGTCTCAGACACCTTTGGAGACCACAGAATCTCAGCCAGATGGATCCACCTCTAATGCTCCGCTTCTCAATGTTTGTATTCCTGATGTTGGGATGGAACGTTATAGCGTCATGTTTGGCTCGATACATGACACAAAAAAAGGATCAAACTTGCTTTCTCGCCGAAGCAAGAACCTCGATAACCTCACAGACCCAGCCACGGTGGTATGTACTCATTTCCAACTCCACCTTAAATGCATGTTTACTTATTTCTCAGCAGAAAGCGATGCAGAACGATCTTGCCAGACCAAGGCGTGCTACTTCCCCTGGGCCATCAAAGTCTCCTACTTTTACACTATTCCCAGCAACACCCACCAATAAGGCCTCAAAACTTTTAGGATCTCACTGCCTTCCCCGTAGGCCAACTCCGTTGCAAAAATCCCACACCCTACCCGTCTTGTCAGACGCAACCTCCTTTGAAATGGCCGCTCGAAGCAAACAGCTTCTTCAGAGCCCTGTGGAGACATCGGAATCATCCCATAGCAGATGGGGATCGGCCTCCTACTTTTCAACCTCTCCCTCAGAAATGGATGATGGGTTTTCAGATGAGGACCACGAGACGATTAAACTGCGCATTAAACCACCCGAACAGGAGGAGCCTGTGTGGGAAATGGTGACCCCCGCACGTAAGACTTTATCACAATCAACTGTCAGGAAGTTACAGAATGTGATGTCGGAAGAAAGCCCACCGAGTGGTAGTCCGAGAGAGAAGGGACCACTAGAGCCAATGGCTGGTCAATCAACTCCGTTGCAATCGGGGGACGAGATACCTGCTATCCCTCTTCCGTTCAAAAACTCCTTGCAATTATCCAGAACTTCAACGAAAAACGCCACTTCGGCGCTGGAGCCCAGCTACACGTCTCAGGGTAGACAGGGTAGCTACCACAGGTCCAACCCGTCGATAGACTCGTACGGTGATGACTTTCAGACAGTTGAGGTTTCAATTGCGAGGTCCATATCGGTCAGCAAGCGGAAACATATGCTGGTTCCGATTGGAGGAAAGTCCAGCGCCCTCCGGTCAAATGGACGGCTTGTGGAAAGGAGAGTTGCGACCCCAACCGCAGAGGCTGTGCATAAGGGTCATCGTTATGAGAAGTCCCGAGTTGCTGTGCTGGAAAATTCAGATTGAAGCCAAGGGTGATGCCGCTGCTTCCGCTGTCGAATCCAGAACCCTCAGGTGTCTTCACCTCCTTTTTTTAAATCAAAGCCTCCTAGGTGTTGACTCCTTTCTATAACTAGGTCGCTACGCTCCACTCGCTTCTTTTATTATTCTTTATTTTTCTCTAAACTTTGCCTCGGACAGAGGATGCTTTGGAGCTGGGAAATGTTTGGATGTGCTACGAGGATACAGTTTTTTGGTTTACCATAACTACGACACACGCCGTGAGTGTGCTTTTACGCGAATGAGACAGGAAAAGGTGCAGGAATATCGGAGCTAGGCTTCTTTTGTAGCCACATTTCCGCATAATGGGAGTTCAATGTTTGATCATTTTCGGTTAGGGAATTTTATCCCCGGGAGGAAATCGTTTCTGTCGACTTTTATTTTCCCTTATCCTACACGTTCCTTTCCTCCAACTACACTTTTTTTTTTTTTTTTTTTTTTTTTTTTTCTCTTTTTCATTGACCCGCATTCCTCTAATGAATATCCTCCATAAGGAGTATGTGCCTAGGTTACCCCTCACCCAGCACCGAATAGCTTCTCTGGGCCTTCTTATGTATTAGCCGGTTGGGAATACTTGAAGCTACTCCTACACTTGGCCATAATCTTTGCGTATTTGAGGGAATATTTGTCGTGGTCTTCTGTAATAATCTCCTTGATGGCAGGCGCTGGTGTGTTTGGGGGCCTCAATCGTAACAAATATGAAGCTGGACAACCCCTGAGCGGGGACAAGACAGTCCACCCAAACGGAAACGGAGCAATCATGCAAAATTAGGATAGTCCAGAATAATATGGATGTATTAGCCGAAGCCGGTGCTGAGATGTGGCCGGCGCTCCCATTAACATCACTTCATGATTTTCCAGGGCATAGAAAAAGGTTGAGATGACACCTTTGGTTAACAACCGTTTCGTTTGTCGTGAATTTAGGTAACGAGCTTATTATCATAGGCCAATGCCAGCAGATAGAGCAACTTCAACATGAAAGGATGTTAGTTATGCCGCAAGGAAATGTCGTGTCTTAAACAAAACGAGTTCTCGTCTCAAGAGAAGCATAGAAGCCTCTCCCTTTTCTGGCTCTAACACTGTCAAGTATTCTATGCTCGAAAGCAAATCATGTCCGCATCAGTCACACCTAACAGTTCCATGACCAAGCAAGGACATGTATTGATTGATTTTTGTGATCGATCATTGTTCCCACAGCCATATGATGAGTGTGTTTCAAAGAAAGTGCTCTGGATAGCCAGATATGAGGAGGAAATCAAATAACTAGTTTCGCTATTCAGAGCGCTCAAAAGCCGAAAGCGGTTGACCAGAGCTTTATAGAACAATCTTCGCTTCACTTCTAATACAAGGTCACTAATGTACATTTTCTAGGTCACTGTTACTTAGCTCTTGGCCATGTTGAGGACAAGAGTAACCTTATAGATACCTAAGTGTGTGTTTTATGCACTAACACTGTACTCACTCGCCATGATGCCAGGTGCTTAAGTAAGTTTTCTAGAACTTCATTTCATACGCATCTCGGCTGACTCTTCCAATTCGCAGCTGCAACCGTGGCTTTGTCTGAATACGTAGAGAAAAGAGCCCCTTACTTACAATTAAGGGACGAGACCGTTCACAAGCCCAAGGTGGGGGGATTCTCACAGATGAAATGCGCCAGGCGCTCAAAGCCTTGCTGGAAAGCGGAGTGCTGCGAAATGTAATGAGTATACTGTACAGTGGGAAGGTGAGGACCCTTGCTCTCTTCCCAGACATATCCGTTGAGGGTCGAAAAGACTTGATGGGCAACGGTTTTTTCCTTTTTTCTTTTTTTTTTTTGGCCGGCTACTCCAGACATAACTTACTATCTGAGATGTGTTGTGAGATAAGGAGGAGTAAGATACGGAATTTGAACCTGATGCGCTGCTTGACTAAGGGTTATGTCGGGCCACACAAATTCCTCTCTTGAACCAATCCACCATGCGACATTCTCGTCATAGATGCCGTTCCTTGTCATATGATATTGGAGCTGATGATTGAAATGCATGCGAAAAGCGAAGTCCGCCCCTGTCATGGAGGTACAAAATCCCTAGTCAGCTGCAGAACACGCTGTCAGTTGGAGATAATACTGAGAACCCTGCTATTAGTCTAGAAAAGCGAGGCAGCTATGAATCAAGGCTCCATCGGCATTGTGGGCTGGTGTCTGACACACTTCGGCCAGAGACCGTATTGGTTGCCGTTGTTAGAATTTGTCTCTCGCTGGCACCAGAGCCATCGTACTCGCGTAATTTGATGGGGCTGCTTGTCACTCGTGACAGGGTAGTTAATATTTAATAATGGACATGGACCTCCCCAACTGATCCGTTAACCTGGTTGTTGGCAAAGCGAGGGCAACAGGGGTCCAGGCACCGGAGTGCCGATGTAACATGTTCATGGGAATTTCTGGGGAAGTAGACTCGTAATAGCCTGAGCCTATTTTTGAATCCTTTTGGAACCATGATCATCAAGTAGTTGGCTTGATTTGCCTTGTTCTTGAAGACTCGGGTATATTTTGCTCAAAGATTTGGTCCAGGGTGGACTGTACCCTGCTAGGTGCTAACACACCCCTGGTCTTGACGGCAGCGGCTCGCAGCGGCCGATTCGTAACAAAATGTATGTACTCCGTATATAATGGACATGCATATATGGTAATTTATCAGGCTGTTTCAGCAAGAAACCACCCATTCCATTCCCGGATACCCATCACTCAGGACCTTCACTTTCATTTTTCCTTTCAAATCATGCACATCCCTTTTTCCCTCTCCAGAAGACAACTTAATCCTCGTCCGCGCCGTGACATTCGCCCGAGCCCGACTTGTCCGGTCTTTGTCTTTGTTCGACCAAGTGACACGCTTCAAGGCGAGTAGCTCCTCTTCGTCCGGCTCACTTCTCGTAACAATGATAAACCAGCCTTCCATCTGTGGCTTTGGGAATTTGGGTGCGTAGATTGGAATCCCCTCAGCGTCTTGGCGAGATCGTGTATGCGATGGTGGATGTTGGCGCACGAGCTCGACGACGAGTCCTGTATCTGCCACCTCAATAATCGATACTTTGATATTCGGTAGTAAGGCTACTACTTTCGTAAATTCAGTCGCGGTCGATTCGTCTAGGCGCAAGACTTTGACAAGATTTTTGGTTGCCGCTGGTGTTAGAGAGACTAGCTCCAGGAGGTTCTTGGGAACCTTCGTAAGGTCTATGTTCTTGTCCTGCTCAAATTCAGGATTCACGCCTGGTAAAATCGATAATGGGTGATCGCCAGGCCACCTAGCGGATTTTATACTTTGTAATAGGGTCATCATCATCCAGCATCCTTTAGCATAACCGAGTTCAGCCAAAACATCAATACAGGCTTGGATAACACGGATCCCTTGATCCAGCACTGAAGTTTGGTCTCCAACGTAATCGGAGATAGGGAGGTCAACGCGGGACATAAACGCTTGGAGTAAAAGGAAGGCTTTGATGTGAGGGTCCCAGAGCGGCAGATCCGCACTTACCGCAGAAATGGGCAGCGGTAAATTTCGCGCAAGCTCAGCGTTAATTAGATCTTCGTTGTGGCGAACAGGAAGCTCGTCGAATTCGGTTGCAGAGCACATCCAAGCAAGAGCGTCTGTAAACGTGGGGTCTGGCTTTGCATGCGACATCCAGAAACGGACCGTCTTATGGGAAATGTAGTAGTAACTCATAATCTTCCCGTAAGGACTTGGGTCGACATACCCAGTAGCTTCGTCAAACGAGATGCAGGAAGATTTAGCGAGTTCGCCCAGAGACTTATCAACCAATTCGATCATGAAGTCCGCCGCCATTTGTTGAGCCGCGATTGAATTGTGCTCTTCCACGGATATTTCAAGGCCATAGTATGATGGATTCTTGTGTAATCGTCTGAAGAAAAAAGTCCACGTCAAGTAGTCAAGAGCATCCTGCTTAGTTGTAATCGTACCAGCAGACACTTCGGCGCCCAAATGATCATCAAGGACTTTGTGAAGCGTGGATTCCACAGGGAAACCAGTATGGAGAAAATGCTTGTAAAACGCTTTCTTAGATTCTTGAGTGAAAATGCGTGCAATACCTGAAGAATCGAACTGCGGACGACCAGCACGGCCAAGCATTTGCAGCACGTCTGTTAGGTCCATATCCTTGTAGGCTTCAATCTTCGCGTCGAAGAACTGCGTTCCTTTAACCACGACGAGATGGGCTGGTAAATTCACTCCCCACGCGAGCGTACTAGTGGCAACAAGGATTTGGACCTTGTTGTTGGCAAATAATTCCTCTGCTAGCTGTCTGTCTGATTCAACCAACCCGGCATGGTGAAGACCAATCCCAAAGCTTAATGCTTCCCTTAAAGCATCATCTTTCACTCGAGCGAGGTTAGCCTGTAAGTCATCCTCTGACATGTTTACAAATCGCCGTGGGTTATCTTCCATGCCACAAAAATTTATCAAGTCCTTTGCCGTGAGTCGAGTTTGTCGTCGGGAGGCCACAAACACAATTACGGGTTTCTCAGGTGAGTGATTCTTAATAGCAAGGAATGTCGGGCGGTTCATTGACTGCATAAATGGGCAGAATCCTCGCTGCTCGGGGAATCCATCAATGTATATCTCTAGAGGAACAGGTCGAACTGAGTGGCGGAAGTTGTAGAGACCCTGTTTCACACCAAGCCAGTCACCGAGATCCGTCGCATTAGCGCATGCTGTGGACATGCCGAGCAGTCGTACCGATCCTTTGCTTTGAGATGCGATATAATTCATGCGGGAGACGATAATTTCTAAGATCGGGCCGCGATCACCTCCCAAAAGGTGAATTTCATCAATGATAACCAGGCTGACTTGTCGCACGTAACCTCTTGTTTGCCAACTTCGAGAGATACCATCCCACTTTTCAGGCGTGGTAATGATTATGTCTGCATTTCGGATGGTCCTCGTGTCAGGTGTGTTATCACCGGTTAATTCAACAAGTTTGAGGCCCAGTGGCATCGCTAGTCGACGGCGCCAATCCTGTACACGTTCTCGAACTAATGCCTTCATGGGCGCAATGTAAACGACCTTCGATCCAGGCTTTTCCCGAAATGCCCACCACATGGCCAGCTCTGCTGCGACAGTTTTGCCACTCCCGGTTGGAGAACCCAGCAAGACATTGGCTGATGTGTGGTATAGAGTATGGAAAATTTGAGTCTGCATCGGGTTGAAGAATTGAAATCTTTGCCCGTAAATTTCTTCCAAGGCAGGGTTTTTTAAAGCCGAAATAGGCAATGGCTGAAGGTCTAGCAAGTCAGTGTAGACACTCACCGTATCCGGTCGAATGAGATGCTGGAAAGA